ATCATGCGGTTATACAGGTGGATGGATGGTTGTTGATCTCCGAACTACGTAGAACTCAGATGAATGGTGCAACTTATTAACACACAATACTTGTCACTTGGAACCTGGACCTTACAAGCTCTCCCGATCATGACCCACCAAACGATACTGACTGTTGTTGAACGCAGCCATATTCCAGCTATATGGCGGCAGTCTGTAAATAATAGAGTCTGGACCAGTCAGTCCAGTGATCAACAGCATGAGCATCGATCTACGCAATTGGGACAAGCATGGGTTACCGAAGATCAATTCTAACCTGGATCTTCACGGTTTGCTCTAATAGTATAAAGGCATGGAAACACCTGTTCAGTGTTAGGTGTGTACATCAACAATGTCAAATGACGAAAGGCCTCACAAAGGACGCTCAGGTCAAACTGTGACTTTGAAACCTTCAAAGAAACAGCAAAGTTGACTGCAGCTGAGGACACTGGAATATTGTTCGACATAAAGGGAATTCTTATCTTGTCGAGTTTTGTTTGTCAACTACTGATCAATGAAATAATCAAGTATATAACATATAATAATATATATTAATATTTAATTAATTCTTTTTTAAAATTTTTGAATGGTATCGTTGCTGCCATATACAATCAATAAAAAGGAATTTACTTAAATGTACTTTGATTAAACATACATGTGGTGAATATGGATGATTGGATCAATACATGGTTGATTACCGCTCCACAGGGGCGGTGGGGTAGCCTAGTGGTCAAAGCGTTCGCTCGTCACGCCGAACACCCGGGTTCGATTCCCCACATGGGTACAATGTGTGAAGCCCATTTCTGGTGTCCCCAGCCGTGATATTGCTGGAATATTGCTAAAAGCGGTGTAAAACTAAACTCACTCACTCACACTCACCGCTCCACAAATGTTCCAATCTTTTTAATAACTGTATTCATATATAACTTTGCGTAATCTTTTTAAATATGTAAACAGTTAAACATATAAACTCTGTCAAAAAAGAAACGCAACCCCTGTCCTCAGATATGAAAAATTCGTTTGAATGAAGTTATTGCTTCCAAACTAAATTTTATTCGAATGTATTGAAATGATACACGTAATTAATGAAGATTACCATCCAAACAACTGCATTTGTACGCATAAGTGTATTTTATTGCTTATTCCGTCACAACGCATGAAATGACCCTCATGGTGACTTCGCACAAAAAAACCACATGCAAATCATGAAAATGGCAGTTAATGTAGGGGTGTATAAAAGCCCATGTGCTTCCGTATTATATTCATTCATTTGTCGCCGAAAAGCTGTGTTAAAAATGCCACGATTGAGTGCTGCCGACCGAAATATCGCCATTGGTCGTGTGCAAGCCGGAGAAAGTTGTGGAACTGTTGCACGGCACCTAAATGTTCACAAAACAACGATATCCCGACTTTGGAGCCGCTACAACAACTTCAATTTGACCAACGATTGCCGAGAAGTGGAAGGCCAAGAATCACGACCCCCTTCAAGATCGGTACATCCGGGTCCATCACCTGCGTAATCGGCATGCCCTACCAACCGTGACTGCCACACAAATACCAGGTTTGAGGAGAGTGTCAGCTCAAACGATTAGGAACCGTCTGAAAGAAGCGGGTTTACGTGCCTGTAGACCAGTTGTTGGACCTGTACTACGCCCCTACATCGACGCCGACGACTCAGGTGGTGCAACAACGTAAGGATACGGACTTTACAAAACTGGAGGCGAATCTGGTTTTCTGATGAATCACGTTTTCTTTGCAACGTCACGACGGAAGACAGCGTCTGTATAGGAGACGTCATAAACGTTTTGCGCCCATCTGCGTCCGACAGGTGGACAGATTTGGCGGAGAAAGCGTCATGGTTTGGGGAACCATCTCATACAACCAGAAATCAGACTTGGTGATCGTTCCAGGGAACCTGACAGCCCAACGTTACATCAACCACGTGTTAGAGCTTCACCTTCTCCCGATTATTGACCAACAGACACAGATTTTTCAACGGGACAACGCCCGGCCTCATACTGCACGTGCAACAATGAACTTTCTGCAGAATTCCAACGTCACTGTCTTGCCATGACCCTCTAAATCACCAGACCTCAACCCTATTGAACACCTGTAGGATACTCTGGATCGACGCGTACGTCAACGTCAGCCGCCGCCACGAGACGCTGCAACAGCTCGCCGTTGCACTGCAGGAGGAGTGGAGAGCCATTCCCCAGGAAAGAATCCGGCGTCTTATCCGTTCTTGTCCAAGGAGATGCCGTGCAGTGATTGCAGCGCGTGGTGCTCATACGAGATACTGAGAAAGACGCCCCCCTGGTGACAAACTGGTGTCTGTGAGATGACTTTTGAAATGACAATTTTAAACATGCCCATCTGGGTTATTATTCTGCCAAATTTCAGACTTCTGTCTTCAATAATAAAAATGCCGTGTCGTCCTAAAACTTCAGATCAAAATCTCTACAATACAGGGGTTGCGTTTCTTTTTTGACAGAGTTTATATTCCACATGTTCAGTTAAGTTATAAGCACATCTGAAACATTTACACTAAATGCGATACAACATCGGCATACCCACTGGGAGTGTTCCTGCCGGTCAAGAAGTCGGTTCTCTCAAGGGCGGTGGGGTAGCCTAGTGGTTAAAGCGTTCGCTCGTCACGCTGAAGACAGGGTTCGATTCTCCCCATGGGTACAATGTGTAAAGCCCATTTCCTGTGTCCCCCGCAGTGATATTGCTGGAATATTGCTGAAAGCGACGTAAAACTGACTTCACTCGGTACTCTCTTCCCTTTTGTGCCAAGTGGTTAGTGGTCCTGGAACGATGTCAAATAGATTCCATACATCAGCTTCATCCCACTGTTGAGACATACAGTCTCTGAATTTCGGAACCCAGGCATCAGCAAGGTCAGCGAGGTCAAGGGCATTCAGCCCGATGTCGTCCATGTCACGTGGATGGATGAGGAGTAGGGCAGGTGCGAGTGAGTCTTCTTCCACCGGGGTCAGTGTTGAAGAGCATCTGCAGCACGAAAGTGGAACATACACCTGTCCAGATGACAATTAAACACATTTTGGGCAGCTTATCTAAAATCCGTTACACTGATACATGCAGCTGAGCGCTGCCAGGTCGGTATTCGTGAGGTTCAATATGGTCTTGCACAAATACAGTATACTCTATTAATACCAATACATGCACTGATTTTATTAGTTTGTCGATGAACAGATACCTGGCGCTTTCTTCCAGCTGTTTCAGTGAATCCAATGTATTTTTTTCAACTGGTGTTGGAGTTGAGGAGCGCGCACAGCACACACCGCTGGGCATCTCTCCGAACATACAGGTTCCACTACACTAAATCAGTATCGCTTGCTCGCTGAGCCGGTCAGTATGTAAACAAGTCAAGAGAGACAAAGACATGTGACAGCTGTGATTGGATGAAATAGTGTAAGATGTTTGTTTTGTAAAAGCACATCCAACCAGTAAATAAAACTGACCACAATTTTAAGTATTTAGTGCTGTCATTTTTATCACCATCACTTCTGTTGTATACTACCCATCAAAGTTTAGACTCACTTAAAGCACTCACTATATGTTATGTATATGTATGTGGTTACATCGAAGATGAATTTCTCCACCAACTTGGGGGAACCAACTGAAAACCTTATGCAGATGAATTGCACAAGGATGATGCTTCAAATTGCGAAAGGCATGAGCAAATGTCGTGCATGTGAACAGATGCGTTTTGGTGTAAAAGTTTTGTTAAGAATTCGCCAATTTTCACAGATTTTAATCATTTACTGAACTCATGACAATAATCTTTTCAATGTTACGAATATGTTTTACAATACACCAGTTCATAACTAAACAGTACCTTTAAACAGTATGGAATATTTTGCAAAAAGCTAGTTTAGAACAGTGGACAAGTAAGTGGCTACATTTACACTAGTGAGTCTAAACTTTTGATGGGTAGTATAGAAACAAGAGAGTTGTTATCTTCGCCGAGTAAGTCTGCTTGTGTTTCTCTGTTCATGTGAAAAGGGTTTTAATGTCCCTTTCACTTACATGGTGATTTACATGCATATGCGTGTGCATGCGTGTGCATGCGTGCGTGCGTGCGTGCGTGCGTGCGTGTACTAGGCCGGACTGGTGCCAGTTTTACAGTGGCGGTTTAACCGTATTCATGCAAATCCGAATGGCCATAACTGCGTGTTTCATAATCAAAATCAAAGTACGAGCCTTGTTCAGATTTTTATGTAAATAGTTTCTGAAAAGTCTGAAAGCGTCAGCAATTTCTAGGTTCATCCGATAATAAGCTTCATAGTCTAAAAGTATCAGGAAGAAAGGTCTAAGCATAAAATGTCGTACTGCAGTTGATAGATGCAAATTATCTCGATTTCTTAGATTCTAAGTTGATACTTCTGAAACGAGTACATTGTATATTTGAAACTCCCCCAGACAGTGATTTATGATTTGCATCCCGGTCCTCAATACGTCCAAATGCAGATTCTCAAACATTTTACTTGCTCAATGCTGTAATTATTCCAAATATGAGCACGATATTCAAAGTTTCGAAGAATGAATGATTTCTAATCTTCAATCTAGATACCCGATCTTTGAAACTACAAGACAGTTGATAATTGAACTTGTATGACTTCTGCCTTGATCCATGTTCAAATAAACATTTATGGGAAGAGTAGTGACAATGGTTTTGTACTAAGATTGGATTTACTTGATTCCCACGAATCAGCCATATTGTAAGACCCGTGAAGATCCGGGTTACAATTTGTCTTCATCAACCCATGTGTGTCGTAAGAGGGGACTAACGGGATCGGGTTGACACAATTGGTTGCGAAGATCGATGCTCATGCTGTTGATCACAGGACGGTCTGGTCCAGACTCGATTATTTCCAGACCGTCGCCATATAGCTGGAATATTGCTGATTGCGGCATTTAACAACAAACCAACCAAACCATACGCCTGGGTACACCTCAAGGACGCCTCTTTGGTCTGAGACTTCGATACGGCTCGTGCTTTACGTGCGGAGACCTCAGTCACAGGAACGAGGCTGAACATTTGCTGCACAGCCACAACCACGCAGACCGCTTAACCAGGCCACTGCTACAGACTACTAGTAGACAGGTAATCCGACACAACTTCAACTAACAAAAAACACAATTACTCTGAATATGAATATGGAAAAGCGGGAATTGTAGTAAGAGGGCGCCTGAGAAGGTACACACAGTTTTGGCGTGACATTGGCTCAATTTGTACTTGCTGTCATTGTAAATGGATTCCTTTTTACTCTTCCCCGCCACCCATGGAATAAAAAACCAGTCAATCAGCTTTAAAGCAATTTTGTTTGTACTGCTATAATTACATATCTTGTTCAGAAGAATTTACTTGAATATAAGAAAAGACCGTATGTAGTTAACCCGTTGTTGGTGGCTACACAATCTTCTGGAAAGATATGACTCAATTTAGATTTGTCTGCTGTGAATAAACGTGTTTAAACTTTCAGTAAAATACGAAGACTGGAAAACTACTCTGACAGGTTGGGGAAACCTACCGATCGGCCTATAATTATGATATTTATCAAATATATTTGAAGTGGTGCATTTCCGCATGAGGATATTAACATCATTCAAGTTTTGATGTCCTGAGGTTTTCATTCAAACCCTTTTTGAGCATTTTCATCACATAATAAAGGAGTTTGGATATTGCTAATTAAATATAAGTCTATAATATTTTTGACAATTTTCACTGAAAATTAATGACATAAATATTCAGTTTTAGTTTTCAAATGGAAAATCTATGCACAATTGTTTTCTTATTGAAACATCTTTTCCTGATCATGATATAAATTTCTATTTTGTCCAAAACCTTATTTTTCAAATCATTCATCTCTATGATCAAATAAAACCATTTCCTGCGGAAATTGATAGTTTGTGAAATAATTAGAAAAATGTTCTAATATAACCCGATCGACCAAAAGTAAAATAGGCAGAACGGCCAATAATATCCCGTTTGGCCTATTATAGGCCGATCGGTAGGTTTCCCCAACCTGGCTGATGTATATCAAAGCTGGTGAGAGGGTCGCTATAACTTATCGTGGGTTTTTATTTGTTTGGCATTGCGGGAGGAATACTACAAGGTTTTTGTTCTACCTTTCGGTATGTCTTCAGCTCCATATATCTTTACGACAGTTACTTGACAACTGGTGAAATGGTGGCGTTAAGGGTTGAAGAATGTGATGTTTCGTGATGAAGTAATACTGGAAACGGCTTTGGCAAGTGGTGCTGATGTGTCAGATAAGGTCAAAGATGGCCATTATACGCTCTGGTTTTGTAACAAGAATCTCTTGACACCATCGTAAAGTCTGGAATGGTTAGGGTTTCTGGTGGACGCGTAACGTTTTACGAGTAGGTGAGTTTTTCGCCGCTTTTAGCAATATTCCAGCAATATCACGGCGGGGGACACCAGAAATGGGCTTCACACATTGTATCCATGTGGGGAATCAACCCGGGTGTTCGGCGTGACAAGCGAACGCTTTGACCACTAGGCTACCCCACCGCCCCCACTGTACCCGAGAGGAAGTTAGACAAAGTTTCCATCTGTATTACACCTCTCTGATCCCGTAAAAATAGGCCTGTTTATGTTCGTTCTGTGGCCTCTTGTGTTGGTCAGATCATTACTTTGAAACAGTTATTGGTTCAATTTGTCATTTGACAAGATCAGTGTAGATTGTTAGATGGCTAAGTTGTGGAATGACAGGATTGTTTTGTCAGCCCAAAGTAAGGAGCAATTAGTGTTCAAGTGTTTCAAAGTAAGACATTAATGTGTTTAGACTTTTTCTCCTACCAGGAATAGATTATAGTGAAGCCAGCGTTAGTGGTTTCGGAGGCTGTTGTCTTCAGTTTGGTGGTAGGTTTTCACACGGTCAGTGGTCTGAAAGGGAGATGCTACATAGCTCAACCTGGCGAGATATGAAGGCCGTATCCATGGTTGTGAGAGCTTTCATACTTTCCTTGGTTCTCACTCAGGGACGGTGGCGTAGCCTAGTGGTTAAGGCGTTCGCTCGTCACGCTGAAGACCCGGGTTCGATTCTCTACATGGGCACACTGTGTGAAGCCTATTTCTGATGTCCCCCGCCGTGATATTGATGGAATATTGCTAAAAGCGGCGTAAAACCATACTCACTCACTCAGTAGCATGTGCAATTATTCGAAAGGGTAGCATTAATTACATGTTGGCGATGAAAATCGATTTCTGTGAAGGATTTGCTTTTGTTTCTTCTGTTTCAGATAAGTAACCCATGCTTGTCGTAAGGGGCGACTAACGTGATCGGGTGGTCAGACTCGCTGACTTGGTTGACACATGTCATCGTATCCCAAATGCGTAGATCGATGCTCATGCTGTTAATCACTGGATTGTCTGGTCCAGACTCGATTATTTACAGACCGCCGCCATATAGCTGGAATATTGTTGAGTGCGGCGTCAAACTAACCTAACTCACTCACACTGTTTCAGATATATTAAACTCTGTATATCATGATGTTCTATCTACTCTCCCGGAAAGCTCAACACAGCAAGTGCAGGGTTTGAGCATGTTATTAAATGAGGCTAGATCAGGCTCGACATTGAAAGCATGGACAATTTAGGTTTTCAGACATTTTCTGCTTGGGCTAAATCCCATAGTTTACCCAGGTCGTTACCAGTTTCACCGAAGCACTATGCACTTTGTTATCTTTAATACAGAGTTGTGATACTATTGCTTCCGCCCCACTTATCATACGTGGGGGCGGTCGGGTAGCGTAGTTGTTAAAGCGTTCGCTCGTTACGCCGAAGACCCTGTTAGATTCCCCACATGGATACAACATGTGAAGCCCATTTCTGGTGTTCCGCCGCCGTGATATTGCTTGAATATTGCTAAAAGCGGCGTAAAACCCAACTCACTCACTCACTCACTCTATAAAACAATACAGAACACAGAGTAGAGGAGACAGTTTTGTTGCAACACATTTGCAAATGTCTTTGAACAGTCATCTAAACGTTTCTTTTTGTATATGTTCCCATTTTGATAAAAGGCTTCATTTAATGCACAGAAACCATGTCCTCGAAGAGCCTAAAGTTTGGTAACCATGACTACAAAGAAGCATTTGACGCGGAGATATATCTAGATATGTACTATGGCAGCTTGAGAAGCGAGATAGCGGCAGGAGAACAGATACCTTTCATGCTCCGATCCTTCCATGACGTTTTCAGCAAAGGTAGGATTCGCCCTGTAAACAATACTGTAGTGTACTGCACGTTATAAACTCGTAATTCAACATGGAGAACCAACCAATGTTATAAGGCAGTGTTATGCTTTGTGCAACAGTGTTTTACCTGTTATACAATGTACACGTAGATTTAGTAATAGGCAGTGGTGTGCTGTATTAAGACTTGTACAATATTTAGACAGTGTTGGTCACTTTTAAAGTGGAAGTAGTGTCATCTAAATTTCATAACCTTTTAAAGTTTATTAACTCCATAAACTCATTCGAGCACAAGATATTTGTGTTAGATTCACTGGTCTCTAATATTTGTCTTTATATAAGGGCAGACTATACTGTTTCGTTGATCGTAAAGCTACATTGGATTCCATCAATAGAACAAATTTGATGTATGGACTTTGGACTGGCAATGTAAATTTTTTTTGATTAATTAGAAATATGTACACACATTTTCAATCATGTATATCACTGCAAGGTGGCCACACACAACTGTTTGACTGTGAGCGGAATAAAACAGGGTTGCCAACTATCACCACTGCTATTTTCATTGTATGTTAATGATATTACTGAATTTCTTGGTGTTGATGAAGATAGATGCATTGACCTTGGTGTCTGTCGACTTTTCATGTTACTCTTCGCCGATGATATGTTACTGTTTGATAGCACTGTCCGAGGTTTACAGAAAAGATTGAATAATCTACCGATATATTGTAAAAAGTGGTCTTTAACCGTCAATATTAGTAAAACTAAATGTATGGTTTTCAGGAAAGGTGGTAGATTAAAGAAATACAAAAACATTATTTTAATGATACCCAACTAGAAAATTGTCTTCTTACAAATACTTGAGTGTTCATTTCTCATGCAGTGGGTCATGGCATATAACAGAAAAAAAACTTTGTCATATCCAGAAAGTGTTAAATATTTTACGTTCCCAGCTATCAAATTTCAGAAAATTAACATTATCTGTTCTTCTCAACATCTTTGACCACAGAGTATTCCTAACTTGCGGCTCAGAAATATGGGGCTTTCATCCCTCACTGGATGCAGACAGAGTATGCAATAATTTCTTAAAGCAATATTTTTTTCTTGGTTGAAATGCACCGAACTTTATGGATGTTTATCTTTCAAAACTAGATAATATACAACAATTGTAAAATATTGGACACGGTTATTATACCAAAAGGATAATGGAATATTATACCACACATACCGTTATCAATATAAATTAGCAGAAGTTGCTAGACAACCCATATGAGCCCATAATATAAAACAATAAATAAATATGGTTTTAGTTGTGTGGCACAATCAGGATGTAAGTTGTATAAATAAGCTCTTAATTGATTTTAAACAAAGGTATATATCAATAGATAACAGACATGGTTTGAATTAATATGTTCGTTTCCCAAACGTATTGTATATCAATCTCTAAAGAAGGAATAATGTTGTGAAGAATATTTGTCAGTTGTGAATGTTACTTCATATAGAATAGCCCTTAATAAATTTAGGTGTTCAAATCACAGATTGATGATAGAGGAAGATAGAAAAATATTGCTAAAGATCAACGATTTTGTCATCTAAGCATTGTTCCCTGTATTGAAACAGAGTACCAGTTCTGCTTGATATGTCCTCTTTTTTGTCAGTTTTGATAAAATTGTTACCTGAATATTATATTGTAAATCCAACCTATCCTACATTTTATCAGCTATTATTATCCAAAAACCTAGATGTCTAGCAAAGTATGTATTTCTTGCCATGAAAAAAGAAAGTCAGTTGCAGTTGTAAAATGAATATGCATTGCATTCTCTATACATGGTGCATACATGTTGTACTACTTGTATAATGAACCCATTCTCTATACATGGTGCATACATGTTGTACTACTTGTATAATGAACCCACTCCATGGTGCATCTATACTTCTGGTGCGATCTATACATGTTGTACTACTTGTATAATGAACCCATTCTCTATACATGGTGCATATATGTTGTACTACTTGTATAATGAACCCATTCTCTATACATGGTGCATACATGTTGTACTACTTGTATAATGAACCCATTCTCTATACATGGTGCATACATGTTGTACTACTTGTACAATGAACCCATTCTCTATACATGGTGCATACATGTTGTACTACTTGTATAATGAACCGGTGGCCACCTTAGTGTAATAATCTCTTGATATCGATTGACCTACAAAGATTTCAGTATTTAATATTTTATTGATAGATTAATAGGTGTTATCTAAGATATTTAGGGTGAGTTTATCATTAAACAAATGTTTACCTTCCTCTCGGTCGCTGCCCAAAGTCCAGAGAACGCGAGAAATTGTAAAACAAGTACAACAAATGAGAATCAAGAGCACTATTCAGAAAATGTTGTCTTTATTAAAAAAAATTAGTTTTCCCCGACCGACCGACCCATGTTCAGAATTTGCTGGCTACGTGAAAGACATAAAAAGAATGATGCCCTTATGATGCATAGAATATATTCAGAAATATCTTCCTCAGCGTGGACATTTCTAGCACTTATTTCTGTGCATGTTGCAAGTGACATGTTGCTGTTTAATCAGGGGAGATAACCGGGAAGAGACTTCTGGACATCGGAACAGGCCCGTCCATCTTGAGTATCATTAGCGCGTCCCAGTACTGTGACTCCGTCTACCTGAGTGACTTCTTACCTCAGTGTAGGGGTGTCCTCCAGGAGTGGGTCGATGGTCAGCTGGCGGACAAATTCAACCCTTTCTTAGAGTTTGTGATCAACCTTGAGAGGACAGGGTAAGTAGCTTGATTTATGCATACTCACGTTGAACCGATTGTAACAAGCTATTCAGAATTACGTCCCTTAGGCGTGGCAGGATGGCGGTGGTGGTATACTTTGTGAGACTTGGACCAGAAAGAGGGACTATTTGCCCCCAACACATTACTTGAAGTTGAAATATCATATATAAATTAAATGTATTAATTGTATTGAGATTTTGATGAAATGACAGCGTCCTCTACAGTAATCAGTAAAATGGATTAAACCCTCAAGTAACCAATTTGTTTTGGAAAAATACACACAAAAACATGACTCTCGTTCTGTCCAAAAGCAGAAAATCAAACAGAAGAAGGAAAGTTAAAACGATTCAAAAGCAATACATATATGTATTTCGGGTTCGATTCCCCATATGGGTACAAGGTGTGAGCCCATTTCCGGCGTCCCCCGCCGTGATATTGCTGGAATATTGCTAAAAGCGGCGTAAAACTAAACTCACCCCAATTTCAGGGAAACAGTGACAAGTCGTGAAAACAAAATCAGAAGCAAGATAGCTGGAATTTTGCCATGCGACCTATACAAGGAACAGCCTTTTGAACCAGGTCACTTGTCGCCCTTTGACGTCGTGACAACGTCGCTTTGTCTGGAAGCCGTCTCTGAAGACGTCTCTACCTATGGCACATTTGTGAAACGTATAGCTGGACTTGTTGGAAAAGGAGGCTACGTGATAATGTATGCAGTGTTGGGAGATACCACTTACTACGTAGGGGAGGAAGAGTTCAAGTCTCTGTCTATCTCCAGGGAGCAGGTTGAGAAGATATGGACAAATGCTGGCTTTACGATCACATATAGCCGGGTGAATGCCCTTCCAGAAAACGAGAAGACCAAGTATTGCGAGTTTGAAGCGTGGTATATCATGGCAGCAAGGAAACAGTAGCGGCCCGTGCTATTTTCGAGGGGAACTCTAACGGATTAGCCAATATCATCTTCTGCCTGATGCTGGTGAAGGACTCGACCGCTGAAGATCCGGGTTAGAATTGATCTTCAGTAACCCATGCTTGTCGTAAGAGGCGACTAACAGGATCGGGTGGTCAGGCTCGCTGGCTTGGTTGACACATGTCAAAGTATCCTAATTGTGTAGATTGATGCTCATGATGTTGATCACTGGATTGTCTGGTCCAGACCCGATTACTTACAGACCGTCATCATATAGCTGGAATATTGCTGAGTGCGGCGTAAAACAAAACTCACTTGTTTGTTCTTAAAAGCCACTCAGCAATATTCCAGCTATATGACGGCGGACATTAACTATCGAGTCAGGACCAGACAATCAAGTGATCAAAATCATGAGCATCGATCTACGCAACTGGGTCTTCAGCAACCCATTCTTGTAACAAGCATCTAACAAGATTGTGTCTTATGAGGTGACTTACCGGACTGTCTTGGTTATTATCAGATTTTACAGTCAGATGAAATATTGCCGGGTGGGGCTCGAAAAACTACCAAACAGTTGATTAATCCCTGCGTTTTCTTGACCACATTGAAAAAAATCAACTAAAACGTTGATACAGGTAGACGTGGTTTTATTGATATAAAGTACAGTTAGACACCAGCCTCGTACTCATGTTCATATCAACACATCTCTATGTACAAATCAAACTACATGTGTAAGCTGCCGTGGATATACACAAAAGGTCTTTACATTTAGCAATGGAAGATCGTCATATTAACATGCCTAGAGACAACACAACCACTATCAAAGCGTGACGCGGTGACCTTGACCCTGAGCCATAGCCGCACATGAGCGGCTGGGTATCTTCATGACACGTAGCACAGCAGTTAGACCGGTGGTCACAGCACGACATTCTGTCAATGGTGCGGCACAAAGCTGGATCACGGTCCCCGAACTCGCAACCTGTAAAAGTCATCGGGCTTTTTCATGTGATGAAATACAATATTTGCCTGATAATATAGACTTGGTATGTGTCACCCAAATGAATTAACACTTTCATTTATTATCCATCAAGACGAGTAAATATCGAAAGGTCCACACTGAAGCATAAGTCACCGGTCATTAGCCAAGGAAACGTACACATGTGCAGCATTAGGCTCAGCAACTCGTCAACATAGTATCGATGAAGGGGCGACGAAATCGTGGGTGTCAAATTTGTTGGCTTGTTTGTTTATTTGTTTCTTTAATGCTATTGACTATGTACATTCCTGTTATATTTGATACTTTATTTTTGTTCGTTGTTTAACACCCCTCTCAGCAATATTCCAGCTATATGACAGCGGTGTGGACTAGATAATCCACTGACAGCACGGGCATCGATCTGAGCAATTGAGTTTGATGACATGCAGCAACAAAGTCAGCGATCCCGTTAGTCGCCGATCCGTTAGTCGCCGATCCCGTTAGTCGCCGTCTCAGGAGAAGCATGGGTTGATAAAGACCAATTCTAATTCGTGGCTTCACAGGTGAGGGGATGTCATGTGGTTTTGGACATATGGGAAACTTGCCTCCTCCGTTACGAGCTTAGACAAACGTATTTATAGGTTCTCAAATACTTGTTCAGCTACTATCTGAGAAATATACCTATATGACTCGAAAATAATGTATTGGTACAGATGTATTTAAAATCGTATCTCTCTCCTAATTTTCGAGAATCCGTGAAGATTCAGGTTAGAATTGGTCTTCAGTAGCCCATGCTTGTAAGAGGCGACTAACGGGACCGGGTGGTCAGGCTCGCTGACTTGGGTGGCACATGTCATCGTATCCCAATTGCGTAGATCGATTTCCATGCTGTTTATCACTAGATTGTCTGGTCCATACTCGATTATTTACAGACCGCCGCCATACAGCTGGAATATTTCTGAGTGCGGCGTAAAACTAAACTCACTCACTTTCGAGAAATGTATACTTTATATACAGTCAAATGTCTCACCAGTAACGTTTGTGTGAAACACACGGCATACTGAGCAACACCTGTTGTAGTAGGCGATGTCGTAACACTTAGTAGGTGTTGCTATGGTTTCTGCAGTGCAGGATGCATTTGAACTTCCGTGTAAGCCTTCAATGTCGACGCAAGCACCAAATACTGAAACGATAAAGGAGAAACATCTGATATCAACAGGACATGTTAACCAGTTGTCACGGTCACGGAGAGACCCGAGTAGTGGCGAATGTGCAGGTGCATGTAAAACGAAGCATTGTATTAAGTGGCCACTTGAATCCATGTGTTAATATTATGACAACCATGCAACATTGTGTGATACATTCACATATTGAACTTAAAACTACTAAAGATGTGAATACGAAATGCCAATAAAATTATATATCCGTCTTTCATTGTTTTTTCTATTCATCTGCGTCATTTTTGTACACGGCAGCCTTAACGCCCTACATTATACAAAGAACGTTTCCTTTGCTGTTTCGGGTACGAGCACGTGGTCATCGGAAACGCTGTTATTTGCTTCGTAGGGTTGCGTCCCTTACTGGTACCAGACGTTCACGTCGTGGGTTCGAATCCCAGATGGCCATGATTACGTTTCCAGGTTTGTGAGCACCATGCATATTCGGGTGGTGGGTTTTACAAAAGTCATAAAAGCCTGCATTACTTCAGTCCGTCCTCCACACCCAACCGAACGCTGTGAAACAACTGAAATACTGTTTAAAGCAGCGATCAGCGTAACATATTCTCAGTATGTGTTGTTAAGCAACAAACACGGGTTCCTTTCTGCCAAGTTTGAGCAGTGAGCAATACTCACAAGATAGGCCAAACTGGGTCAATCCACGCTCTTCGTCATCTGCAGGTGACGCTTCAGTAGATGAATGGTTAAGATAACGTGTAGATGAAAATTTCGGCGGTTCACCCGTTGTCCCCGACGTTGTAGATGAAGTGGTAACTGACGGAGGGAAAGGTGTTGAGGGCGGAGTGTGCTTTGCGTGATGTGTGACGGACGTTGTGGGTGGCTCCCTTGATGGTACGAGCTCAGATGATTTTACTGGCGCTTCAGTCCACGCTCCATCTGTTCGCTTGGTAACCATTGGCGTGGTTTCGACTACAGACTCGAGGGGAATCGTATTTGTACTCGAAATATTAATATTTGGTTCTGTAGATATGAACGAACCTTCTTCAGTCGTAGAAGGTGCGGAAGAAGGAAAACCCATCGATGCCTCGTCGTACAGGACCGTGAAAGGTGATGACGTCTCTTGTGCCGGACCATCAGTGCTATTCGTAGGTTCATTATTCTCCGATGACGTAGGCGGTACCGTCCCGTTGACAGTTGTCTCATTTGAAGATGTCAGTTGATTTTCCCCCATGACAGACGGATATATATTGTCGATGTGTAGGTCCGGTGTTGTAGTAGTTGCTGACGTTGTTGATGCCGTTTGACACGTTTCACAACACAGCCTAGAGTACTGACTTCCAGGTTCGCCACATTTGTCGGGACTGCACGATGAAATATTCCAATAGTTGTTGCCGTACTCGCAACCTGGATAGAAAATAAATAGTGTAAACGTGGTTTCAGCATATGTGAGTGAATGTATAATGCATGCATGCATGTATGTATGTATGTATGTCATTAAGTCGCCTACACCAGTCGAACACTCTCGAGGCACACACAGACCCAAACTGCCTTCGATCGACATGAAGGTGCCACGGATGGTCCAGTCGCAAAATTTGCACTATAGAGTAGCGCCCCTTAGGCACCCCAGGCACCTGTAATTGTGGTTTCCAATCCAGGTTGGTCCCAATGGTTTCTATGTTTCTCAGCACACAAACCATGGCCGTAGGTTCTACTTAAGTAATAAACGTCTGAGATCTCGATACTTAGGATACCCGGGTTCGAATCCCCACATGGGCACAATGTGTGAAGCCCTTTTCTGGTGTCCCCCGCCGTGATGTTGCTGGAATATTGCTAAAAGCGGCGTAAAACCAAACTCAGTCAGTCAGTCAGTCGATACTTAGGGCTTTCTTTCCAAATAAGCTGTAAAGCTGTTATATAATTGTAACACTGTTAAAAGCGGCGTTAATCTAAATTCACTCACTCACTCGAAAGACCTGCGCCATGTTTTTCCACGCTGTTTCATGAAAGAGGTAAATCTACACGACATACCTTACACCGGGCATTCCTCCCACATGCCGACATGCAGCGACATATAGTCTGGCAGAAAACGTTTCCAAATTTTTAATTTCATGAATTATGATTTAATAATACAAGTTGTTTAAGAAAATATCATTAAAATATTGACAGTTCACTATTTGTTACAAGGGAGGCGTGCAGAGAGGAACAGCCAGGTGTGCTATCAATTCGCACACATGGCTGTAACAAATGGTGAACTGTGTCAATATTTTCCTGATAGTTTGTTAAAAATTCACAATGGTAGGACAATTATAATGCATCATGCCAAATTAGAAAACGATTGTACTTGTAGTTTTTTTACTAAAGTGACCAAACACGTCACGGAGGTTTTCTGCCAGACTATAAAATACCGTTCAAAGCGGCTTTTAACTCCATCACAAACGTATTCACACGTTTACCCACCAGGTGGCCCTGTGGCCAACTTGAGACAGGTATCACAGCACACCTGCCGGTTAGGCTGGCTGTAGCACAGGTGTCTCTTACTCCCCAGCGTCTGGTCACAGTCTTGACCCTGGTACACAGGCCCCGGGCGGTTCCCAAATACACAATCAGCTGACAAGGGGAGAAGAACTGAAGTCATTCGTTAGTCGGCATTGAGAGTTCACTGTATGAACCTGGGTTTACTTACTATAGTCTGTTTGCAGTGAAAACGTACCGATCCTAAGTTGGATAAAATTATGAGATTTTAATGTTCAATTTGCAAGGTAAAATCATGAGGATTCGCAATCTTAATTTCACTTTATTTGATTTACCTTTTTTGTTTAGAATGAAATTCATCTGTACGTTTTCACTGCAAACAGACTATACCGTATGCACCCTTTTATTATTGCAGGGGCGGTGGGGTAGCCTAATGGTTAAAGCGTTGGCTCGTCACGCCGAAGATCCGGGTTCGAATCCCCACATGGGCACAATGTGTGAAGCCCATTTCCGGTGTCCCCCGCCGTGATGTTGCTGGAATATTGCTAAAAGCGGCGTAAAACCAAACTCAGTCAGTCAGTCAGTATATTATTGCACAAGTCTCTAAGGTAATAATTTATTGTTTAAATGAACATTTCTGAAAAAATATAAATAACATACTGGCGTCCTTAGATGTACTCTCCGCTTATCTAGAATTGCCTCTTTAATGGATAGGGGGCGGTGGGGTAGCCTAGTGGTTAAAGCGTCGGCTCGGCACGCCGAAGACCCGGGTTCGAATGCCCACATAAGTACAATGTGTGAAGCCCATTTCTGGTGTCCCCCCGCCGTGCTGTTGCTGGAATATTGCTAAAAGCGGCGTAAAACCAAACTCAGTAAGTCTTTAATGGATAGAATTAATTTACATACATGGGCTTAGCATTCAGCAGAATCAGTACAGCCTTGGAGCAAGGCTAGCACCCTTAGTTCATGGAAGGTATCACTATCTAACGTACCTGCCGTTGAAATACAAAAATGCATCAGTACAATTGTATCTAAGGTACCAGCTGTAGTGTACGGTACCACTCTATCTAACAAGTCTCGCCTGTTGTAAATGACTACGTAAAACGTACCTTCTGTTCTTAGTCACTATGTATGTAACGCCCTTGTTCTTAATCACTGACCCGTGAAGATCCAGGGTAGAATAGGTCTACAGCAACCCATGCTTGCCACAAAAGGCGACTGTGCTTGTCGTAAAAGGCGACTAACGGGATCGGGTGGTCAGGCTCGCTGACTTGGTTGACACATGTCATCGGTTCCCAATTGCGCAGATCGATGCTCATGCTGTTGATCACTGGATTGTCTGGTCCAGACTCGATTATTTACAGACCGCCGTCATATAGCTGGAATATTGCTGAGTGCGGCGTAAAACTAAACTCACTCACTCACTCACTCTTAATCACTATATCTAACGTACCAACTACTGGGGTACTTACTAGTTTATCTATCTGCTGTTGAACAACCTACCGTGTTTGGCTGGAGCGTCGGCAGAGTGTACACACGCCCCGGCAATGCACCACTGTGAACGACACCCGAAGCATCGGGGGTAAGCATCAGGTAACATCAGCGGTATCATATTTCTATCTATTTGTGGTAATAGTTGCATGAGGTTCAAATTGACAAACGTTAATCACAGCATTAACAAAGCACATACAATTCTCCAAGATTAACGCTTAGTCTCTGAATAGATATAATTTTGAATGTAACAAGTAAACCTATTTAAACTGAAAAGTAGCTCCAGGGATATGAAAGATTTAGAACCTAAGGAAATCTAGTCTTTATGGAGGGCTAGGCATTAGGGAAAATAATGTGGTTCAGGGACTGAGACAGGCTAAGTTCTCGCTACCACCGGGTGTTTTTGAGCTGATGGCGAGTGCTACAAGCCAGCCTACCTTCCTGTTGCCGCACGGCGTTCCCTCCCCTGCGGTATGGTAGGCGCAGCGTCTGGTCCGGGGGTTGTAGCACGGCATACGGCTGCACACGTTCTCCGACCCCCCTATGTCGATATGCTAGGGAGTGGAGGAGAAAGGGGTCAGAAAAGCAACCAGTAAATATGCAGAGGAGGGAGCTTGGATATTTAAAAAATAAACAGATTAGTTTTCTATTTCTGCATTGCTTCAAACAATATAAGATTTCTTTCTTTGAAAGGGGACCTGCAAAGGATGAATTATGATGAAGTCCTTTTAAGACTCATAGGAACTGTCAAATTTTGAAATATCTTTGTGTGACTGTGTGCGTGTCGTTATCTTTAAGGACGTGTTTAACTAACTGGATTGTTTACTGAACAGAGTTAATGCAAAGCGAGGATCTGGACAGACCAAACTGAGACTATATAGAACTTTTAAAACTACTTTTACTACGGAACCATATGTTTTAGCACCGATTCCGACAGCCAATAGACGTGCCATGGCTTTATTCAGAACAGGTACAGCCCCTCTACGAATGGAGACAGGGAGATATGATGGACTGAAAGTCGAGGAAAGAAAATGTTTTCACTGTATTGACAAAGTTGAATCGGAAAAACAAGTTTTATTTGAATGCCCTCTATATTCCCACATCCAAGAAGACCTTTTATCCGCGGACAATCATGTTTTACCAGGAGTTTACTTTTTACCGGACGTTAAGAAATTAACACTCCTCTTTAGCAGTGAACACTTTTTTAAAATATGTGCCTATTAATAATTAATTCATTATTTAATAATTATTCTTTGATGTACATTTTATGTTTTATATCTCGTCTCTCATATAGGAGTGGCATATATACAGTACAACCAGAAATTATTGAGAATTTAGAGATTGTAATTTTAAAAACATTCACTCATTACTCACGTATTAAATGTGAATATTAGCAGAATATAACTCCAGATTTAAAGCCAGGTGAACAGTTAGTATTTTGTCAAGTCACCATGCATGGGCAGCAATGCAGGCTTCAGTGCGGCGGGGCATACTACTGATCAAAGAAGTTTGAAAGTCGTGGACCTCTTCTTTCATTTCAGCAATATTTGTCCGATTTTTCTTATTGACACTTTCCTTCATAAGTCCCCAAACATTTTCTATTGGATTTAGGTCAGAGCTATAGCTTGGTCAATCTAATAATGTCATATTTTGGGTCCGAAACCAGGCCTGTGAATGCTTTGAACGATGTTTTGGGTCGTTGTCCTGCTGGAAAATCCAAACATTTCCGTAGAACACGTGAGCAGATGGAACTAAATGTCCCTCGAGAATATCTGTGTATCTCTGTTCATATTCCCTTCAAATACACAGAAGGGCGTTGCCCCTAACACAGATATGCCACCCCACACGTTAAATTTCGGACTGTAGTTTCGGCGCTGATACAAAGGTCTGTTTGGTCCAGAATTTTAGCGTATTAGGAAACAGCCACACAGAACTTTCATCTGAGAAAATCACATTGTCCCAGTTAAAATGTCTATGCTGTAAGCACCAGTTCAACCTTCGCTCCTTTTGTTCAGGTTTCATGATCGGTGATGGAATTCCTCGACTTTCTGCCAACCCATTGCATGCAGCTCAGTTCTAATTGTCTCCTTACAGACAGCCACAGTTCCTCTATCAATCATATCCAGCCTTAGGTTTTCTAAACTCCTTCGTTTGTTTTTAGAAACAAGAATACCAAGCCGCCTCCTGTCATCGACAGTCAATTTTCTGGGCCTACCTGCGCCTCGTTGGTGCTCAATGCCATATCCATTTGCAATATTTTTCAAAACACGATAAACAGTGGACAAAGGGATGCCTGTTCTACTTGAAATCACTTTAGCTGATCTGATGTCCTTGTTATAATACTCTAAAATCAACTTCCAGGGGCGTAGAAACGGTTTTCAGAGCGCGAGGAGGAGGGGGGGAAGAGGGGTTTATTTATGAAGAGTTATGAAAATCAAAATGAAATTGTAGTTATGGTAAGGTAGATATGGTTTCGTCTTGAAAAAGGGAGGGGCTAATCCCCCCGTTCCTACGCCCTGACTTCTGACTTCCTCTTCTCTAAATCATCCATACTGACTGAAAATGTCGTCTGCTAGCAAGTAAACAAAGGGGGATAACTCTTCACAAACTAATGAAAAAGGATTAACGGAGTTGTCTCTCTTGAATGAAACCAAGCACTTGATAGCTGGTCAAGGTTGTTTATACTAGAAATCCAATTAAACATATTCCTAAAATTCTCAATAATTTCGGGTCATACTATACTTTTACTTACTGTGTATAAAATGAATGTAATGTTTTACATGCATATATGGTGAGACGTTAATAAACAATCTGTCTGTCTCTCAGTGTGTTCATGCAAGGGACAAAGTTGACGTGCATACGTGTGTACCTGCTTTTACTAGCACGGACTAACGCCGCTATCATATACCTAACCCACAGAGATACCATGCCTAAGCTTAACATGGATACTCCACATGGACAGACTCGGGGCTGTGGGGTAGCCTAGTGGTTAAAGCGTCCGCTCGTCACGCCGAAGACCCAGGTTCGATTCCCCACATGGATACTATGTGTGAAGCCCATTTCTGGTGTTCCCCGCCGTGATATTGCTGTAATATTGCTAAAAGCGGCGTATAACCATACTCTCTCACTTATGGACAGACTCCGAGCCTTCCAGGCCTTGCAGGAGGAATGGCAATAACAAGTATCAGTATATAAACGTCTTTGGTATGACGCGTCTGGGGATCGACCACTGGTATTCCGCTCTGTGGGTCGACGCTTTATACTTACACAAAAGAATGAGGAGGGGGAGTAGAGCATCTGGCACTGTCGGTGGACATCGTGAAGCTGGCCAGGCAGGGAGGGGAGGAGGAACGAGACTGACAGAGGCTGGATGGAGTCATACAGGCATGACAGGGTTTTACTGTCGCTGTAAAGAAACAATGGTGCTACTGTAGCTCACCTGGACGATGTAGAGGGATGCTCATAATATCAATCACTGGAGTGTCTGTTTCGGACGTGTATTTACAGGTTACAATACTACTGAATGTGGCGTTGAACAACAAATACACCTTACATTATAAACATTCTCACGGTCTTTAACGGCAGCATTTTTATTTTCTCATCGCCCGACAGACCCTTCTAATTTTATTGCACACCCCTCCCCACCAAAAAAGTAACAACTTTTTTTTTAATTCCAACACCACCGACTCGAACGTAAAACGAACCGCCTCGTCATATAAAATGTTTATCTTCCATTCAGTCGCTGCCACAAGTCCAAAGGTAGCGAGAAATTAATGAGAATCAAGAACATTATTCAGATAATTTTGTCTTTATTAAGCCTTTTTTTTTTCCCGACCGACCAACCGACCCATGTCCAGAATATGGTGGCTACATGAAAAATATGATGTCCTAATGATGCACTTCGGGCCTGAGCCGGAATTCGACATAATAGGGCATGTGAGTCTCGCGAGACGCTACTTCCAGTACTAAGCTTGGTACCCCGGCCTCAGACCACAATTATTTTCCTTCCTTTGCGCGCGCCAACTTACGATATGCGAAACGTGACTGGATCCAGCTTACTTCCGGTACCAGATTTCGAGGTGACAAGCGTATATTCAGGAACCAGCTCTGGTTCCAAATTGCGCTAACGCCAAATATGACTTTACTAGACAAGGACCATATTTTAATGGTGTGCGTCGTTTGTCACCGGGAGTACTAAGGTCTCGCGAAGTGCCGTGACCTAATTACGGCCCCTATATATGCGTATATTTCAATATCTGAAGTATTAGACAGTAGCACATCGTGACCACTCGATCTTCAGATCCATAGGGATGTACTTACCCCCGAACCTCCAGTGAGGTCACGTGTTTCTCGAAGGCCCTGACTGAGCATGCGGAGAACGTGTAGTCGTTGTTTTGTGTCACGTGATCCTCTGAACCGTGGGTCCCGGACATGATGTTGATCTCTGATGACGTGCAGCTGCTGTGCATGTCGTCATGGGGTGCTCCAAGGCTAGAGAAGTAATAAAAACATATATTGTATATTCCAGGAGTGAAGTTTTGGGATAGATCACCTCTATCAGTGGTATATCTGGCCGTACAGTATCTAGATTTGATACTCGAATTAACCAATAGCCAACGAGTATTCTCAAATTGCATGTCAGATTCAGATATATGATGATTTCATTCAGTAGTCAATTACAAGAATACATAATTAATTAGAAACTTAGTTCCAGTGTTAGATGCCCTTTTCGTTATTAAACCACATGCTATAATTTGTGCTTGTGCTGTTGTCAATGGGTCATTGATCAAAGTTGTTGGTTAACATGATTCTTGAGTGTCAATCTGTTCGACACTTGTCCAGCGTTACGATTTACATTGACGTCTTTACCTGTGTCCTATCTCATGTGCAGCTGCAATGACGTCATCGACGAGGCTGTCTCGGTATCTGGTCAGTGATATACTGTAACCAAGGGGATGACACATCCTGCCGTCATAGCCGATACCTACGGTAAATTGGAGATGGCACCATACACGCAGAATATGTATTGAGGGGTTACAACACTGAAGGCTTCTGAGGACTTTTAAAAGGATTTTGGGTGGACATTACTAAGGACAGTTCCAGTTTTAACGCATGGGTTACAGAAAGTATTACCGAAGCACTTCCTTATTTCGACCTGTTCCATAGTTTTTAGAATGAAGACTTCCCTTGCCTTTGCATGTCACCGACCCCTACGGTATAGTGTGTTGCTCAGTAGATATATCTTTATTAGGTTATAATTAAAAGGTTGATCACATTTATTTGCTTAAGAGACAAACATCTTCTGATCTGCTGGTATTATAGAGTACCCGATGTCTGGAATTTGGATCCGGTGGCAAAACAGAACTTCATTGTTCATCCATATTGTAAAATGCAATATGTATCAGTGACTCGTACATTGAATCGTACTAGCGGAATACCCTTCCGCATCGTCGGCCTGCTCAGCACAATGCAAAACAAGACAATTAAATAATCATTCATCTAATGTAATATATAATTACTGTGGTTTCCATTACACCGAACAGAATGGCACATAGGACTTAGAAATAAAAGTAGTACTGTAGTTATTACAAGAAAGAAAGAGTATTCATGCCGAAATTTTGTCGTCCAATCTCATTTAAGTATTTCAACCAGTCGGTCAGACTGTCCCATTCATGTAACACAATATCATGTATCCTTGCTTACCCAATATCTCCGTATATCTTCCCATCTGGACCGTGTACAGGGTACGTCTGTAAACAAAACAAAAACATTTGAAACCTGTTCCATGTATATTTAAAACACAATATTAATCCGAAACAAAACTGAAAAAGAGCTAAGAAAACATTTCCCATTTTGGTGGACTAATATGTAGTCCCAGAAAATAAGTTATTATATTTAAAATGTATATTCACAAATCATTCAATCCGTTTATTCAGTACTAAAGAGGCCACAGACCTGTAGTAAATTTACAATATGCATATTGTAGAATGTTGGCAACGTGGATATTACATAACACAATTAAGACATGACAGTCTTTCTATAGTTTAAAGCATGAATATAAATGCTGATACATTTCGTAGAATTAGAGAATTATGCGAACTCAGGAGATCAAAAATTTAGATAATAAAATATAAACCAAATGGAGCCCAGAGTAATGCTTAAGGTCTGGATGAGGTGATTTGGAGTTGCTAAATCATTCTGCACATGATTTTGGATTCACTTTTCAACCTTTTCTTTAGCCACGATATGGCTGCAATATTACCCATGTGACATCAAGCATTAACTCACTCACTCTATGGTCTGGATAAGGGTTGATAGTGCTGGCTGTGTTTTTGTTGAAGGCCTACAGGTACGGTACCAAGAAGTGCTTCTAGATAAATTCAAGATTTTGCAGTCAAGGTTTCACCATCAAAAGACAGGTCAAGTCACACCAGAAATTATACGCCAGAGGAATATTCTAAATAGTAACGTTGTTTGTCAATATAATGCACGATGCTATTCAATATAATTATCTTTATATGGAGTTTTCAAGCCTTAATCACTGACACTGACTTTAACGTCTGGGATATAAGGTAGCTCTATTTATTTATCACGCGCTTATATTGAGAAGAGATTCAATGTAACGCGTGTGTCGCATGTTGTATATGTTGTACATATCATATATATTTCTTTTGTATATGGGCCTCTGGCCTTCATGCAATAAACTGATTGATTGATTAGTGACTTGAGAAACAGCATGGCCATGTACCACAGTGACATGAATCACGTGATACTGGTCACTGGACTGTCCATAGAGCAGGACATCCTTACCCTGGTGTCAGCACAGATTTTCAGTGATGCATTCATAAGATTAACATTTATAATTTGGCTTTTCTGCCCAGTAAATCTGTTTCGATAGGTTACTGAGAATTAGTTTTAAATTTGGAGGCACAGTTATTTTATCCATAAAACTGCATTGAAAGGCGTGTTTCCATCTCTCAGTGCTTTCCACAAATGGACCCAGTGTTTGATCGGACCAGTTTATGAGTGAGTGAGTTTCGTTTTACGCCGCACTCACCAATTTTCCAGCTATATGGCGATGGACTGTACATAATCAAGTCTGGACAAGACAATCAAGTGATCAACAGCATGAGCATCGATCAGCGCAATTGGGAACCGATGACATGTGTCAACCAAGCCAGCGAGCCTCTTACGACAAGCATGGGTTACTGAAGATCAATTCTAACCCGGATCTTCACGGGAGGACCAGTTTATGATATTGTATGGGGTTGGTCCTGCATACATATACTACTCATGATTACTTATAAGGACCACTCGTTTCTTTCATGTTACTATATTTGATTGGTCACAACGCGGCCCTTAACCTCTTTTGAGTAGGATGATAAAAGTGTAAGTGTTATAATTGTAAACAGTGAATTATATGCCCCGTAAACGGAATCTGTAGAACAATCTCATTCTCCTCGTGGGATATGTTTGGAAACCATTACACTCACTCTGTAAACATGATAACATGGTCACTAGCGGGGAACCCGGATGTTCTGCTGGCCAATGTCCACGCGCTGTCCAGTAACCATTTGCCCTCCACTTCTGTCCGCATGCTTCCAGAGTCCAACACTCCGCGAACCAAGTCTCCCAAAACTGAAGTCTATTAAGAAAAAGAAGTGTGTGGGTGAGTGAGTGAGTGAGTGAAGGCTTAACGCCGATTTTTGTTATATTCCAGCAACACCATGGTGGGGGTACATAAGAAATGTCCTTCACACATTGTACTCATTTTATTAAACCGAAACCGGTTAGTGCGTTAAGTTTTACGCCGCACTCAGCAATATTCCAGCTATATGGCGGCGGTCTATCAAAAAAACCGAGTCCGGACCAGACAATCCAGTGATCAACAGCATGAGCCTCGATCTCCACAGTTGGGACAGGATGACACGTGTCAACCAAGTCAGCGAGCCTGACCACCCGATCCTGTTAGTCGCCTCTTACGACAAGCTTGGGTTACTGAAGATCAATTCTAACCCGGACCTTCACGGGTCTCAAACAGACCTGAAAATAATGTGAAATAAGGATTAAAGTTGCATTTAAGATTCTTTCACTAATTTAGCGTACACATGTGTACAAATCGTAACTACGTTTAACTCGGTCACGTGTTACCTCGACGACGTAACCAGCAAGGTGGACGTGGTATCGTGGAGACGCCATCTTGAAACGAAGGTGGACCTGTGGAGGAAGAAACAATAATATAAACTATATTTAATCTGTCAGATTATTTATGCATTAAACTGCCCCTCCGTTCCTGTTTTATCAATTCTGAATAGTGTAAAGATCTGAATGTATTAATTAACGTAAAAAACTATAAAAAGAAAATCTGCGAACATATGTTGAATGGATAAGCGCAAAATGTATAAATTTCCTTTACATATATAACTGCAATACAGCAAATATATCTTAAAGTCAATTTATAGTTATCAGCGATATCGCCTCTTCTGCTTCAGCTATCTTAATCAGGAATGAGTGTTTTGTGATTGAGCGTTGCCTGTGCTTCGGTCTGAGCGCATCTTTAATTATTTGGTAATCCATCAAACACAAGTACATCTTGCTTACAGCATTCATCACATGACCAAAATGGCGCCGGATGTGCTCAATGGTATCCAGTTTTCTCTTCTCGGGACTTGAAAAAGTAGATCTGTTGTACCATCTACAAAACAAACACAGGTTTCCCAACACACATTAAGTACATAAATGCGACACGATCAGAGCTTATTTCATCAAGCATTTAGTTACGAAATACTGCATTTTTTTCGAAAAAATATAACGATACCATTAATTCAAATCTTAATCATTTTTAAACCCCACTATGTCAGCTGCGTAAGAACCTCACTGTGACATCAGCGTAGAAGCCCAAATATTTCATTGACGTAAAAGCTATATACATGCCATGTGAGACAGTATTAGTCACATCATCAAGACAACTACACCCAGTCAAACATTATATACTAGTGCTCAAAAGAAACTATACACAGCAAAATATCACAAAGAAATTCACGAAAATAAAAAAAGAAGTGATAAAGCCATCTTGAGCCACGTCACACACGTACATTTGCTGTAGAATTGAATACTCTATTGAAATTATACAGATGTTCATTTATATATGCTAATCCTTTCTTTTCAAGTTTGGTCAAACACACTGTATACTTTCTTTTGAGCACTAGTTTATAAACAGACACTCTTACCGCTGGTACACAGTGTAGTCAACAAATACGACGATGTCCAGGTGGACGTCAGGAGCGGCACTGGGAGCGGCAGTATCAGGATGGGGACACGATGGATCTGCTGCAGGAGCGTCCGGTGCTGCCCCGGGGGTGGCATGTCCCAGGAACGGAGGGTCTGGTGCAGGTACATCTATGTTGTGATCTGAAATAAGTGAGAGAGTTGATGAATGCGTGTTGACTCGATTACTCACGGACCACCATCCGTTCGCATGAATACTGCTGGGCGTGGCGACCAGCAGGCTAACAAACGGAAATAATCTAAATGAGACGAAAAAACAACAGAAAAGACAAAAATATATACATGAACAAATCAGAAATAAGTGAATTATCGAACGTTGTGTTCCTGAAAGGTCTGGATCATTATTAGTCCAGCTTAGTTGTCATGTAAATACTCGGTGTGCAAGATACACACGTGGTTGATATTATGACCACGCCAACGTTACCTTGAACAGCATAGTCGAGCCGGAAAGGATCGAAGTCTGTGTGTGAACCTTCAGTCGTTCTCGTTTTGTCATGCGAGAATCTCGTGTCGGGGTCCAGTGTGTACAATCGTCCGTCCGGCATTGGAACGAGGCCTCTCTGTGATAAGATAACGATGAAATATGTAATTAAAGTACTGTCGTCGGAATAAGAAATACACTTCTAACCATCACCACCATGACCTTGTGAATTATCAGTTACATTGGCAAATCCAGTTAGAGCCCAGTCATTCTTTGACTGAAGTACCCGTGAAGATCCGGGTTAGAATTGATCTTCAGTTACCCATGCTTGTCGTAGAAGCGACCAACGGGATCGGGTGGTCAGGCTCGCTGACTTGGTTGACACATGGCATCCCAATTGCGTAGACTGATGTTCCTACCGTTGATCAGTGTATTGTCTGGTCCAGCTTCGTTTGTTTACAGACCGCCGCTATATAGCTAAACACACTCACTCACTCACTCCCTCACTTTGACTGAAGGCTAAATGTGACGTAAATTCTACTCACTCATTCAATCACGAAAATAAGGAATATAATACATCCTAATCGATAACTAATAATGACTGAATAATTCATGATGCAATGAGCCGGCGGCAGTTAGATGATTTAAGTTGTATAGCATTACCAAAGACAAAGTTGAGCTGCCATCTTCTCTGTTGGTACACGTCACCTCTACCGTCGCCTTGTTTTCTGTGTCCTGGTATTCGGCGCGAGTCTGCACGTGATATAAGCAACAATGGTTGTACTTCAGATGTGCAATCAAGACCTTACGTCCCAATATTTATTTATTTATTTATTTATTTATTTATTTATTTATTTATTTATTTATTTATTTATTTATTTATTTATTTATTTATTTATTTATTTATTTATTTTTTTTTTTTTTTTTAATTTTTTATTTATTTATTTATTTAAGGCTACGCTGAGCAATATGTAAATAATTAGATCTGATTTCAACAAACAAGTGGTTAACATTATATATGCAACTTTCCCGTTATCCGAACTCGATAATCCACCGTACTTTCATATCCCCATTAAATAATGCAGTATATAACCCGGTGACACACAATGACAAAGTTACGTGAAGATATGACGGATGTTGAGATAAATAATGTATTGTGGGTGGTTTGGTTATTACTTTGTACGTATTGAAGCGCAGACTGAAAATTTACTATCCATATTAACTGAATCGGGGATCGGATGGACACAATGCCGAGGATACGTAGTGATAATTGAGGACCAGCAAATACAAAGCATCAGATTATAGGTTATTTAATCTCGCCCTTGTCATTATATCACATCATGAACATTCATACCGATCGAGGCAATAAACAACAACAGTTATTCACACACGGTATTAGACTACACACATGGTATTAGACTACACACACGGTATCAGACTACACACACGGTATCAGACTGCACACACGGTATTAGACTACACACACGGTATTAGACTACACACATGATATTAGACTACACACACGGTATTAGACTACACACATGGTATTAGACTACACACATGATATTCGACTACACACACGGTATTAGACTACACACACGGTATTAGACTACACACACGGTATTAGACTACACACACGATATTAGACTACACACACGGTATTAGACTACACACACGGTATTAGACTACACACATGATATTAGACTACACACACGGTATTAGACTACACACACGGTATTAGACTACACACATGGTATTAGACTACACACACACGGTATTAGACTACACACACGGTATTAGACTACACACACGGTATTATCGGTATTGAGTATTAGACTACACACACGGTATTAGACTACACACACGGTATTAGACTAGACTACACACGGTATTAGACTACACACACGGTATTAGACTACACACACGGTATTAGACTACACACGGTATTAGACTACACACATGGTATTAGACTACACACACGGGTATTATTAGACTACACACACGGTATTAGACTACACACACGGTATTAGACTACACACACGGTATTAGACTACACACACGGTATTAGACTACACACATGATATTAGACTACACACACGGTATTAGACTACACACACGGTATTAGACTACACACACGGTATTAGACTACACACACGGTATTAGACTACACACACGGTATTAGACTACACACACGGTATTAGACTACACACATGGTATTAGACTACACACATGGTATTAGACTACACACACGGTATTAGATACAACTACACACGGTATTAGACTACACACACGGTATTAGACTACACACACGGTATTAGACTACACACACGGTATTAGACTACACACACGGTATTAGACTACACACACGGTATTAGACTACACACACGGTATTAGACTACACACACGGTATTAGACTACACACACGGTATTAGACTACACACATGGTATTAGACTAACGCTCTGAACGTATATGTTTTGATAGAAACAAATAATTCCTTTTAATTTGAAAAGAGACCTAATATGATGGGATATTTAGGACCTGATAAAATCTTGACTTGTTTCATTTAGGGCTTTAGCATTGCAGAAAGGGCTGTCGGGAATGGAAAATACAGTGGTTCGGGGACTGTGAAACGGACTAACATGGCATACATACCTGTCTATACAGAGTTCTATGCTTCTCTAACACTACTTCTCTTGTCAGCAGAAACACTGCGGCACTTGGGTCCACATCCGGGTTCCTCACAAGACGGAGCGCCAGGGATTGATTTGATGACGTCACTTCCGCGTGGAGGATGTTAGGGAGGTAACAGTTTACCTTTTTAGAGGCAAGGTCCTGGTGGAAATCTATGTGATAGGTTCCAAACGTTTATGACTGTTATATCATCATTGAAATCAACATAGAAATAATTTATCTTGGCAATTTATTCCCTGTCGTTAATGCTGAACGTCTCTGCAAGGCACACAGCGGTGACTGGTTCATCATTAATGCTACTATCATCTCGATGACCTGGCTGATCTAGGTCATTGTATCCCAGTTGCGTAGAACAATGCTCAGGATGACAATCACTTGCTTATCTGGCCCAGGTTACATACACATTATATAGCTGGAATATTGCTGTGTGCGAAGTTAAAAAACAAACCAAGGCTCAGTATCAAATTGAACAAGGCGTACCTCTGGAATATTCATTTAAAATAAAGTGTTTCATAACAAATGCCCAGAATATTTACTTTTATGTTTAATGGGGACTACGTTCCATGACTGTGACGCTGTACATATACCCCAATGCACAACATGTTGTCTAAGTTTGCCGTTGTTACTTGTCAACATCTCATCCTTAGATACACAAATCAGCCCCCATTATCCACCCAAACGTAATTCCAATGGGTATAAAAGGGAAAATAGCGGTTACAATTGTATAATTGGATCATCAACAATCGTTGTTTGCGAAAAGAATAAGTACTGAAAACATGGAATAAAAATGGGTTTCACATGGGTTTGCTTCGTTTTAAAAATGTTTTTTACAATTGTTTGTATTGAAAGATACTACAAAAGTGTTCTGAAAATAGCCATCAAACTAATTTTAACATAACGTGTAGACTAGCGGTATGTCTCTGAAAATAGCCATCAAACCAGTATTAACATAACATGTAGACTAGCGGTATTCCTATGAAAATACATAAATTTGACCAAAAAATATAACCATTTTCAGATCGGAAAGGATCAGCAGTGAGATTGGAGATTCAGAACCTGAGGAACTTGCTTAATTTGGGCCTTTAGCAACTAAAAGGGGTTGGGCAGAAGGGGTATACTGGTGCTCAAGGACCGTGCCACGACACGCGTATCTTTCACAATATGCAGTGTGTGTGTACATTTGTGAATCATTTTGAAAGGAACATTTCAGTGGAAAGTTATAGAAGCTTTCAAACTTTATGCCACTTCGACAATTTGGATTCCCAAGTAAACAATTCTATGAATAGAAGTGACGATGTTTGTGTGTAATCTGGGTATTGATTTCAGCCACATTGATAAACAAATTGGTCCTTGCGCCTAAACCATATACAGTTAAACTAACTTGTGTCAAATCTTTTTGACTGTCATTCGACGGGATCCAGACTTACCTACCGAACAAAGCGATGCTCCAAATATCAATGAGAAAGTTTAAAACAGTACTCACCCGGAGAAGCGCGCATTATTGAAGCAACAGTTAACATAGCAATACAATTCAAAGTCGCTGTCATCATGGCGTATAACTCAACTTATACACGAGGGAGTTCTTCAACCTTGCACATACAGACGGTCAAGGCTCTGTTGAACTGGTGTTTACTGTTATATACGTACCGTTATGCATACTACCCTGAGATTCTCCTCGTGCTTGTGCTAATAATGCCGGTACTATAAATGATATAACACTATCCTTACGTATCTTTAAGTATGTATCGTCCCCGTCGAAGAGTGGGGAGATTAAGCGTTGTCATAACATTTATATAGCTTCTATCCCGTGTGAATATGGAAGCGTGAGAGAATTGGAAACATAGCTCTTAAATCGTAGGTCTGCGGTCACTACCAGGGGGCCGTTGTACAAAACAATCTTAGAGGTATAACTGCCGTCAGTACAGGGGTTGTCTATGCAGATGACAAACAGATTTACAAAGTCATACCACCTTGCAATACCTGGGAGAGTGACACGGGCAGATTGGAGGCGTGTCTAGCTGATATCAAAGATTGGACAAGTGTCAACATGCTGAAATTAAAACGGGATAAAACAGAACTGATAATCGTCTGACCCAAGAAAAGGACAAATAACACCCAAGAGCGTTCGGTTTTAAAATTACATTTAGCGGTCTTATGTCAACGAAAAGGGACCGCAAAAGAGTACAGGACAGTGTAGCGCGACTCATTACTCGTACACGGAAACACAACCATATTACGCCGATCCTGAAGATCTTGCATTGGTTGCCATTTCATCTAACACTGCTCCAACGTATCTCAAGAAGCTCGTTATTCCTTATGAGCCATCGTCATCTCTTCCATCACAATCTTCATCTCTGATCACTGTGCCCAAAACACCACCTGCAATGTATGGTGACAGATGCTTCAACAAGATGGCAGCCACACTGTGGAACGATCTGCCATCTACTCTGAGAAACACAACATATTAAGAACGGCGTAAAAACCTATCTCTTTAAATCAGCTTACACCCAGTAGCATTTATGACTGTTTCTGTAAAGAGCGTAGTTTTACTAAAATAAGTAGTTCCTAAATCATATAGGGCGCTATACAAATCTGTATATTATTATTACGATCACCTTAATTAACACCATGATCGGTGTATAACGGCGGTCAGGAAACAGTATACTCTAACCGAGTTTGTTCAAAATCAGCATCGAACATCAGTAAAACGTTACGAAGTAGTGGATCGTAGCTATGTAATAGCGACAAGTAGATGTCGGGTTGTAACTGTGGTGCAGTACCTTACGACTGCATGCAGATAGCAATGTAATCGTTACAATCATTGGCTGGACGTTATTCCCTATATCGGGCTATGTAAATCAGTGTGGCAGTTAATACCTTCAAGCTTATTCCCAACGAAAATTCGCTTTTCTTTGCTGAAGTAATAGGCCTTAGTATACGTATGTTGGTATGATGTTATTATTTACGGGGTCTGTTTTAAAGGGGGGCTCAGGTCTAGAAAGATGGCAGTCCTCACCCGTGACATACGAACACCTTCTTTAATTGCTCCAGTCGATAGGGAATGAGTTGTTTATACAACAAGTGAGGTTGATGTACAATGCTTGTATAAGAGATAACCCTACTGGCTTCCTGTCAACTTACTCAATCTCTTATACAAGCGTTGTACATCAACCTCACTTATTGTATAAACAACTCATTCCCTATCTACTGTAACAACAACTCCTGTATATATTCTCTCAAGTTGTTACTAATGTATCACTTGCTTGACAACGACATTAGAATCTATGTCGAAACGTCGCCTCCACAGAATAAAAGAAGTTGTATATCCACAATAATAATAATTGTCGTTATTCTTCATCAACTCAACTTCTAAAATGCCAATCAAAAGTTGTGACTTAGTCAAGTCACGTGAGTGAGTGAGTTTTATGCAGGCCTCAGCAATATTCTAGCTATATGGCAGTGGTCTGTAAATAATCGAGTCTGGACCAGACATTCCAGTGATCAACAGCATGCGCATCGATCTACACAATTGGGATACGATGACATGTGTCAGCCAAGTCAGCGAGCCTGACCACCCGATCCCCTTAGTCGCCTCTTACAACAAACATGGGTTACCGAAGATGAATTCTAACCCGGATCTTCACGGGTCCAAGTCACGTGAGATACCGTAGTAAATAATATTCTTTATTCCTCCATTGGAGAGTACAATAACACTGACAGGCAGATGTAATTAAACAAGAGAGGTATTTTAAAAGAAGAATACATTAACGATATTGGAGGAGCACTGGTTTAGATGGGTTTGGATTTCCCTCAGTTTACGATAAGGTTAATACACAGTCTGTACAATCTTTGAACGGCCAGAGAAGAGTAGATGGTCATGTTAGATACATTTAATATATTTACTCAGCTTATCAATAATTATGTAATTTCTTTCCGTACAAAGACTATGATATTTGAAATAATTCGGTCTTGTACAACAATACTTTGGTAATAACTTAGTTCTATCTTCTAATAACGAGTTCACAAATATAGTGGTACTCATCACCCACCGGAGTTACACATCAAACACTTTGTATCATATAAAGGGACATGATACCAGTGCCCTACTTCAACAGGAAGCTTAGTATTACTAGTTCTAAATGTGTAAAGTTGTAAAGATGCGTGGTGACTTAACGAGGACAAAGTGAAGACACGTGTTTAATTTAGTGAAGACACGTGTTGTAAATGAAGACAGGTTTGGAGACGTAGTTAAGACACGTGTTTAAGTGAAGACATGTTTAATTTAGTGAAGACATATTTGAGGATGTTGTGGAGTCACGTGTTGTAAATGAAGACAGGAGTGGAGACGTAGTTAAGACACGTGTTTAAGTGAAGACACGTGTTTACTTTAGTGAGGATGTTGTGATGTCACGTGTTGTAAATGAAGTCAGGAGTGGAGACGTAGTTAAGACACGTGTGTAACTGAAGACACGTGTTTACTTTAGTGAGGATGTTGTGACGTCACGTGTTGTAAATGAAGTCAGGAGTGGAGACGTAGTTAAGACACGTGTGTAACTGAAGACACGTGTTTACTTTAGTGAGGATGTTGTGACGTCACGTACTGTAAATCAAGACAGGAGTGGAGACGTAATTAAGACACGTGTGTAACTGAAGACACGTGTTTACTTTAGTGAGGATGTTGTGACGTCACGTGTTGTAAATGAAGACAGGAGTGGAGACGTAGTCAAAACACGTGTTTAAATGAAGTCACGTGTTGTAAATGAAGTCGAGTGGAGACGTAGTTAAGACACGTGTTTAAGTGAAGACACGTGTTTCCTTTAGTGAGGACGTTGTGAAGTCACGTGTTCTAAATGAAGACAGGAGTGGAGACGTAGTTAAGACACGTGTTTAATTTAGTGAGGATGTTGTGAAGTCACGTGTTGTAAATGAAGACAGGAGCGGAGACGTAGTCAAAACAGGTGTTTAAGTGAAGACGCGTGTTTAATTTAGTAAAGACATGTTTGAGGACGTTGTGAAGACACGTGTTGTAAATGAAGCCAGGAGTGGAGACGTAGTTAAGACACGTGTTTAAGTGAAGACACGTGTTAACTTTAGTGGGGACGTTGTGAAGTCACGTGTTGTAAATGAAGACAGGAGTGGAGACGTAGTTAAGACACGTGTTTAAGTGAAGACACGGGTTTAATTTAGTGAGGACATGTTTGAGACGTTGTGAAGTCACGTGTTGTAAATGAAGACAGGAGTGGAGACGTAGTTAAGACAGGTGTTTAAGTGAAGACACGGGTTTAATTTAGTGAGGACGTTGTGAAGTCACGTGTTGTAAATGAAGACAGGAGTGGAGACGTAGTTAAGACAGATGCGAAGGCTTGGTGAAGACACATGGGATGACTTCGTGAAAGCACGTTCAAACAGGGAATATTCTGACCTCGCTGTGTCGTCAAATAGAGATCAGTTAAGATAAAGATAAACTGATAAAGATCTTTACATATATCTACGTGTAATAATCGAAACCTGTTCAACCTCGTTATAACGCCCAGCACAATTTGCAGGTGGAACTATAGAGAGGGTTCGCTGATTATCATGCACACATATAACCTTTCACTCGAGTGCTTTGAAAGAAAAAACACAAACCAAAATTTCACCAGAGCATTAATATGCTAAAATATGTCTACATACTAACTGAAGGCTGAAGATTAACAGATGGCGTAGGGTAAATGTTTCTAATATCAAAATCGGAATAATTCTGACTTTGTTTTAATGTAAATACCGAATTCATACTGAACCAGTTTGGAACACGCCCATTAAATACATACGCCATGCTTGTCGGTTCTTCCACGTTACATATAAACAGGAAAGCATTATCCTGACGACTAGCCCAATCCTAGTGAATGACCTACTAACATATCTCGACATGTCCGTGTTGCGTGGAGTCATGAAGACGGCGCTTGTTTTGTTGGCTTTGGGACTTTCAACAGGTAGGTTTTCCAGAACTATTGATACGTGTTTGTTTACACGAGTGAGTGAGTATACTTTCACGCCGTTTTTAGCAACATGCCAAAATATCACGGCGCGGACACCAGAAATGGGTTTCACACGTTGTACCCATGTGGGGAATTGAACCCGGTTCCGGCGTGACAAGCGAACGCTTTAACCACTGGCCTACCCCACCGGAACGCGTTTCTTTGAATTGAGATTCGTATTAGAATAGTTCTGATAGCACCAAACTAGGACGGGTATCATGAACAATAATGACGGTTTCGGGGCGTCGCGATTCATCGATATATCATCGATTACACCTGATTGATCTTCAGCAACCCATGCCTGTCGTGAGAGTAGCGATCGATTCTTATGATGTCACTCCCTAGATTTTCTGTTCGGGATTAAATACAGACATCCTTCATATCTGGAATATTGCCGAATGTGGTTTTAAACAACAAAAAACAAATCAGTTCATGTAATCTTTTCGAAAAGAATATTTACTTTCTAAAAATAGCTACCACGTAAGACGATAAGACAGAAATAGTTCCTGTAGTTATTACTCAAGACGGTAACCAAAACAAAGTATAAAACTAAATTTTATGTATTACTGTTTTATATCTTTCTCTTAAATTGAACATAGTTTATATCAACATTTAAATTGTATTTCAAAAGTAGGCGTTGCAAGAAAAGCATTATCATCATTTCTTTCAAACGTTTATGGCCTGAAATTCAGGAAGTACCGAAATTATTATCTATGATATTCCTTGTCACAATATTTGCTGCAACATAGTTTTAGAACACCAACTGTATTTTACTGAATTATACTTAAAAGTAATAATTGTTTTAAAATTAATGGTTGTTTATTGGATTTGTGTCTAATATAAGACAACAAGAAATAATAAAAGAATAATATCATGTATATTTATATAGAATCATGACATAATGATATTAAGGCTCAGTTACATAGTTAAGCACAACGATGGGCAGACAAAGGTGAGGTGAGGTGAAATTGGGTTTTACGTCGTGCTTGAGAATATTTCGATCATATGACCACGTGCATGCGTGTGTATGTGTATGTGCGGCTGCTTGTACTAGCCCAGACTTAAGCTGGTTTTATAGTGCTAGCCCACTGAGATACCATGCCGCAGTGAAGCATGAATACCCCACTCAGACACATTATACTGACTCCGAGCCGACCAGTCCTTGTTGTACCCATTAATGCCGAGCGCCAGGCAGGGACCAACAAGTACCATATGTTAACGTCTTTTGGTATGACGCGGTCGGGGATCGAACCCACGACCTTCCGCTGGGCAGACAAAGGGAAAACGATGGACAGACGAAGGGACAACGATGGACACATAAATTGCCTTCTACTTATCGATAGCAGACCCAGCCAAGGGGTTATCACCAATTACGGTTATAAATGTCATAATGTATATAACTGTAATTACTGTAACAAGACTCATACGCCAGTATACCATGAAGTGGTGGTGTGGATTAAGAATACAGATTAGCGCCATATAAGTAATTGTAATGAAGTTATAAATGTCCTGGCTACATAGTGTTCGAGGACGGATAAGAGTATTCCGTTCTAGCTATCCTCAGTATCAAATGTTGCTTCCCCTTCTCATGAGTCAATGGATTGTCTGGTCCAGACTCAATTTGTTTACAATCATACGTCGTACAGCTGAAATACTGGTCCAGACTCGATTTGTTTACAATCGTACGTCGTACAGCTGAAATACTGGTCCAGGCTCAATTTGTTTACAATCATACGTCGTACAGCTGTGATACTGGTCCAGACTCGATTTGTTTACAATCATACGTCGTACAGCTGTGATACTGGTCCAGACTCGATTTGTTTACAATCATACGTCGTACAGCTGTGATACTGGTCCAGACTCGATTTGTTTACAATCATACGTCGTACAGCTGAAATACTGGTTCAGACTCGATTTGTTTACAATCATACGTCGTACAGCTGAAATACTGGTTCAGACTTAATTTGTTTACAATCATACGTCGTACAGCTAAAATACCGGTCCAGACTTAATTTGTTTACAATCATACGTCGTACAGCTAAAATACTGGTCCAGACTCGATTTGTTTACAATCGTACGTCGTACAGCTGAAATACTGGTCCAGGCTCAATTTGTTTACAATCATACGTCGTACAGCTGTGATACTGGTCCAGACTCGATTTGTTTACAATCATACGTCGTACAGCTGTGATACTGGTCCAGACTCGATTTGTTTACAATCGTACGTCGTACAGCTGTGATACTGGTCCAGACTCGATTTGTTTACAATCATACGTCGTACAGCTGAAATACTGGTTCAGACTCGATTTGTTTACAATCATACGTCGTACAGCTGAAATACTGGTTCAGACTTAATTTGTTTACAATCATACGTCGTACAGCTAAAATACCGGTCCAGACTTAATTTGTTTACAATCATACGTCGTACAGCTAAAATACTGGTCCAGACTTAATTTGTTTACAATCATACGTCGTACAGCTGTGATTCTGGTCAGATCCCATTCACCATTCATCACGAATCACTCATGTTTTATATAATCTATGTTGGGCAGCCCAGTGGTTCAAGTGTTCGCTCATCCGCCGAAAGCCCGGGTTCGATTTCCCATTTTTGTACAATGTGTGAAGCCCATTTCTGGTGTCACCCACCGTGATATTGCTGGATTATTACTGAAAGCGGCGTAAAATCCAACTCACTTACTCACTCACTTTAATGTAATGTATCACGACGACCTTGTATGATCTCTGTGTGTCTGCTAGGTACCTCTCAGGCAGCTGTCGCCTGTCAAGACCACGACGTTATATGTAGCACCACGGCGGACGTGTGCAGCGACCCACTTGGGCCCAAGTTGTGTCCGGAGACATGTCATGCCTGCCCAACAGGTTGGTACATTGATCATAACAATATTTATTGCGCATCAGGTTCCTGTAGGTTTCGGGGCTGTGGGTACCGGGGTTTTCCGAAAGCAATCCCAGGGCTTCTATACGGAAAATAGGGTTTTTGACAAATGAACTTTGACACCCGATAGAAGCCCGGGCTTATATTCGGAACCCTGGACTTTTATTCGGATTTGTTTTAAAGTGACAATCATATGGAATAAAAAATCATAAGGCAATAAGTGAAGGAAATCTTTTTAATATTACTTTGACTATGCAATGAAACGGAACGCATACAAACACTAACATAACTCTTGAAAAATGTTTAGAAATTGGTCATGAGAACTATGGGGTTCAAACAAGTCAATCCATCGCACAAAGGATCATCGCGGTCGACACCGCTTGCGCCATCATCTATGGGGTTTCTAACAGGTCAATCAAACAGCTCAATTTCACCAAAAGGATCTTCGTCATCAACGTCGCTTGCGTCATCATCGTCTACATCCATGTCACCCTCCTCCAAACCTACATTGTATCCGTGGCTCCCTCGCAGTCGACTGTTCAGATCCGTTATAGCCACCTTTTCTCCATTCGGAGCAATACCAGAAAGTTGGAATGATCTTGCCACAGTTGACCTTTCGCATGAGATAACCGCCTTAGACACCATTTGCAATAATTGCCCATAAGATGGCCGCCTTCTGTATCCCTTAGGGGTGAACTCTTTTTCTTCATTCTCGAACCAATCGTTCCATTGTTCTCGCATTTTGGACTTGAAGATGCAGTTTACTCCACCACTGACGTCAAGGGGTTGTAGGAAAGGTGTCATCTTCGGAGGAATGATCTTCGTCAGTACGTTCAACTGCTTCAGATGGTGTATTACTTTCGGCATACTATGGCTTCTATGGCTGTCCATGAATAGAACTGATGGCTCAAAAGTTATGAAAGGTCCACATCTCAAAATTGTGGCAATCCATTGAAGCATCGGGGCTTCATTCATGCTGCCACCAGAAGAAACAGCCAGATGATGTTTGAAGGTACATCACATTTTGGCAACTTCTTAAGTCCTTTCAAAATCACCATTGATCTGAGAAAATTGCCACTGGCAGTTATACAAAGTACGGTTGGAAACCGATGCTTGTCATTGCCAGTATGGGCAGCATCGACGCTTGTTGCCAATGAAATCCATCGTTGTTCCTGTCGTCATGTCTATATAGCTGGGTGTTTCATCCATGTTGAGGATATGAGCAGCATCGTAACCCAACGTAAGCTGTTCTACGCCGCGAAGGTGATCCTGTATGATTGTCTTGATAACAACATGATCTCGGTTGCTGACCCTGATGTGTGACACGTCTGCTTTTAATGTCGTGGCGTTGACAGAAATTGTAGATCCACTTGTCACTAAAACCGATCGCACTGGTGCCAAGTTCAAGTTCACGTTCAAGTCGGAGAGCTTGTTACCCCGAATTCCCTTATAGTTTACGATCATTCTCTCCTTTCCCTGTTCCTTGAACCATGCATGCAGACATTGTTTAAAGTTCAGGGAGTGCTGGTTTGGTTTACTCCCATTTGAACTACATCCCAAACTAACTACAGGGATTAATTATCTGAGTAGAGGCATCCCCTTGGAATGTAATGAGCACAGCCCATCAGCTCTCCCAGAAGAACTACATGCTTAAAATGCTATTGACCAGTAATTATGTTGTTGTCAAGGTAATCTAATAACCAGAAAGTAAAGGACAAGAGAGAAGGGTGTCTTGTAGTTAGTGAATGTTCTTGTATTCATATAATATATAAAAAAACAAGCCAAGCTTAGTATATTGGAGTATAGGCGAAATATAAACGAAAGAGTTTCTAAGTTAAAATAGTATTGTTATGGATTGCAATCCAGTACCTCGATGCAGTTGGCTACTTATTGAAGCTGCGCTAAACTAGTTCTACATGGATCAGATTGAACACTGAGGATGAAAGTGACACTAAATTATCACACTGAATATATAAGCCTATCTTTAGATGAACTATCTATACATCTATATATAAAACTCCTGACTTTATCTGCACAAGATCTTTCGCCGGTCAGCGGTTCTTCATGTATACAAAAGTAAGTGTCGCTATATCGTCATCATGCGTATGACGTCACAGTTAGTGACAATAGGTAATATGTAATAGATACATATCATCTTAGGTAGTTGACAATGCTGTTCATAAAGCAGTAAAAGTCCCAAGAGAGGGACAAAACAAAAGAAACACATACAGATTTTTTTCCATTTCGTATTAAATATCGGGTAGGGTGACCGGCTTGGGTGGCCAAATATCACAGGCCGGTTGGGGAGCATAATATAAAGCTCACCTCTTGTTCTCAGGGATTATCGCGCTCTACTGATCTGGAATCTGTAAACAATAGGTGCCGGACAAGTGGGAAGACCCGGCTGTGCCGACTCCACAAATTCTGACTCGTTTTTAGACCATTCTCTAAGCTGTTTCCTATCAATTCCCAGACTCCTTGATGCAGAGGTCAGACTACCCCCATATTCAAGCTTTACCTTCTTCACAACATCAAGTTTTTCTTTGATAGTGTAGGACCTCCGCTTGAACATACTGACTAAAGAGATGAGACAACGGGCAAAATACGAGACAGTTTTTTAACATCACTAGTAACGCCAGTGAATATGTATAACGCTTGTATTTCAAGACCACCTTGGGGTAAATGCGAACGTTTAAAGTCCTTATTTATCACCCGTATAGTCAGATCGCCACCTCTCTTCAGAAAGTAGTTTTACACTTGGCTCTTTAGGTGTCCAAAATGTTCTATAAACGTGAAATCCACTAATAACACTTTCAACAGATATGCTCGTCATGTCAAATATAGGAAGGAATAACATGGACCGCACCGCACCGCACCGCACCGCACCGCACCGCACCGCACCGCACCTTGAACACTTGGTACCATCACTTCTTGATAATGATTCATGAAGCATGTTTATGACATAGCCGAAATTGTACAATGTTCATTTTATCTTTTTTCTTGCTTTTAAATATACTGAGAACCAGTCACTTTAACAGAAACCGTAACCATGCCGACCAAGGGGGCGGGCGCTTGTGAAGACCACCATATCGCATGCAGCACCGTGGTGGATATCTGTAGCCACTCGTTCGGACCCGCGTTGTGTGCAAAGACGTGTGATGCCTGCCCATCAGGTTGGTACATTGCTTATCGTCACTATTATCATACTGATTCATAAACACATGCTAAAGCAGTCTCTATAAGACCAGTACCATATAAGCCTATGAGATCAATATCTTCTCGACACCTATTAAATATAGGTCAATGTTCAGAAACTTGTACAACCGCTTCAATAAATGTCTCCGCGATCTGTAACCTCTGCAGCCGTTCCCACTAAATATGTACAAATAAGGACGTTTATGTGTCTGTGACTTCATCTACTTTCAAACTCCTACAGCGCCATCTACCGTTACCACCACAACCCCTACAGCGCCATCTACCGTTACCACCACACACCCCTACAGCGCCATCTACCGTTACCACCACACCCCTACAGCGCCATCTACCGTTACCACCACACCCCCTACATCGCCATCTACCGTTACCACCACACCCCTACAGCGCCATCTACCGTTACCACCACACCCCTACATCGCCATCTACCGTTACCACCACACCCCCTTCAGCGCCATCTACCGTTACCACCACAACCCCCTACAGCGCCATCTACCGTTACCACCACAACCCCTACAGCGCCATCTACCGTTACCACCACAACCCCTACAGCGCCATCTACCGTTACCACCACAACCCCCACAGCGCCATCTACCGTTACCACCACAACCCCTACAGCGCCATCTACCGTTAACTCCACAACGCCTACAGTGTCACCCACAACTACCACCACAACCTCAACAGCGCCATCTACCGCTACCACCCATGGCTCCTCTCCTTCCGCAAAGAGCACTGCAACTACCACGACACCTGATACACCCACAAGTGCCCCAGCTGCCACGACAAATACATCTCCAACAACAGACAACGGCCCCACTACAACAGGTGCCCAAACGAGTCCGTGGTCTTCAAGTGCAGTTTACTCCTCTGCAAGCGTTCCCTCTGAAATCCCAACAAGCAAGCCCACAGCAGGGAAAGTCTTAAAGCGATCCTGTTTACAGTGCGGGGACGAAACTAGGGGGATCTTTTGCACTATTATGGAGACTATTATCCCTAAATCTTACCCTTGTCCAGAGGGTATGGGTTTCTGTATGAGCGACGTTCAACAACACATGGATGCTACCACGAAGTACAGGAGAAGGTGAGGAAGAGTGAGTGAGTGAGTTTATTTTTACGCCGCACTCAGCAATATACCAGCTGTATGACGCAGTCTGTAAATAATCAAGTATGGACCAGACAATCCAGTGGTCAACAGCATGATCATCGATCTACACAATTGGGATAAGATGACGTGTCAACCAAGTCAGCGAGCCTGACCACCCGTTCCCGTTAGTCACCTATTACGACAAGCATGGGTTACTGAAGATCAATTCTAACCCGGATCTTCACGAATTAGGTGAGCTAAGAAAAGCTCATTTCCTGTTGTGAATTAGGAGATTGATACAGTATGTATTTCCCACCTAAACCGTATTTCTGTCACTTGACGATACCATCAGTTTTGAAATTACTTATTGTTAACCCTTCTTTTACTGTGAAGCCACATTCGCAAAATACCGTTTCCATATCGGTATTTCCAGCAGTATGTTGTCAGGGCTGAAACAAATATCCTAAGGTATATGTGAACTTCCATCAAGAAACTACAGAACAAACTGTAATATTCCTTAACAGCAGCCGTCATATAGTTTACAGGCCGCTTGATTTCATTTGAGACCGATGCTCACAAACACAAAATCTATTAATAGCAACAAAACCGGCACAGTCACATGATCCCTGATCCCTCTGATTCGCTATTTTCCACGAGGTGGGGACCACTTGCTGGTAAAACAGCCAGGTAATGAACAAGCGTGTGTAGTGAAATTTCAATTTCACACGTGCAACTCGCACACCTGGCTGTTTTGCCAGCAAGTGCATATTGCATATTGCTAACTGCGACGTTAAACAAATTAACAAACAATACATTAACTGTTTGCAAATAGAGACCAACGCGCTGTTTTTTCACTCAACATCAGTGTGGCTGTGTTTTGTTCTGTGCAGGTGTGTTTTGTTCTGTGCAGGTGTGTTTTGTTCTGTGTAGGTGTGTCGACGAAGCAACGTGTAATATGCAGTGGTACAAACAGACCTCCGGCAACAGCGAGTGTGTGGGCGTCGACCCGACGACACTGTCCTCAAACGTCACGTGCATGTACTGCTGCACCACCGACAACTGCAACACCGGCATCATCCCCAACAGTAAAACCCTGTACAAGCCACATCCATAATGTTGGTATGTCAGAGAAGTCATCTTGCCAGAAACGAATGATTCAATCCAAAAAGGTTATTTTCATCTACTGGGGAGGTTCTTCTTTGCCAATAAAATATTTATATCTGGGCCAGTTGTCGATCTCACCGTCACCGTCGTCGTCGCAGTCGTTGTTGTCGTCGTCGTTGTTCTTGTACAGATTAACATGAATAAAATCAGCAAACCGAGTTCGGGTGGTGCTGGCACAGTCAGGCTGCTAAGGCACACCATCAGCTTTGGGTCCTTCCACAATTCATCCGCCACCCAGGCAACGAATGGGACATCGCCCAGAAACCGCTGCCCAATCGAACCCTCCAAAGACTTTTCGAGAGCGTGAAAACTCCCCTACATTGCAGCCTTCTGCATTACACAGAGTAACAGAAGGGTGTTGCGCGATCCTGGCAGCCGAACAGGGTATTTTCCATATATCTGTCAACAGATTGGGAAGGACCTAACCCAAGGCAAGGGGTGTGTACGGTTTTCCGCGGCTTTTAGCAATATACCAGCAATATCATGGTGGGGTGGGCAACAGGAATGTGGTTCACACAATGTATCCAAGTGGGGAATCGAATCCGTGACGAGCTAGCTATTTAACTATTTGGCTACCAAACCCGTCCCTCCATCCCAAGGCAAAGAGTGAGTGAGTGGGTATGGTTTTACGCCGCTTTTAGCAATATTCCAGCAATATCACGGCGGAGGACACCAGAAATGGGCTGCACACATTGTACCCATGTGGGGAATCGAACCCGGGTCTTCAGCGTGACGAGCGGACGCTTTAACCACTAGGCTACCCCACCGCCTCCCAAGGCAAATAGGACAATGGAAAGTCATATTACTGAAACACCAGACTGATACACAGAGTTACATATATATGGGTCTGGGGTCTCAGTAAGGTCCCTGCCCTGCTACAGGATCAAGGTGGTACTTCGATACAACCCTGGCATGTTGCCAGAAGCAGCGACAAACCCTGTTGATATTACTTCATCACTAGTGAGTGATTGAGTGAGTTGGGTTTTACGCCGCTTTTAGCAATATTCCAGGAATATTACGGCGGGGGACACCAGAATTGGGCTTCACACATTGTTCCCATGTGGGCAGTCGAACCCTTGCCTTCAGCGTGACGAGCGAACGCTCTAACCACTAGACTACCCCGCCGCCCCCTTCAACACTAGAACGACACGCGTTCACTACGAAAGGCTACAGCACCATGAGTCAAAAACTGGTTCCCAGATAGCGATGCTTTTCAGGACTACGAGGCGACCTGCATTTATGGATCGGATACTCAGATTCGGTAACTTTGTTGATTGCGGGCCAACGTATACTACCCTGCTGAGGTGGACCCTTGCTCATTATGTGAATCCTTGGTTTGCATTTGTAACACCCTCTCTTACCCATGACAGATGTTCTGATGACAGAGGACCCGTGAAGATCCTCGTAAGAGGCGACTAACGGGATCGGGTGGTCAGGCTTGCTGACTTGGTTGACCATGTCATCGTATCCCAATTGCGTAGATCGATGCTCATGCTCATAATGACTGGATTGTCTGGTCCAGACCCGATTATTTTCAGACTGTCGCCACATACAGTAGCTGAAACCAGGGACAATCTACTACATAGTCTCCCTGCTGAAACTAAACTCACTCTGATGACAGCGAGATGATCGGTATCGGGTTTAGACTCGATACTCGTTGGTGAAAATACATTTTCCAGACAGTACGTGCAGTGGACTTCTCCCAAAATGAAAATGGCTTTAATCCGTGACAACACTTTAAACTGGAAACACATTAATCGGATCGGAAAATTTCATTAGCAGTAGATCTAGTACACATCTTTTCGAAATTGCCAGAATCTGTCAGCTGTCATTTGCTTTCCTGTGTAAAAGAAAAAGTTGCTGGGTTTTTTTTATTTTAAGCATCACAGTGGTCAACTTGTTTTCTGGTCCAAAATGAGTTTAAGTGCGTCAAGTTTGCTTGTCGCTATCTTATTGGTAGAGTTCGGAATATCATCCGGTCATCGGTGGGGGTAAAAGACACATCTTCCGTATTTTACATATTTCCGGTACTTTCCAAGATGGCTGCGGCGGTAAGAGTTGCTGAGTTGTTGGATTCTTTGCCTAACTCTGACGACCCCAAAGCGGTGCTTGAATCTGTACAAACCATCGTGACAACTGTTCACCCGTCCACTCTGCGAGATGTTATACCTAATGTATCGTTTGCGAACATATTTGACTGCCTAAACCACACTGATACGTAAGTGAACAGTTTCCGTTCAATCATGACTATGGCTTTTGCGATGGAAATATCACTTATCATGCTTATGACACAGGTATTTCATTTTGACATCATCGACATAACAAAGAGAGGAAGGATGTGTGGCGTTGTCGCTATATTATGTTTATATCCACATTATAAGTTCGATAAATATCCCCCTGTTTTTCTTTTATATATTTATATGTATATATTTTTTTCTAATTGGGGATTGGGCGTGCACCGGTTTGGGGTGTATTTTCCACTGTTTTAGATATGTTAGACCACTTTAGACAATATGACTTCTTCTGGGAAAACAAGGAAAAAGCATGGAAGTGGTACTGTACATCTTCTAACAAAATCTTACAACATTATGAACATTTCCTTTGACCATTTGTCTCCTGCAAATCACTGGGGAGTATGGCTCCTCACTGGGCACTATTAATAATTTCATCTTTATGCACTCAACAAGTGGGAAATTGAACTTGCATTGTTAACATGAAGTGATCGAAATCATGCTTAATTTGCATGACAGAACACAGAAAATATTGAAATGGCAGGGATAAATATTTTTTCAATGTGCCCTGGCGGCATAAACAAAGTCATAACAATGTTATACAACATGAGTCTTTTAATGGAAAATGTGAAAAAATGTGACCAACTGATTCAAACCTATTTATCAAACTGTTTATCGGTCTCACAGTTTAACATGGGTGTGGCCATTACGAATACCAGTGTGCATAACAGGAAGTCAGCGCTTTGAATGATTCACTGTTTGTGGGTTAGTTTATGGGTCCAGGACAAATGAAGCTGAAATAATCTTGCAGTGTTTATTGTGTTTAGGAAATCTAGATCAAGTTTTCAGGTTTACATGATGTTTACTGATTTAGTTAACAATAAATTGGAAATGACAAAAATGCCCCAATGTTTTCAGTTTTATTGAGCATTAAAGGTATGCATGCTTATTTCCACAAAGGCACATAGATTATCTGTCTGGTGCCCTATAGCACTTCTTTTAAAAAAAATGCATTTCTATTATATAAATGCTTAAACTCTTCAGTGTATTTACAAATTATATACTCACCATTTTTCTACAGAACACAAAATTAGTTGGATGGATTCTCCTCAAATTACATAGGACCTACATAAAACAATAACTATCAACTAACCCTAAAGGCTTTAAAAGGGTTTTGATTGGAATAATGTACAAAGTTTAAGAAGGGCTGTTTGCTCGGATAGGCTATCCAAGGGTTATGGATAGAGTTGGGGGTAACAACAGTGTGTGAAATAAGCCCCAAACTCCAGGCCGACATCAGGGCTGGTAACTTCAAAATGTTACCAGCCCAGAATGGATTTAACCAGACCAGACACCAAGATATAGTGAATTTACTCAGATGTATGAAACAGATGGCTACAATTTTTACCAGACCATCAGGCTGGCTAGCTGTAAATTTAGATCACCCGCCAGAAATCTAGCCCATCTCGAGGCGGTCGAACAGGCCATATTTCATACACTGGTAACAAATGACAGTCTGAACCCATTTGTGTTACAAACTGTGCCTGGTAAACTACTGTCATGCCAGTCATTGTTCTGTGTACCGTTTTCAGAGACTATCAGGCATCGCTTGAGACAATAATATATTAATATTGAAATGATTAAGAAATATTGTTCACCATCTCCCTATTATATTTCTACAAATACTAATCCAGGGACAAGCTCACAAAATGAAAATAATATCTGCTGCCTGTTAAGGCGATTGGGGGTACCCAAGTGGTTAAAAAGCTTGTCACACAGAAGACCCGGTTCGATTCTCTATGGGTACAATGTGTGAAGCCCATTTCTGGTGTCCCCACCATGATATTGCTGGAATATTGCTAAAAGCGCGTAAAACTGAACTCACTCACTATTCAATGACACAGGAGCATTTTACTGTCACTTGATAATGGTTTCCAAAAGGAAGAATAAACTTCGTCATGATGAATGGTGTTCGATTAATGTGAATGATATATAAATTGTTGCAAAAGCGAGCCAATAACGCCAATCATTGTTAAGCGGTATATGTCATATAAACAAAATATTTTGGATCAAATCTGCCTGTTAAATTTATAAAAGAGTGCACTGAAATTAAAAGTTCTTTGTTTACTATTGAGGAGCAGCGTTGGTTTCCAAACAAAATTGATTTTAGGTCAAATTCTTTAGTATAAAAATACATAATTTGACGTATATCGTTGTAAAGAGTACATGAAAAGAAATAGTGATCAGAGTCTTCATAGTTATGGCCACAAGAGCAAGATGATGTCGGAGATATAAATCTTTCATATTTGTGCGCATTAAGGTCACTACATTCAAGCTGGAGACGAGAATGTATGATTAGACAAAATCTGCTATCGAAATTTAAGTCAAAATGACTGTAGATATTAGAATCGTTCAAAATTACATTTTTGAATCTCGATAGGTGATGGTCAATTAGTGAATATGTTTTTATAGCCTGAAATGCTCATACATTCGAGCCTCAACATTTCCTTTAACTAAACACAGCATTGAATGTCAATTAGTGAACATGTTTTAATAGCCTGTTTTTATCCACACTTTTTGACAAGATTAATTAACAAAAGCTCTAGATTGTTTTGATAAGCATTATACCATACTTGTTGAGAAAACCTGTGCATTTACGGCCTCACCTTTTGACAAAATTAATTAACAAAAGCTCTAGATTGTTTTGATAAGTATTATACCATACTTGCTGACAAAAACTATGCATTTATGGCCAATAAACATTTTATACAAACATTTCATTTTATTCTTGTAATTCTTTACAAAAGCATTAATAACATGCAAATAATTGGTATTATAGTGTTAATATTACTTTTGCTCTTATCAGTTTACTAATAGAAAATCTATCAGAAATATTACTATATAATATTATACGAAGTATATAATACGGAAGTTGACAAAAACTATGCATTTATGGCATATATTTAATCATTTTAAATACACTGGGGCATTTTGACTACCCCCCTGGGGCGATTTGACCAAAAATCTGGGGCATTTTGACCAAATTGGCTGGGGCGTTTTGTAGCTGGGGCGATTTGACTGGCACCCACAGGAAGTCGCGTTTTGAATGATTCACTGTTTGTGGGTTAGTTTATGGGTCCAGGACAAATGAAGCTGAAATAATCTTGCAGTGTTTATTGTGTTTAGGAAATCTAGATCAAGTTTTCAGGTTTACATGATGTTTACTGATTTAGTTAACAATAAATTGAAATGACAAAAATGTTGTGATGTTTTCAGTTTTATTGGAGCATCAAAGGTATGTGCATGCTTATTTCCACAAAGGCACAGCTAGATTATCTGTCTGGTGCTCTATAGCACCCTTTTAAAAATGCATTTCTATCCATGGCATAGATAAATGCTTAAAATATTCAGTGTTCATTTACAAAGTATACATACTCACCATTTTCTCTACAGAACACAAAATTAGTTCTCAATTTCACAAAATTCTCCTCAAATTACATAGGACCTACATAAACAATAACTATCAACTAACCCTAAAGGCTTTAAAAGGGTTTTTGATTGGAATAATGTGCCGAAAGTTTAAGAAGGGCTGTTTGCTCGGATAGGCTATCCAAGGGTTATGGATAGAGTTGGGGGTAACAACAGTGTGTGAAATAAGCCCCAAACCCAGGCCGACATCAGGGCTGGTAACTTCAAAATGTTACCAGCCCAGAATGGATTTAACCAGACCAGACACCAAGATATAGTGAATTTACTCAGATGTATGAAACAGATGGCTACAATTTTTACCAGACCATCAGGCTGGCTAGCTGTAAATTTAGACCGCCCGTCAGAAATCTAGCCCATCTCGGGCGGTCGAACGGGCCATATTTCATACACTGGTAACAAATGACAGTCTGAGCCCATTTGTGTTACAAACTGTGCCTGGTAAACTACTGTCATGCCAGTCATTGTTCTGTGTACCGTTTTCAGAGACTATCAGACATTCTTTGCATGCGAGACAATAATATATTAATATCCTGAAATGATTCAAAAGAAATATTGTTCACCATCTCCCCTAATATATTTCTACAAATACTAATCCAGGGACAAGCTCACAAAATGAAAATAATATCTGCTGCCTTTATTCAATGACGGGGGCGGTGGGGTACCCAAGTGGTTAAAGTGTTAGCTTGTCACACAGAAGACCCGGGTTCGATTCCCCTCATGGGTACAATGTGTGAAGCCCATTTCTGGTGTCCCCCACCATGATATTGCTGGAATATTGCTAAAAGCGGCGTAAAACTAAACTCACTCACTATTCAATGACACAGGAGCATTTTACTGTCACTTGATAATGGTTTCCAAAAAGGAAAATACAGTAGTCTATAGTGGTGTTCCGATTAATTGAAATAATCGAAGATTGGTCGCAGTGGCCAAACGACCAAGCAATCGATCACATTTTCTCATAATCGAACACAAACGATTTTGGAACATCTGTAATAGAGTTTGAAATACTTGATGATAGAACATATCTAGGACGTTGTCAGGGCCTGAAAACGTGTTTATTTCTAAGAAAATTCACTTCACTTTCTGAAAAGTCATGACTGAATATTTCTTGAAGAATCTGGGAAGTTTATGTTACACTGGAACTGAATAATTTTACACTGGATGTGAAATTTGCAAATGTAATTTGTGAGTTTCAAAACACAACAACAGAGAACCAAATGTTTTTTCTTTATACTTATCTGCAACTACAACCTGAATAGGAAAATCTAAAAAATGACGCGAGCAATTTTTTTCGATGATTGGTCGTTGGTATTGAACCAGTCATCAATTGTGAGATTTCAACCAATTCCCAACACTAGTAGTCTAGGTCTGAATCAGTTATTTTGGTAAGATCCTACTTATCATGCAGAGGACTTCTGAACCTTGGCTGTGATGTCTTAGACCGACTGATGTCATCTGTAAGCCCAGCATTGGTCCTGCACAACTTCAAGGTGGAATTCAACCAGTGCCTCATACACCCAGCACTGCCAGTAAAACTGCTGGCTCTAAAACAGGTGAGTGAATTGTTCCATATATAATTACTTTGTTTCAAGAATTTTAGCTTGTTTGATGTTAAGCATGAAAACGTCTATTTCAGTTCTATGTGGCATCAAGTTGTGGATCTTTGTTGCTGTGACTATCAATCTGTTGACACTGACCTACAATAGTTTTCTTCAAAACAACTAACTACTAGTATATCATTATCATGTTCAATACACTTCTCATTTGAAAGGCATCATCAAAATGTGCATGTCGTAAAGCCAGTTTCAACATATTTCATTGACCACAAATTGAAATCTTACCAATCCCTGCCAAGAGAGAAAATAAGAAAAGAACCCAGGTGATCTTAAATTAAGGCTTGCTAAAAAGGTCAGTAAACAGAAGATTAGAAGAACTGTTATCGATATGAGAATTGTGTTGTCAATAATATGATACATAAACTATTGCGATGAAATAATGTTTCACTTTGCAACCTTAATTTTGGGCTGCTTCTAAATTATGTTCAGGACTCTATGTTTCTAGTTGTCAAGAGCCTCTGTTGAGAATGTGTGCAGTTTGTTTGAAGTCCCAGAGCTTGTGCTGAAAGTAGCAGACCATCTGGCTGATGATAGCCTGACTGTAGCCAAACCAGCTGGCGTCATCCTGACAAACCTGGGTAAGGGCTGCTTTCCACTTCACAACCGGAAGATAGAATCTACTTTAAAATTAGATATTAAGAGTGAGTGCATGAGTTAAGTTTTACGTTGCTTTTAGCAATATTCCAGCAATATTACAGGTTTGATTCCCCACATGGTTACAATGTGTGAAGCGCATTTCTAGTGTCCCATGTGTAGAGCCCATTTCTTGTGTCTCCTGCTGTGATATTGCTGGAATATTGCTAAAAGCGACATAAAACTACACTCACTCACTCAAGTCAATTATGCTGGCACGATATTCACAGACTGAACACAACAGTAATCATTCATGCTTGACTTTGACACCAGATAACAGTGAGAGGAGTGCTCTTATGACTAGTAGGTCTTGGCCCAATAGTGTTCCATGCAGAATATTGGTTTTGATGTACCAAATGTTTCTGGGTTATTCTTTTCATGTATGTTCAAGATTATACCAAGGTCCAGGTTTCACAACACAAATGCTTTTTGTTTTTCGCTACAGTCAAAATGTCCAAACAGGAACAAACAGCCACACATGTACAGGAATGCTGCTTTATGAGTGAAGTAATTGATTTCAAATTGCATTTCACTTAGCAAATCCATTTTTGGGGACAAAGATACCCCAACTGTTGCGAGGACTCCTATAATGCTTACAGTCTTACCTTAGATCTTGGGCTCTAATCCCTGATTCGCCGTGATTTTATTTCTTGGTTTCTTAGTGCCATGAACTTCCCTTTGGGTTTTACAAAGATTACAAGCATCTATGACCAACATAACTTCAGACACTCTTATCAAACAAGCTGTAACTGAAATACTGTTCAAGAAGCATTAACCCTGACTCGCTTATCGTTGTCTAGGCAAGATGCCTGATGGCCTGGCTGCTCTGTACAGTCCGGAAATGGAACAGCGGCTCCAGAAAGCCATGGAAAAGAATGACACAGTCAAGTTCGAGTCTACCAGGTGACTATTAACGAAAAGTATTATTTATGTATCCACTATTGAAAGTGCAATATAGAACAAACTTTATGGATAACAACTTCTTTAAAGAAAAAATGCCACTCAAACAAGTTGGGATGGGATAATTGATCCCCATGATTGTTCTCTGCGCCTTTCAAACCAAATAGCTGTATCGAACTAACCTTGCAATTGGAAGAAGGCAGATTACTATGTATTCTTGTTAACTACTGCACAAAATTTACACTATCAAATACAGGATAAATATTCTCCATTTACATAATAGTTTTACATAAAATTATATTTAATGGTGCATAACTTTTTCACCACGTACATGCCATGCGTAGGGATATATGTTCATCTATAAGAATGTACCAATGTTTTAGCTACTGAATAATGCCACATGAGTAGGTTACAAAGATTTTAATTTTAATTTGAATAATGTAAACATGGTTATAGTGCTAATCCCACATTTACTTTCCCCAGTATGCTGGGTTTCTTAGAATGTAAATGAATTCATATTTAGTTTGTTAGATCATGCATCATCTTTGATTGTTTGACTTTTAGTGTATGATATGTGCTGCACCGTTTCGCCTTTCACCACAACAATTGTTGGCTAAAGATTTGTCAGAGATGTTCCAATAAACACAGATGTGTTGTGAGGTGAACACTCAATCATGCAAACTGAAATCTTTAAGTCAGATGGGGCGGCGGGGGGTAGCCTAGTGGTTAAAACGTCCGCTCATCCACTGAAGACCCAGGTTCGATTCCCCACATGGGTACAATGTGTGAAACCCATTTCTGGTGTCCCCTGCCGTGATATTGCTGGAATATTGCTAAAAGTGGCGTAAAACCATATTCACTCACTCACTCACTTAAGTCAGTTGATAAGGTTGATATGTGTAACCATCTAATAATAATTTTATGTTGTCTTGAACTGTAAGGTTCTTTTCACTAGAACAAATGTATAAAACTTAATGAGGTGAACAGGTAAGATTCCATAGCTGTAATGTTCATACCCAGACACTACAGCCCAGGTAGCCGAGAACAGCGATGGGGGCCTACAGTCAAGACATGCATCTCTCAGCTAGGCTGGCTGATTTAGCTCATGTTTAGTTGAAGAATAAATTTCTATTTTTTGTTTGACAAATGATTGATCTAGTAATCATACTAACATTAGGAATTAAATCATAAACTATATGACTGGCAGAATACAAGATTCATCCTTCATAATCTCTTTTTAGCAAAGGATATAACCGCCAAATCCGTGATTGAGAAACATGTTTATTTACGGCTGGCAATAATCACACTCTTGGGTGATTTTGAGGGATGCTTTAATCATACTCGCCATGTTCACACCCAATCAATTTGATTCCATTGTGGTTGAAATAATAAGGGTCAAGCGCTTCACTATTTTGTAAAAAAACATTGTGTGATGGGAAAAGCAAAGATATATAAACAAAATATCTCCAGTGTCTTGCCATAGGAGCAGTCTCGTGGATATATCAGGCAATATTTGTTGGATTAAAGTTACACCAAGTTTAAAAATATGAAATGTGGAAAAAAAAACAATCTGCACTGCACAAAACGAAATATATGAAATCAATGTGTTAAACTGTCATGGTTTATTTTATTTCAGATCGTGGTGGACATCAGCCGGGCATCACCCATTGGTCTGCAGAGGTCAGCAGAGGCTGGCTACATCCAGCAGCTGGTCAGTGAAGTGCACAAGGACGACATCCTGGTCCAGCTCAACTGTCTGGAACTCATGTCCGACCTGGCACAGGAACAGCATGGGATTGTCTTCCTTGACGAGCAGGGCATTGTGGGTAAAATGGAAGATATGATGTCCAACGTGGAGTCCGATCCGATGGCAGGGTTCTTGCTGCCAGGTTTGTTAGCTCTGAAATAACATACAGTGTTTGGTTGTTATACAATTTTATATGGACTTTATTAACCCATGATGATATATGAGCTTCATCTTGAAATGACCTTAATTTTTGTTTAATATCTAAATTTTAGCTTTGTTAAGTTTTGAATTATTTTCATATGGAATATTAACTAAATGCTTTGAAAAGCCCTAAAGTGTATTGACATGACTATTAAAACAGGTATAATGCCCTGATCTGGGGGTTTTACCTCAGTGTGATATAATTTATTATTGTGTATATTGTGTAACCAAGTATGTTGAATTTTTTTACAATTATTAACAAACCCATCTAAGGTCAGACCACTTTTATTTCTTGTTTTATGGAGTTTGGTCCTCAGAAAACCTAAGGCAGGAGGGAAAAAATAAATTTAAGAAATCACCAGTGAAAGCAAAAACCCACATGAGTTTCCATGTAAACTCTTTTGGTGTGTTTATATCAACTAAAAATAAGTTGAGTGTTTCACACTGATTTCAAGAGTACATATTACAATATTACATTAACATTAGGATTTTATTTTTCGAGAGGGGAAAATTATTAAATTCGAAAAACAAGAAATAAAATTGGTCTGGCCTTAAGATAGTATTGCAAAATTATGGAAATACAATAAGTTATGCATGTGAGTACCAAATGTTTGTCCAGCCTCCTTTTTTAAATCTATAACTTATGTATATTTCAATGGATAACCATATTCTCTCTGTATACAGTGTAAAATGATGACGAGGGCAAATAGCCCAAGTCTTTACTGAATAAAGAATCTGTAGTCTAGTTTTAGCCAGGGCAGTAAGAGTCAGGACACATGTGATTGGGAATGTTTTGGTAGCAATCAAGCATGGACTGAGTGTGTTTGTCCAATTGCTAATGAGGTGAGGTGAAATTGGGTTTAACGTCGTGCTTGAGAATATTTTGCTCATATGACGACGTGTATGTGTATCTGCTTGTACTAGCCCAGACTTTAGCTGGTATTATAGTGCTAGCCCACTGAGATACCATGCCGCAGTGAAGCATGAATACCCCACTCAGACACATTATACTGACTCCGAACCGACCAGTCCTTGTTGTACCCATTAATGCCGAGCGCCAGGCAGGGACCAACAAGTACCATATTTTAACGTCTTTTGGTATGACACGGTCGGGGATCGAACCCATGACCTTCCGGCTTCCCCGGGCGGACGCTCTAACCACTACACCACATAGGCGGTCCCAATTACTAATGAATCTATCTGTGGGGATTATGTGCTTGTTGAGAGAAGCATCAAAATAGATCGGACATGACTTGATTATTTGCAGACTGCTGTCACATAACTGGAATACTGCCACAAAATATGACATACAGATCCAGTTAGACATGGTTTTATGTGCATTTATTTCTGTTATATACAGATGCATGAATGTGGCGTTAAACGACAAACAGCTGATGAATGAATCACACTGAATTCCTACCATTTCATGTTCAGCCCTCCTTTTGTAACCACACAGATGTTGACAGATGTTATATTTTTTTGTGGCAAGTCATAGTTACCATATACATTTTCACAAACTGGAAAAAGTTTTTTCTCACCCCTAACCAGCTGACATGAACACAGCTTGGGTGACAGTGCTATCTCAAAGCCTCCTGTTTCAGGTTTAATGAAATTCTTTGGAGGACTGGCCAGGTACCATCCTAAAGAAGTATGTGGCAAGTTCAACAAATTCACCAACCTCGTGTTCCACAGTGTTGATGGAGGGGACTCCACTCTGCAAGCAACGGCCATTGATACGATCGGCTTTATTGGCAGCACGACTGATGGAAAACTGGCACTGGAGAAACTAGGTATGATTATGGCAGACTTTGAAAAATCTTTACTTGCAAGACTCAACTTCTTTCAGTGGCATTTACATGTTGTCATGATGAAGAGGAAGAACTTTTATGGATTGACAACTTCTTCAACTTATTGAATTTTATGCATCCAAATATTGCATCTATTGTTATAATGAAGTTGCCAATCCAGAAAAGCTTGTTCCTTTCCTTTTCAAAACTACAGTAATTGTGCATTCAGTTACTAGAGTAACCCTAACTAAAGATCTTTTGTTAGTACACAATGGTATATTCCAAACATTAATGTACAGCCATTATCAAAGCTGCCAGAATTTATTTTATAATAAAATTCTATTATTCTAAACCAGTTTTCAATGCATTAATTTGGATTCAAATTTGAAATGAATGTTTCTAACAGAAAATGTACACGGCAGACATTTCATCTTTTTCAAACAGGACTACCTACCAACTGGAAGGACATGTGGAAGATATCCAGTTCTCTTATCTTGTCTTCAAAATACAAAAAAAAATAAAATTCAAATGCCGGATGTATGAATTAAAACAAATGGATGTCTGTGTGCAGGTAGCCAGATGACAGGGTACATGAAGCGAGTTGGCAAACTCATACAGAACTCCATATCCGAGACGAAGACGCGGTGTCTTCAGGCTGTTGCCTCGCTCCTTCAGCTCAAGGTAATAAGATGCTCCGTATGAAATGATTATAACAGGGTTTTACACGACACGCGCAAATGTGCATCCAGTATGCTCAAATGTAGAGAATGGATGCAAGAAAAATATCAATGCATTCAAAGGGACGCACAATATTCACTGTACCCACAACACATCTATGACTTTGCTGCTAAGTGTTTGTTGTTTCGTTCGAAGCAGTTACATGCATCATTTCATCCTTCATTCCACATGATCAATGATTCAATCCAGGCTCTAAACTAAAGATATTATCAAAACATGCAGTTCTCTACACTGGCCCACAAGTACCTTTAAGACTAATAATTGGAGGTTCCCAGGACACCCATGTCTGTGAGTCAAGGTAAAACCCTGTTATAATGTACTACTCAATACTTTTCAGATGTTAAAGGACAATCTGTAATACTCACTAAAAGAACAAGAACACCTAGTTACTATATGTACCTGTAGTCTTACCATGACAGATCAAATGTAGTAGGGACAGTGGGGTAGCCTTGTGGTTAAAGCGTTTGCTTGACACAATCGAAGACCAAGGTTCGATTCCCCACATGGGTACAATGTGTGAAGCCCATTTCTGGTATCCCCCGCCAATATATTGCTGGAATATAGCTAAACTAAAAATCACTCACTGGTGTTTTGATTCAGGTGTGACCTTTGATGTTTCTGCCACGTTGAACCTGTTGGCTCCTGATAAACCTATATATGCTGAAGGTGAGCTTCAGTACCAGCATATTTCTCTATACTTCAGGTAGAGGACCAGACAGCAGAGTTCCTGGCCCTGACAGAGACCTGGTTCAGCCATCTATTCCCAAAACCCTTTGATGTTCTGTGGGACATCGTTAAGCAACCCTTCTCCGACCTGAGATGCAGCACATATGGCATTTTCCAGGCCTTGGCTCTGCAGCCATGGGGGCAGAAGTTGATGAACGAAGCACCTGGCTTCTGCGAGTTTGTTCTGGACAGGACAACAGAAAACTGCAAGGAAGGGAAGGAGAGCAAGTATGAGGTCATCTGCACACTGGCCCAATCTCCCACTGTCATTGATTCATTTGGTCGGCCATTCTATGTGAGAGTTATGGAGTACTACAAGCAAGGTGCATTCTATGTCCAGGCACAGTCTGAAGTTGCCCTCGAAGATGGGGGATCATGAAGATGTTGTAATGGTGATGTTGAAAAGTAAAATAAACTGTTTATTTTCCCTGTAAAATTGTTTTGTTTTCTGTATGTTGTAGTGGATAACACTTCTGAAGTGAGTTTCATTCCTTACTTGTTCCAGGATCTGCTAATTCAGGGATCAAATTCTATCATTGCCCTATTTGATCCATGGTGTGCCAGCACAAAAACAAAACACACACACACACGTATGTTTCTACAAATAGGGAAACAATTTTGGCAAGCATCACTGCAGGTTTTCCTCGATATTAACTAACATTGTGATATAACACATTGTGATATAACTGACATGCTGGTGAGAATGGCATTGAACCAACTTCACTGACTCGGAGTACAATTCTTTGAGTGTAAAACACTCAGTATGATTCATGCTACGTAACGACAGGACGCATGTGATGAAATCTCAATCTGACAAACCAGTACTTGAAAATCAAACGTACACACAATCAAGCAAATTGTAACAAGCAGAGACCCCTGGAGTCCTGGAATCTCCACTGGGTAATGCAAGATGTGATTGAAAACGACGGATTTAAGACATTTGTGTAAGGCATTTAATATTCCTTCAACCAAGAAGTATACACCACACAAATTTCTATTGCTTGCATGCAAATGTGTACAAATATGCAAGTATACCAAATACCCAATAGACTGGGCCCCGAGGAGCCATTATGTTTTCACCCACATTACCTGACCTAGGCCAGGTTTTTAGGCCAAAACTTATACAAAATGCCTGTGCTTAACATGGTATTCAGTAATATTTCAGCTACATGACGGCCTGTAAACGTCAGAACCAGACAACCAAGATATAAATATTATGTGTAAATTGTAATCACCCCTGACTTAAGGATACACTGACGCATCATCAACTGGTAGCTGGGGACAATTTCTAACCAGAAATTCCCACTGCATAACAAGTTGGTTGTTATCCGTAATATTATGTAGTATATTTCTGATGTCTAGTCAATATGTTAACAAGTGATAAGTCACTTGACCTACAATAATCAATCATATTGCAGGTAAGATTAGTTTACAGTTTGGGAGCACCATAGGCATCAGGCATTCTCTCAATGGTGTACTGGTGTTGGGACAAGAACATGATTGGAACTCCAGGTATTTTGCCCGTATCCTTCTCTTCAGGGCCTGATCACATGTAGCTACGATGTAACACTTGTGCTGCGTCACACGTTGCACAAGGCAGTCATCAGCATATGTTCCTTTGTGCATACAAGGCAAGAGCTGAAAGCGAGGGTCCTTTGCTATTCTCAGAGCAACTCTGTATTTACGGCCAAGTTTTTCAAATTCTGCCATCACACAATCTGTAACATAGAAAATGAGTGACTAGTTATACAGATGGCTGTATTCCAGCTATATCTTCATGGCATGTAAACATGATAATACAGTTGATGGAAAGAGTTCCTTCCGTTCCCCCAACCCTAAACCTAACTTAAATTTTGGACTTTTAGTCATTTTGTGAGTTCTCTAGTAATTGTTGTGTTAAGTTTTGTTAATAATTTTAGTATATTTATAACTATTATGTGGGATGGGGGAATGGGAGGAACTCTTACCCAATGGTTTACCATGAGATAAGCTGCAACTTTACGTCATCTATGAAAGCAAACATATTTTGATGTATCTTCTTTCTAAAGAAAACCAAATGGAATCACACATAAAAAAATATTCTAACTTAAAATAATTCAATCAAATAACAATTACCTGTTATGTAGGGAATGCATTTCGCATATAGACAGTTCATCATTGACGGTATAATGTCCAGTTTATTTTGGATAGAAAAGTTGATGAAGTTCGTGTCAACAAGAATGTGATAAGGTGGTCCAAGTTGTGTGTTGTATTGGAAAAACATAGCTGATGACGTCTGTGGAATTTCTCTTATAGACATATTTTGTGACGGTCCCTTTGGCTTTGGCTTCTTTTTCTTCTTCTGCCTGTCACTTTTCTTGATTCTTCCATCTTTTAAGCTGATCATACGCTTCATAACTGCATACTTCTTGTTTGATTTCACCTTTCCCATAGTGAATTCGGACTCCAAACACCACCATGTGCAATGAAATAAAGGGAAGTAACTAAGTCAGGCGCGTGATCCAAAAGAAGAATTTTAGAGGAAACGAAACATAAAGTGCAGCTCCTGTTTAAGGCGATGATTAACAAAATAGAGGCAATAGTGAAATCATATCGAACTGGGACAAACGTCAAGTCGCACTCCATTAAGTATAATCGAGAGTGAAACGAGAAATCGAAGGGTTATTGAACTGCTTGGTATTTTGGTGGTGGTACGCGTATATTTTGGTAACAAATGGATTGTCTCCCTTAGCGATCCTCAAATCGAAAGATGGTCAAGGCATTTCGCAATTTTCAGATTAAATAGTGTGAAACGCAATTCAGTCAACCCTGAAATGGCTGGCTGTCTACCACAACAACAGAAGAAGTCAGCAGTGGACGCCGAGTCGATGTCAGGCATTGACAATATGAATACTCGGACCCAAGATGTTGTTGACAAAATATTCGGCGAATATACAAGGTGAGCGACATTTATTAGCTGTTTATAGAGATGACAGATTGGATGACGTCTCGTGTGACTGAGTGTTCATTTCAAATCCGAGAAAATAGACTGACATTTAGACAATTCGGAAATAGTTATCTCATTCAGACATTATCATATAGTTCCAAAAATTAAATCCAATGCAGCCCAGGATAGTATTGTTATTTTTAGAGCTTAGGTCATATTATAGACCTGTCTAATCATTTTTGAGACTTGAGTGGGACTTCTTTAAATTTATTCTTTAGAAGTATTTGGAATCAAACAACAAGAACAATGCCTATCATGTGTGACTGAGTCCGTGAATGGACTGTCAGTGTGTGGTATAAACACAGCTACAGATAACTTTTTTGGTCATTGATTGAGTTATGTACTCCCTTGTGTTCATCTCAATTGGGTATCCTAATTTTCCTTTGAGTAGCCAAATAAATTGTACCCACCTCACCCAAACTCAATTGGGTATTTTGCCATTTTCCATTAATTGTAAAAATATAATAAAGTTTAAATGTTGGTTTATGTGTTTGTTATTTATATTTGATCTGTTATATGAGAAACGATAAGAAAACTGCTGAAATAGAACCTCTCAATATACCTCAGTTATTTGATCTATTTTTGTTTGTACGCATGTAAGATAAAATTTATTGAGTACCGGTATTTACAAAACTTCAAGCGTACTTCTTTTGTTATATTAACTTTTTATTCATCCCATGGCATATACATGTATAAACATCGAATCTGAATATAATACACATGAATACAGTTGTAATAGTTATGTATATTCAAGTAGTAATGGTACTACTGTGTATCAGAAATGTGCACTAAATGTCCCTTATGTGTAGATACAGAAAACTGTTAAAGGTCTGGCATTTACATGTAAAGAGGGTTAATATGGTACACTTGGTAATAGTATCCCATATTCAGATAGCAATAATGTGTGTCGAGTATGTGCACTAAAGCATCCACTTTATGTAAAAGCAGAAAACTGTTAAAGGTCTGACATATATGTACAGAGGGTGAAAATGGTACACATGAAAATCTTGGTAATAATTGCAGATAGCAATACTAGAGAGTGTCAAGTAAATCTTCTAAAGGGGTCCTTTTTCTGTAGAAGCAGTTAAGTGTCTGCCATATACATGTACAGAAAGAGGATGTAGTACACATTATTATATTGGTATTTGGTAATAGTTGTACATATTCAGATAGCAATAGTACCAATATGAGTCAAGTATGTGCACTAAAAGCATCCATTTTCTGTGGAAGCTGTTACAGGTCTGGAATATACATGTACGGAAGGTGGATATAGTATACATTACGCATTTAGCGCGAAGTGGGGGATATAGTATTTGGCTCCGTCCGTCCGTGAGTACATACGAATTGGAATATCTTAAGAACCATTGACTGGATTCTTTTCATACTTGGTACCTAGGTTCATCACAGCATAAGAAAAGTCTCAGTCAGGTTTGGTGACCTTGACCTTCATTTCAAGGTCACAAGGGGACTTTAACGGTTTACACTTGTCGGCGAGATATCTCAAAAAACGTTCACTGGATTTTCTTCATGTTTGACACAAAGCTTCATATAGGGAAGGTGCAGGATCCAGTTGATTTGGGTGACCTTCACGAAATTTTCAAGGTCACAGCAACACTTTGAAGATTTCAGCATGTTAACCTGCATGTTATGCTTGTCAGAGAGATACCTCAAGAACCATTCACTGGATTTTCATCATATTTGACACCAGGCTTCATATAGGGAAGGTGCAGGGCTCAGTCGAGTTTGGTGACCTTCACGGTCACAGTGACACTTTGAAGATTTCAGTATGTTAAGATTGTCAACAAGATATCTCAAGAATGGTACACTGGATCTTCTTCTTTGTAGGCTTTCAAGACTTCTCTTGAATGTTTATTTATAAGCAATTTCTCTGTTACCTTTTTTTTTGCATATTTCATACACCATGACATTCATGACAAGGTCAAAGTCAGTATTGAAAATATTTGTGTGTTTGAACAGCTACAGAGCAGAGCAAGATATCAAGAGAGGTTGACTGGTCATGTTTTTGTTGACATTTAACGTCACCTTAACCTACGACCTTCACTTTCATTGCTCTTTAAGTTTGATTTGATAATTTGCAGCGGGGGATTATGTCACCTTAGTGACAACTGCTTGTTATATTGGTAATAGTTGTACATATTCAAATAGCGTACTTGTATGCAATAGATTAATAGGAATTGAGTTTTCACATAAATATTTGTGTCATTTATGCAGATATGCATCTTATCTGTACCACTGTAAACAGCAGTATCATTAAAGCTTGATATATATCAAGAAATGTTATTTTGTGTAAGAAAATATGAATTTATGTCTGCCCCTTCTATTCTAAGTGTTAGTTTGTGTTAAGGTTTGGTAGGTTACCCACAACTGTGAGTGAGTGAGTGAGTATGGTGCACGCCGCTTTTAGCTATATTCCAGCAATATCACGGCGGGGGACACCAGAAATGGGCTTCACACATTGTACCCATGTGGGGATACAAACCTGGGTCTTCGGCGTGACGAGCGGACGCTTTAACCACCAGGCTACCCCACCGCCCCTTTACCCACAACTGTACACATGACACTTGAATGAAAATGGTGGGGAACATATTCTACAGCAGTTCTCCCATGATTTCACTCTCCAACCAGGGAATGGGATATGATGTGAGGTGAGGTGAGGTGAGGTGAGGTGAAATTGGGTTTTACGTCGTGCTTAAGAATATTTCGTTCATATGACGACGTTCATGCGTGTGTATGTGTATGTGCGGCTGCTTGTACTAGCCCAGACTGAAGCTGTTTTTTATAGTGCTAGCCCACTGAGATACCATGCCGCAGTGAAGCATGAATACCCCACTCAGACTCCGAGCCGACCAGTCCTTGTTGTACCCATTAATGCCAAGCGCCAGGCAGGGACTAACAAGTTCCATATTTTAACGTCTTTTCGTATGACGCGGTTGGGGATCGAACCCGCGACCTTCCGCTCTCCAGGCGGACGCTCTAACCACTACACCACGGAGGTGGTCGATATTGGAGGTGACTGAACCTGTTGAATATGTGTAATAACTTAAAGATATTTATTTGCTTCTGTCATTACTGTAATGACAAGAAATTGTGATGCATTGTGAATGGGAGCTTCTGTGGATTGAGCAATAGATGTGATTCCTGCCCATTTCAAGCAGTCGTAACTTGTTTATTTGGAGCTTTTACCCATTTTATTTTGTATAAATGTATAAACATGTAAAATGGTGTCCACACTGTAAATCTGCAGTAGATGTGTTATCCATTTCCTTTGAGGAAGTATTTGCTGGAGTTGAAACAAACATAGTCCAAATTTCAGTGTAACTACAGTGAAACCCTGATAAGGAAATGAAGTTACATGAAAAATATCTCAACTTAACATGTTTTCTAGTTAACCAACTATAACTTAATTACACAAACATATATAAATCTTGTTAGTGCTAATGCATCATTATCTTATAACACTACCAACAGCCCACAAGTGGTTTAATATGGCAAGTTAGGTGAGGTGAGGTGAAATTGGGTTTAACGTCGTGCTTGAGAATATTTTGCTCATATGACGACGTGCATGCATGCGTATGTGTATGTGAGGCTGCTTGTACTAGCCCAGACTTTAGCTGATTTTATAGTGCTAGCCCACTGAGATACCATGCCGCAGTGAAGCATGAATACCCCACTCAGACACATTATACGGACTCTGTGCCGACCAGTCCTTGTTGTACCCATTAATGCCGAGTGCCAGGCATGGACCAACAAGTACCATATTTTAACGTCTTTTGGTATGGCACAGTCGGGGATTGAACCCGCGACATTCCGCTCTCCTGGCGGACGCTCTAACCACAGAGGCGGTCAATATGGCAAGTTAAATGGTAATTAAGTACATGTAGTTGAGTACACAATTTGTTTGTAGAAAGTGGTCAAATGTAATTGCATTTAGCGTTAACCGCTAAATTGAGTTATTGTTGGCGTCGCCATACCACGTGCCTTTGTTTATAACATGACCTTGGCACGCGCAGCTGCAAACATTACGTCAACACATGACGTCATCAGTTGCTACATCATCACACCACGCGACAGATAACGGTAAGTTACCTCACTTCTCGCGTCACCACCGAACTCGCATGTCGCGCACAGCTATGAACCCGCCGTCCCTTCCTGTGCTCACTTGTTCCAGTTATCTCATTGTGTGTACATTGCAGTCTAGGATATTCCATATTTATACATTGTATCTTTTCTTCATTGTTCATGAATTAAAACGTCATGGTGTTTGGCCTGTTTTGGGGTGAGAATCTCTCAATCGCTATGCTGCTGGTTGTCCGCTTTCGCAGCAGAAACCGATTAACAAAATTCCAGCCTGCTTCACAGTAGATGGAATTCGCTCGCTCGCTATGCTCACCTCGTCTGTTTGGTCACAGCTGAGAGGTGATTGTGTAATATACTCTCACTGCTACTTCTCAACCCTGTATAGCCATCCACACATATTGGCCACTGCTTCCCAAGAAAATATCTTCCTTGTCTGTTTTCCTAGCGCTAGTCCAGCAATAACATATATTTTGTCACTGAGAAAGCCTAATCCCAAATATAACATGCAACATTTGACCACATTTTGAAAAAAGGCTTTGTGTGTCCATATCTTCTGCCATTTGGACTGTCTATGTAGTAGTTACATCACCTTAACACGAGTGATTGGCTTGGTTACCTCACAGTTTTGTGTGGCTTTGATTGACAGGAGAATTGACACGAGGGGCAGAGCCCCGAGTTGTCAAATTCTCCTGTCAATCAAAGCCACACAAAACTGTGAGGTAACTGAGCCAATCACGAAAGTGTGCAGTGATGTAACTCACTTGTAGCATACTTTGACGTCATAAGCGGGATATGAGGTAAATTTGGAATTTCCGCCACTTTTCAGTTTGTCCTGGCGATAAAACAGTAAATAACGAAAATGGCGAGTTCGAACATGACTGATTTTGGGATACTGATATTGACGACATTACATTAAGTCAGAAGTTAAGTAATGGAGGCGCGTAAAGTGGATGGTACTCTTTACCCAGCCAAAACTTTATACTTGATAATGACGGGACTACTCAGAAGCATTAGAGAACAAGGAAACTTTATAAATTTCTTGAATGTGAAGCGAGATGACTGTTTGCCATTCAAACAGGCCGAACCACTGATTCGAGTGTTAAGTGCACAAATGGCGAAAATTATACTTCTCAAGGTATATCGGAACAGTTGTCAAACAGGCTATAGGTTACAACCACTGACAGAAGGACAGTGAAATAAAATGTAAAACAATGTGCGAGTCATTCATTTGCCTTTTGTATGGAAGTGGCCTATGTCAGCTAATGACCGAGCAGCAAGGGGAGAGGGGCTTTCATGAATAAAACTATGTTTTAAACCACTGACAAAACTGATGTCCGATGTCGGGCCACTGTGAGTGAGTAAGTGAGCCGTTTAGTTTTACGCGACTCAGCAATAATCCAGCTATATGGCGGCGGTCTGTAAATAATCGAGTCTGGACCAGACAATCCAGTGATCAACAGCATGAACATCGATCTGCGTAATTGGGAACCGATGACATGTGTCAACCAAGCCAGCGAAGCCTGACCACCCAATCCCGTTAGTCGCCTCTTACGACAAGCGTGGGTTTTCAGCTATTGAAACTGTGGCTATTGAAACTGTGCCTACTTACACTTGTCGGGTTCGGATCTTCACGGGTCAGGCAACTAACGGAACTGGGTCATCAGACTAGCTGACTTGAAACTTTTGGCCTGAAATTTAAAAGAAATATCTCATGTAAGATTGAATAGATTTAATATACAAGAATCATTCGAAAAAAATAATTTGTTTGTTAACTTTTGCTGAGTAGAGTAAACGTCTATCCCCGATCTTTCAGTGACTTGTGGGAGGTCTTCAAACGGTACGACCTTGGAGAAAACAAGCTGCCAATCTCCATCCTCAGACGTGCCTTCTGTGAGCTGAACCTCTACCCTTCATACTCTCAAGGTAGGTCAAGGTCATTGATTGAGTGCAAGGTCAGGATCAGGTAAAATTAATAGCTATGTTCTTTGTCTGTGGTACTTGGGACAAAAAAACAGAATATAGTCAGGTGTGCAGAATGGAAATCTAATTATTGAATATCTGACACATTCTGTCACCTCCAGTTCTAGAGATGTATATGATATATATGATTCAATTTTTCACCTCCAGTTCTAGAGATGGTGCACTGTGCAGTCGAGTATGGCAGTCCCTGCGTTCCTGATCACATCACTTTCGGGGAGTTCTGCGTTCTGGTCGATGAGCTTCAATATCACTATGAGAGAGGGTAAGCTTCCATTAACTACTGGTGATCTAAATGGGAGTGTTACAATTGACATTACATAGGCAGTCAGTACAGTTAGACTAACACTTTTCCTGTATCACTAGTACTTTTCACCCCAGCTCCAATAGTAGACTAATCCGCTCACCCCTACACTGTAGTTAGACATATCTGTCACCTCTTGTCTCAAGTCAAGGGAGTTTACTGACTATAATGTGAAAGTCAAGTGTCCATCCTTGTTGCATTCCACGAAGTAGGAACCATTTTGTTGCAGTAGACATATTTTAAGATCTTTGACCATGGCACTGCCATTTTGTTTAAAGCAAATGCAAGTAGTGTGAGAGGTGGTATCTGATTGGTCAATAGGAGGCACATGTAAGGGACAGAACTCCTCATAGCTACTGTTGGCTCAACAATCAAGTCACAAAATTCCAAACTTACCAATAGTATAATATACTCATGGAAACAAATAAGGGAACACAAGAAAGTACAAGTGTTCCATTATTCTTTTCCAGAATTTCACCCACAGTGCAAAACAAAGCTTGTGAAGAAATCTGGAAAAGAATAAAGGAACACTTGTACTTTCATGCGTTCCCTTATTTGTTTCCATGAGTATATATGACCTGATTACCCTCTCACTCCTGTAAAACATTTAGACCAACCCCTTCAATACTGCATGGCAATTATTCTAAGGCTTTCCAACCCGTTCTTTTTTTTTCATTGTTTTAAATAGTCAATGTCAGTTTTCTTCATTTATATAAAAGCATCAAATCAGTGAGACATACTCATAAACAACATGTTCTTCAAACATTAATCACACTGTCATCGTACTCAGACATATTGGCGCTTGTTGGCAGAGGTTCCTGTTTGACACTCAACACACCTTGGGGACCTTTAGTTATCAAACTGAGTGTATATTCATCCCTGTAAAACAAGTAGACACACCTCTACACACAAGTAGACTCACCCTACACACAAGCAGACACACCCCTGTAATGCAAGTAGATTTGCCCCTACGCACGAGTAGACTCAGCCCTACACACAAGCAGACTCACCCCTGTTTTGTAAGAAGACTCACATCTGTAACACAAGTAGAATCATGCCTGTAACACAAGCAGACTCACCCTGTAACACAAGTAGGCTCACTCCTGTAACACAAGTAGACTCACTCCTGTAACACAAGTAGGCTCACTCCTGTAACACAAGTAGGCTCACCCCTGTAACACAAGTAGACTCACCCCTGTAACACAAGTAGGCTCACTCCTGTAACACAAGTAGGCTCACTCCTGTAACACATAAGTAGGCTCACCCCTGTAACACAAGTAGGCTCACTCCTGTAACACAAGTAGGCTCACTCCTGTAACACAAGTAGGCTCACTCCTGTAACACAAGTAGGCTCACCCTGTAACACAAGTAGGCTCACTCCTGTAACACAAGTAGGCTCACTCCTGTAAACAGTAGACTCACCCTGTAGTAGCCTCACTCCTGTAACACAAGTAGGCTCACCCTGTAACCAGGCTCACACCCTGTAACACAAGTAGGCTCACTCCTGTAAACACACAGTAGGCTCACCCTGTAACACAAGTAGGCTCACTCCTGTAACACAAGTAGGCTCACTCCTGCAACACTGTAACACAAGTAGGCTCACTCCTGTAACACTAGACTCCTGTAACTCAAGTAGGCTCACTCCTGTAACACAAGTAGGCTCACACCCTGTAACACAAGTAGACTCACCCCAGTAACACAAGTAGGCTCACCCTGTAACACAAGTAACACAAGTAAGGCAAGTCACTCCTGTAACACAAGTAGTCACTCCTAGGCTCCTCCTGTAACACACAAGTAGGCTCACTCCTGTAACACTGAGTAGGCTCACCCTGTAACACAAGTAGGCTCACTCCTGTAACACAAGTAGGCTCACCCTGTAACACAAGTAGTGGCTCACTCCTGTAACAGGCTCACTCCAGTAGGCTCACTCCTGTAACACAAGTAGGCTCACTCCTGTAACACAAGTAGGCTCACTCCTGTAACACGAGTAGGCTCACCCCTGTAACACAAGTAGGCTCACTCCTGTAACACAAGTAGGCTCAACACCCTGTAACTCAAGTAGGCTCACTCCTGTAACACAAGTAGGCTCACCCCTGTAACACAAGTAGGCTCACCCCTGTAACACGAGTAGACTCACCCCTGTAACACAAGTAGGCTCACCCCTGTAACACAAGTAGGCTCACCCCTGTAACACAAGTAGACTCACTCCTGTAACACAAGTAGGCTCACTCCTGTAACATGAGTAGGCTCACCCTGTAACAGCTCAGTAGGTTCACTCCTGTAAAACAAGTAGACTTACACCCTGTAACACAAGTAGGCTCACCCTTTAACACAAGTAGGCTCACCCTGTAACACCAGCAGACTTACATCTGTAACAAAAGTCTGAACCCTTTAACACAAGTACATTCACCCCTGTAACAAGTAGACTCACTAATACACACAAATTACCTACGTCACTGGTGGCAGTTTTAATTCCTGACTGTTTCCTTTTCAGCATTGCTCTCCCCCAACCACGGTCCATGTTAAAAAACAAACCAGACGCGTACGAGATAAGAAGAAAAAGAAAAGGTACAAAGCTATGACCAATGTCGGTCAACAAGTTCAATGTCTTCACCAACAAACCTGCCTCAAATTGCAGACACAAAGAAAGTAATATGATAAATTCTTTGTCATCAAATCTTTCGTTTTTAAAACATGGTATTGTTTGTTATCATGCCTGCTGTTTGACAATAAGGACAGATAAAGACACAAAGAAATTAATATGCAAAATATTTTGTCACCAAAACATTCGTGGTATTTTTTGTAATCCTGCTTGATGTTTGATGTTAAGGGTAACGAGGACAGGCTGATATACATTCTGTATACTGTGTCAAAATGTATTGGTGTCTAATTATGGCATGGTATCTAAAGGGGCTATCATTATAAAACCTCCATTTCTCGGGACTAGTACATTCAGACTCTTGCACAAACACACGTCATGTTGCAAAGCAATATAAGTGGAATAAACTTGAACACGATGTTTAACCAAACCAAACTGTCAAAGATCTGTTTTAGTACAAGCAGCCACACACACATCTAACTGTGTGGGCAATGCTCTTGAACTCAGTGGTAAACCCCATTTCCACTCAGCTGTTATGACAATAGATCTGTTGGGATTCTGCCAGCATTTCCCAGATGTTGTTGACGTTTCATGTTTATCAACATTTTAAAGAACTTGTCAAGACAGTTGTGTTATATATTATTTCAAAGATATTGGATATGATGGCTTGTGTGAATCCTAAATCAGGCAATTGTGGACACGTTACTGGTACTTATTACCACCTTTTACATACCCCTAACTTCTAGAAATTACCTCCCTTGACATGCCCTGGCTTCTACACCTCAAGGGGGGCGGTGGGGTAGCGTAATGGTTAAAGCGTTGGCTCGTCACGCCGAAGACCTGGGTTCGAATCCCCACATGGGCACAATGTGTGAAGCCCATTTCTGGTGTCCCCCGCCGTGATGTTGCTGGAATATTGCTAAAAGCGGCGTAAAACCAAACTCAGTCAGTCAGTCTACATCTCAAATTGACAGTGAGCACATGCTACATATAACTATGCCGTCTACCCCAGACATAACTACAAATGAACTTATCAGAATGATATCTGATGAGTGATCTTAAATGGATGGTTATTTTATTTCCCACCCTGAAATGCTTTTTGGGGGGGCAGGGGGGTGGCAAGAAGGGATGGGATAAGAGATGTGAAGTTAATTGAACATTGAGAGCATGAGCCATTAACAGAAAGGATTGTAAGACGTCATACTCACCTGTTTTCCTAAATCATCATATGGTTCATAAGGTTTCATAGATTTCTAAATTACTTCTGGCAAAATATTGCTCCTAACTGCAATAAAGAATTTGGCTTCTCATATATCTTATCTTTACTTATAACTTCAGCTTGAAGAATTTGATTAGCTATATCCTTTTTCAGGAATCAATACTGACACTTTAGCTTTCTTGGTAATGCATATATTTTGCATTTGCATTTCAGAGAGTCTACAGGCTAATTTCCAAGGTAGGTTACAGCAGAAATGACTCAGTAAGAGTATTTGCCTTGGCCAAATGCATCCCAGAACTGAAAAACTACTATTTTGTGTGCACTTTATACCTTGGCCGGTACAGTACTCATTGTGTTAGAACAAATACCTAGAGAAATTTTGCAACAGCTGTACAAACACATTAATTGTCTTGGTTTGGTGTATTTTTACAGTGTTTCTTGATGTTTCAAGAGTTTTGATTGGGTGAAACACAAATCATTTGTTCCAGTGTTCCTGGTTGTATCGAGAGTTTTGATTGGGTGAAATGTGAATCATTTGTTCCAGTGTTCCTGGTTGTATCGAGAGTTTTGATTGGGTGAAATGTGAATCATTTGTTATGGTATATCTGTGTGTTATGAGTTTGTATTGACTATAACACTTAGCTATTTTTTCAAGTGTTCCTGGGTGTATCAAGAGTTTTGATTATATGCATCTTATAGTAATTTGTTATGATATATCTGTGTGGACAGGGAAAGAAACCTTTCAAAATTTCCCACTAGACCACAGGACCAGTCAGTGGACAATAACTAGTGGTCCTGTCCGTTCTTCACTGGTCCAAAATAACATTCGTAGATTTACTTATCTATCAATACAACATTCACTGGCCACCAGGACCACTGTGCAAAACTTATCATTTAGTGGCCCTGATGAATTTTTACTAGCCAGGGACCACAGGACCAACGTAAATTTTACACACTGGTGTTATCGAGAGTTTTGTTGGCTATAACACCTAGTTATTTCTTCCAGTGTTTCTGGGTGGGTCATGTTCTGGTACAACATGGCGACAGGAAAAAGCCATCCCATATCTCAAACTTCAGTCGCTGACATTCTACAATCCCGTGAGTCCGAATAAAAGGAAACTTATTTGTAATTTTCACTGATCTGAGCTCATATGATTTTCACACATGTATGCATTAGTGTTGGGAACTGGTTAAAATCGCATAACTGATGACTGATTCATTACAACCGATCAATCGTCGAAAATAATTGGTCAGCGTCATTTATTAAATTTTCCTGGTTATTTTTGTTAATGCACTAAAATAAAGAAAAAACATGTAGATCTTTCAAGTTTTTTACCAATTGTGCAATATGCATTTGCAAATTTCACATCTTTAAGGATGACTAGTATGTTAGGAACATAAATTTCCATGAGTCTTTAAGATATATTCAATCCTGAGTTGGAACGAGCTTGTAGTGCTTATGAAATGTAACAGACAAAACCAACCTTGTTAAAAATATTGTTAATGCAAACAAGTGTTCCAAAATTGTTTGGGTTCAATTATGAGAAAACATCATAGATTGATTGGTCGTTTAGTCATTGCGACCAATCTTCGATTATTTCAATTAATCGGACCACCACTAGTATGCAAACATGCACATACATATGAACACACATTACAGGAAGACACAGTCATGCATTCCAGCGTTCGCAGTTACATGGGAGATGCTCATGATGTTAATCATTGGAATGACTGTTATTTTACACACCGCCCTCATAAAGCTGGAATATTGCTGAGCGAGATATTAAACAACAGACACAATGTGATGTTCACGTGTACTGATTGATCTACACACTGAGCTCAGAACACACACTCATACTGCTGATGCTAAGGAGACAGACTGTTGTAATATGGCTGGAATATTGCTGAGCGAGACATTAAACAACAGACACTAAAGGCAGGTGGTAAAAAAAATTTGTTTTAAATCACCAAAGTACCATTCCATTTAAATACTAAAAGTAATTTAATTTTGGCAATTAATGAAGTGTATATGGGGCAAACACCAATCTAAAAAAACATTTCTTGTAACTTTACATTTTTGGCCAATGAAAACATTAGGATTTTATTTTTTCAGCAGGGAAAGTTAATTTATATTTTTTTCTTATTCTTGAAAAGAATACAGCCAGCGGATCCATCAAAAAGGAATTACAATTGGTCTGTCCTAAACAAGAAATATCCATCTTGCAATCCTTGAAATAATTTGCATTTACACACACTCATTCTGCTCTGAACAGACATAGCTGGAATATTGACGAGTCCTGTAAACAAGAAATATCTATCTTGTTTTGAGGAGGTAATCCTTGAAATAATTTGCATTTACTGATCTTTTGCTGTAGGTAGTAAACAACTGGAGACCAGAGCTGATTGAGTTGGAGGACCGGGCTAAACAGGTACGCTTAACATCATCCTCATGTGTGCAGGGAATTATTTCTCCATTTATTGTTTTAAAGACACAATGTCACGCTTTTCGACAATATTTTGGCCTATATTTTATATATTGGGGGCATATGCACTCACTTTAGCTTCCTATTGATGCAATAAAAGACTTATTATCCCTTAAAGAAATCGATAATTGAAACTTATCCTTTCAACGGATAACATATATTGTAAACGATTTATAATATTGTAATGTAAATTGAAACTTCATTGAGAAATGCATAACAGCTTTAAGATAAAGGCGGAGAACACTTGTTTTGTTTGGAATAAATTATATGGTAGCTTCCCTGAGGAAGGCTGATAGTTAGTGTTATTGAGAGAAATGCATTATGTATATTAAGATAAAGGTCATGAACTCCTTCACCACTGTAACTTCATTTTGAGCCAGAATGCTACAATACAATAACTGTACCAAGGCATCAGTGAGTGAATGTAGACCAACTTGACCTGTAACAGTGGACAAAGTTGATTATGTTGTCTTCTTCTTTATTGTCACACTTAGCACTCTTGAGTGAGTGAGTGAGTGAGAGTATGTCACTATTAGCAATATTCCAGCAATATCACTGGAAGTTGAACCAGAAATGGGCTTCATGCACTGTACCCACATGGGGAGTCAAACCCAGGATGGTGTGAAAAGCAAACACTTTGACCATTAGGCTACCCTACCACCCCCATTAGCAAATGAGATTTGAATTCACCATTAATGTCTTACTATCAGACTGTCAGGCCTTAAATATGTATGATACACTGACAGTTCGACAGCCATTAAACACCACTGTGTGTACCAACTGTGCTTCTGCAGGAATATGGGGTGGTGGGGTAGTCTAGTGATTGAACTAAAGCACAAGGGTACAATGTGTGAAGCCCATTTCTGGTGTCCCCCACTGTGATATTGCTGGAATATTGCTAAAAGCGGCTCATTTACCGGACAATATTTATATAAAATACAAACGACACAAAATGCTTCATTCCAGATTCCAGATCTGGACACTTAATTTCAGTTACCAACAGTGTTAAGTACAGACTGTTGTGTCAAACTAACCAGACAAGGTCTACGCTTGATGATTAGGGGTGAAACGGTATGCTCTTACATGGTACGGTACATATTGTGGTACAAGGCCTCGTTTCGTTTTGGTTAGTTATATGAGGTATGATCATAATACAGAAAAAAGCCGTCTAGCAAAGAAATGCTCAGATTTTGATTAAATGATATGATTTCTAGACATTTTAGAAAAGGTTTAGAAAGGTTAATAAAATGTCGGTGCGAAAACCGAAAATACTGAATTTTTGGATTACTATACCAAACCGAAGGCAAAATACCATAGTTCAACTAATTACGCGGTATACCGTTTCCCCACAATTGATGATGTTTGTATTGTGACTGTAACATTGTGATGATGTTGTTCCAGGCAGCTCAGCTTCTGTTCTTCAAGATACCATAGTTCAACTAATTACGCGGTATACCATTTCCCCCCTATTGATGATGTTTGTATTGTGACTGAAACATTGGGATTATGTTGTTCCAGGCAGCTCAGCTTCTGTTCTTCATGATACCATAGTGCAACTAATTACGCGGTATACCATTTCCCCCCTATTGATGATGTTTGTATTGTGACTGTAACATTGGGATTATGTTGTTCCAGGCAGCTCAGCTTCTGTTCTTCAAAATACCATAGTTCAACTAATTCACGCGGTATACCATTTCCCTATTGATGATGTTTGTATTGTGACTGAAACATTGGGATTATGTTGTTCCAGGCAGCTCAGCTTCTGTTCTTCATGATACCATAGTGCAACTAATTACGCGGTATACCATTTCCCCCCTATTGATGATGTTTGTATTGTGACTGTAACATTGTGATGATGTTGTTCCAGGCAGCTCAGCTTCTGTTCTTCAAAATACCATAGTTCAACTAATTACGCGGTATACCATTTCCCCCCTATTGATGATGTTTGTATTGTGACTGAAACATTGGGATTATGTTGTTCCAGGCAGCTCAGCTTCTGTTCTTCATGATACCATAGTGCAACTAATTACGCGGTATACCATTTCCCCCCTATTGATGATGTTTGTATTGTGACTGTAACACTGTGATTATGTTGTTCCAGGCAGCTCAGCTTCTGTTCTTCATGATTGACAATCATACGAGGGCCGTGGTGTCCATGGTGGAAGTGGCATATCTAGTCGGTGGGTGCTTCAACATGTCTGTGTGTCCTCACACCTACTTACTGTAGGACAGTAGGGGTGGCCAACTTGTATCCTGAAAGCCATAGTGTCCTCACACCTCATACTGTAGGGCGGTATGGGTGGCCAACTTATATCCTTATATCCATTGCAGGGACTTGTACAGAGCTGCATACTTTATTCATCATTCTTGTCATAGTGGCTCTGGTTGGTTGAAACAAATGTCCCTTTAGACCATTAAGGTCAACTTTGTCATGATTTAATTACCCTGCAAAACCTGACTGCTTTCAATTGTTGAAATTTGGAAGTAGTATTTATTAAGTGGAAAATGCATTGTGGAACATTAATACTTAAGGTTTTAAAGAGACAGGTCTGTTTCTGCTAGTATGTGCAGACACCTCAAATCCCACCCAACTGTTCCAGGTTCCCGTCGGCAAGTGGTGCTGGTCTATAACGACTCGTGGGAGAAAGTCATACTTAATGGAGAATGTCCCTCATCACGGTGAACACTCTTACACTGAATATTTATACATGTAGTGGAGTATAGTGGAGTTGCTAAGGTGATGAAATTCACCATGTTGTGTTGCCTCCCTTAGTTGTGGCAGGATTAGGTGACTGAGATTTTGAATCCCAAATTTGCCCTGATTACTATGGTTGGTTTGTTAGACCATACCCCAGCTTGGTATAATTGTCTCCTGCATCTCCACTTTATCTCTCCTCCATGAGGATGCCCGCTCCTTCAGGGATACAAAAAGCTGAGTCTTGTCAGTGGTGCTCCGATGCCTCAGTACATTTGCTAGATGCCATAAAATGTCTATCTAGTATCAGTGCCAAAGGGAGATATAAATATATTTACTTGTATGCCTGTTTCAGGTCATGTATTTTATGTGAAATTCCAGTTTTATTTATTTGCATCAACTGTATACTCTGATACACAAATCAAGAGGTATATCACAGTGTGCAAAATATTTTCCAAATATTGCTAGCCAGCCTGAAACTTACTAGCCCACAAAATAATTCACTTGCCCAAAATTTGAATGTAGAAACTAAGCAAAAGATTACAAAACTAGATGAGAATAAGATATTGTCGGCATGACACGGGTTTCATCATTAAGCTGCTAATATAATGAACATGTTTATAAGGCCATAATTTTGCATGATTTAAAAGTGTCAGTGCTAGACGTACACTATGTCGTTAGAACACTCCCGTACAAGACTGTTCAAGTTCCATGTGATGACATAATCATGTTTAATCAGAGTGATGCAAAAATATATACTAATATGCGCTCACTGTGCATACATCGCAGGGAACTTGGAGACATTGTGCGAGCTCGGACAGTTTTGATTGATATCGTTGAGAGAAACGCGATACCAGTCTTCACAAACATTCACAAAGCTCTGCAGTGTACAGCTACTGGGCTGAAACAGGTGAGTAGTGCTATGTGGTGTGTTGAATGTTGTACCTGAACACTGATGTAGAGGGTTATGAAGGGACCAGTCATTTGGAGATAATGAATGGGATGAGCGAGTTGAACATTACTGTACAGGGTTATGAAGGGACCAGTCATTTGGAGAAAATAAATGAGATGAGAGAGATGAACATTACTGTACAGGGTTATGGAGGGACCAGTCATTTGGAGAAAATAAATGGGATGAGAGAGATGAACATTACTGTACAGGGTTATGGAGGGACCAGTCATTTGGAGAAAATAAATGAGATGAGAGAGATGAACATTACTGTACAGGGTTATGGAGGGACCAGTCATTTGGAGAAAATAAATGAGATGAGAGAGATGAACATTACTGTACAGGGTTATGGAGGGACCAGTCATTTGGAGAAAATAAATGAGATGAGAGAGATGAACATTACTGTACAGGGTTATGGAGGGACCAGTCATTTGGAGAAAATAAATGGGATGAGAGAATGAACATTACTGTACAGGGTTATGAGGGACCAGTCATTTGGAGAAAATAAATGGGATGAGAGATGAACATTACTGTACAGGGTTATGAAGGGACCAGTCATTTTGGAGAAAATAAATGAGATGAGAGAGATGAACATTACTGTACAGGGTTTTGAAGGGACCAGTCATTTGGAGAAAATAAATGAGATGAGAGAGATGAACATTACTGTACAGGGTTATGAAGGGACCAGTCATTTGGAGAAAATACATGAGATGAGAGAGATGAACATTACTGTACAGGGTTATGAAGGGACCAGTCATTTGGAGAAAATAAATGAGATGAGAGAGATGAACATTATTGTACAGGGTTTTGAAGGGACCAGTCATTTGGAGAAAATAAATGAGATAAAGAGATGAACATTACTGTACAGGGTTATGGAGGGACCAGACATGTTGGAAGAATGACAGGCTCAAGAGAGTAAAAACCTTTGTAGGCCCAACTGAGTAATTTACTCGGTGTTTCTGATGACCTATATAACTGCTGGTTGCATGTACTGGTGTTTGAGTAGATAACCACCGATGGTGACCCTAATGAAATGATATAATATTAAACTGTCATTAAGAATGTTATGATAGGTTCTGAATTTAACATATATGTTTCTCCAATAAGCTTCCTCAAAGGCAAGATGAGATCATTTCTAAAGACGTAAGAAAAGTTACCTCCCTTAGACCATACGATAAATTACCAGTATGTTGTTTCAGGCACTGAGACTGACCAGTCTTTAGCAACAGATTGAACAAATCAAGGAAATTAACTATTTCTTTTCAGAATATGCGGGTCCAAGATTTGGAAATAAACCATGGAGCACAGCCTGTCAAATTCGGCCACACACAAGTTGGGTCCGCTCTGCTGTAGGTGTAATGTTCAGCTAGGTTGACGTGAGGATGGTTGACCACAGTTGTTTGTATGGTAGCATGTTAATGGAACAGGGAACTGTTGGACGTAAAATAAGATGGAATGTGGTGCTACATTTGAAAATATTGCAAAACAGGATCGTGTTGCAGGCTTTGTTCAATAGAGGTTTGGGTTCGAATTGGTCAGTAGCAGCTTTTCCGTGTTGTTGTGGGATTTCTGTGTTTAGAGTGGTCCGCGACAACCTATGCTTGTCTTGTTGTGGGAATTTGGGGTTACAGTATGTACCCTTGTGTCATGTAAGTTCGATCACTTAAGAACTGTCGCTGAATTTTCAAAGTTATATTCATATAATCTTATTTTCAAATCTCTTACCTCTGAACTTGTTTATTTATGTCAAACATTTCCAAAATCCAGGTATTTTAACTGCTTTTCACAATCGCGGCATGGTCGCCCTCTCACTGTCAACACAAGTGACCCAGAAAGCTATGTCACATAAGTTCGATAAATGATTGGCTGGCTTGTCGCGTAAACAGGATGACTTGTAAGGACGATCTCTTGTGTCAAATTCAGAGTTAGAGCAGTCCCAAGTAATTTTTATGGTATTTATGTCCATGAAACGTTCATTTTATGTTTCAATACTTCTAAAAACGATGAAAAGTCACAAATATTCAGCTTATATAGAAGTATTATGCCGGGAATTATTCTTCAGGCTCATCATGACAGGCATCAAACCTCAGAATGTCGAAGAACACTACGAACTGGCTTGCAGAAACGTAAATGTGTTCTGTGCTGACATGTAGGGTGGGTACATTGTGCCCAGGTTGTATTTATCAATGAGGCAATAGCTCGAACATCATCAGGTACAAATTGACGGAAATTCTCAGAAAGCATTAAGTTTTCTATAAGAAATGGCCCTTACTTGTTTCCAAAGTTTTGACAAGGATATCACGTGTCTGGACATGTCACAATTAGACCAGCAACGTAAACAAACAGAAGACAGGTGTGCTGTCAATTTACAATGTGTGAAATAAATACTGTTTACATTTTATTTGAGCTGATAAAGTTACATTATTGATCTAGGGTTAAAAAGTAGTTGTTTGCTGAATATGAGCTATAACTTACGTTTGGTAACTTGACACGAAACATTTTCCGTCCCAAACGAATGAAAGTGGTGTCACCAGAAGATCAAAGCTGCAGATATCGTAAGTTATCGCTACATATCGCGACAATTACCATTCAAAATGGGCGATCGAGGTTACATGTCGATCGAACTTGTGTGACTTGACGATAACTACTTCTCTATTTATACCTTTTTTATACCTTTACCTACAGGAAACTGAGAGAGACTTTTAATTCCATCAGTTCTAATATCGGAGGAAAGATGACCAAAGAAGATGTAAGATATTTTCCCTCTTCTCATCATTTGACACACCAGGTTATACAAGCGGATATTGTTGTCCAAACTCATCAGATCAACCAATAACTTGGAACCACTCTATCCTTAATAATTTATGTTAGTATACCCAACCAAATTGCATACAGGTGCACTCACTCCCTCACTCACCACCTCACTCACTACACTCACTCACTCACTCACTCACTCATGCACTCACTCAGTCACCCACCTACTCACTCACTCATCCCACTCTCTCACTCCCTCACTCACTCACTCACCCACCCACCTACTCACTCACCCATCCCACCCACTCACCCATCCTCTTGCTCGACCGCCCGCCTGCTAGCTCACTCACTCACTCACTCACCCACTCACTCACTCACCTCACTCACTCACTCACTCACTCACTCACTCACTCACTCACTCACTCACTCACTCACTCACTCACTCACCCACCCACTCATTCACTCACTCACTCACTCACTATGACATTAAACAACAATCAAGGTAAATCATCTTTGTCCACAGGTCAAACTGGGCTACAAATGCTATTCAGGACTGGAACTGGACATGAAGTGGCTCAATCAGCAGCGTCCAGTGCAAGATTCCTTCTCTTTTGAGGAGTTCTGTTGTATTGTTACAGAGATGAAGAGGAAGGTGAATTATCCCATAATTTTACTGTTTGCGTATCTGGGGGTTGTGATAACTGAAATACTGGTTAAAGGAGCGTCGAGTCCTACTCAGTCACAGGGGCGGATACAGTTGCTGTTGTTGTTGTTGTTGTTGTTGTTGGGTGTGTGTTGTTGTGTATGTGTGTGGGGGGTGCATACACTCTTGAGAAGGGGTGTGTGTGCACACTTCATTTTTATCCGTTTTCATGAGAGTTTCATTGGTGTTCTTGGGCTATTTATCTTAGTGCTGGACAATTAGATTTAGTGTATTTACGTGTAATGCAGCAATACAGAACATTTTTGTCAGCGAGGCATGGCATTGTATGTACATCAAACATACCGCATCGTGACGTCATACGAGACTTAATTTACAAGATAGCATGATAATTACAGCGATCCACGAGTCAAGGTTATCCACGAATTTAGGTTACAGTTCTGTAATATACTTTCAGGACAAAAGTGGGGGTGCGCATCCCTGTACCCCCCTTCTAGATCTGCCTATGAGTCATTATGTACTCTTATCTTCTGGCACTTTTATCCCCTACAACACGTTTCATCAGTGTCTTTTTCAAAATGGTTTGAATTTTGCCACATATGTAGTAGTGCACATCAACATATTATTTAAGTTTTTTGTTTAATTCATATTTATTTTTACATACTTTTTTTCTGAACTGATGAGTTCAAGTGAGCTACAGAGCATTGTGGCTATGTTCAATAAATTCAAATACTGATAGTGATAGATAATTTGACATGTAACAACTGCAACTACTATAAAAGACTCAACATTTGGAACATACTAATAACATCACTCATGAAATTCCACACAGTGCCTGAAATCAGGAGGGAGGTTCAGCCACCAGTGTTTATTCTATCCTTCCAGAAGAAGACAGTGAGGTCGCCTTGTTGTTTAGGTGTTTGCTCGTCATGCTGAAAGCCGATGCTTGATTTTTGACATGAGTGCATTATATAAAATCCATTCTTGGTGTCTCCTGATATTGATGCAGAGTGACACCAAACTCACTCATCATCTACTGTTTCCAGTGACGCTGTTGACCCAGGTTCGATTCGCTACATGGGCACTTTGTGTGAAGCACATTTCTGGTGTCCCCTGCCGTGATATTGCTGGAATATTGCTAAAAGCATTGTAAAACCATACTCACTCACTCACTCACTCACTCTACTGTTTCCAGAAGCCACCCCTACTGACCAGTGTGCTCACAAGGATGCTGTCCCCTGTTTTCTGGGTTCTCAGTAAGTTTTGATGGTGTTTGGCCATTTTCAAAAGCACTGCTGGCCTGCTAAACCATTGCTGGTCAAAGTACTAGTGGAATAGAGTTACTAGCCCAACTTGATAGTGCATCATCACGGGAATGTGATTATATTCCTCCTGAGTGACAGAAATATTTGTTGAAAGTTATCAAGAGATACAGGAATGTCTTTGATACAATTAGGAAGTTGTAGGTGATTTTTCAAGTAGCAAGATACTTGCAGCCACCATGGTTGAAGAGGATTATACCAATAGGTATTGAAAGACCATAACATATTGAAGCCCTCTCTGCCTCTTAGCATTAAGGGGAAGGTTTGGGTAGCCTAGTGGTTAAAGCGTTTGCTTGTCACGCCGAGGACCCTGGTTCAATTCCCTACATGGGTAAAATGTGTGAAGCCCATTCCTGGTGTCCCCTGCTGTGGTATTACTCGAAAATTACTAAAAGTGGCATAAAACTAAACTCACTCACCCACTCACTCATTCACTCATTAAGGGGAAAACAAGTCAGTATACAAGGTATCAGAGTAGTATCAGAGGCCACGCACTATAATACCAGCATTATTGAGTGTCCCTCATCTGCTTGGATTGAAATCCTTGTTTGGCCCCAATTATGATACCTTTGCTCCTTAGTAGAAAGTGTTCGCCAACATTGAGAAGTTACGGTCACCTTATCACTAAGATTGCTTTGTTGATCAGAGCCTAGTGTTGGGAATTGGTTAAAATCTCATAATTGATGATTGGTTCATTACCACCAATCAATCATCGAAAATAATTGGTTAGCGTCATTTATGAAATTTGTTGATGCACCAAAAAATAAGGAAAAAAACATGTAGTTATTTTGGGGTTGTTGGCAAAATTTCACATCTTTAAAGGATGACTAGTATGTTAGGAACATAAATTTCTTGGTGTCTTTAAGATAAATTCAATCATGACTTGGAACGAGCTGGTAGTGCTTATGAAATGTAACAGACAAAACCAACCTTGTGAAAACTTGTTGACGAACACAAGTGTTCCAGAATTGTTTGTGTTCGATTATGAGTAATTGCATGGTCGTTTAGTCACTGTGACCAATCTTCGATTATTTTAATTAATCAGATCACCACTATCAGAGCCCAGGGTGGCGTTGTACAAAACAACCTTAGTGCTAAGACTACCTTAAGTCAATGTTAAGGTGTGGAGATTTCACAGTCACCTTAAGCAGTTACGGTCAGAAGATTGTGGAACCATTGCCATTGTACCAAACAACCTTAGCGCTAAGACTACCTTAAGTCTATGTTAAGGTGTGGGAGTTACGGTCACCTTATCGCAGAGATTGCTTTGTGGAACAGAGCATAGGGTGCCATTGTACCAAACAACCTTAGCGCTAAGACTACCTTAAGTCTATGTTAAGGTGTGGGAGTTACGGTCACCTTAGCACAGAGATTGCTTTGTGGAACAGAGCATAGGGTGCCATTGTACCAAACAACCTTAGCGCTAAGACTACCTTAAGTCTATGTTAAGGTGTGGGAGTTACAGTCACCTTAGTGCTAAGATTGCTTTGTACAAAGGCACCCTGATCTGTGGGCACCATGTCAAGGATATCTGTTCTTGTATATTTCACAACACAGCAGACTTTTGTATTTTGTTCCAACAGTAAGGACCCGTGAAGGTCAGGGTTAGAATGAGCCTTCAGTAACCCATGCTTGTCGTAAGAGGCGACTAACGGGATCGGGTGGTCAGGCTCGCTGGCTTGGTTGACACATGTCATCGGTTCCCAATTGCGCAGATGAATGCTCACGATGTTGATCACTTGATTGTCTGGTCCAGACTCGATTATTTACAGACCGCCGCCATATACATGTAGCTGGAATATTGCTAAGTGCGGTGTAAACTAAACTCACTCACTCACTCCAACAGTAAACTAACATCTTGTGCTACATCCCTCCCACTCTGTATCATGCAGTCATTCAAAAAAACAATTTGGATTGAGTAATTATATTCATGTGGTCATATATCTATACACATAGTGAGATACTAAAATGATGTTTTGATATTTAACTCCATCAAGAATCAGATCAAATGTTATTTTTCTCAGTTTAATGTAGACTTGTCACAGTTGTGTAGAACAAGTTTTGTGTGCTTCAGATCGCTACCGTCCTGAGGTGTACGATGAGGTGACGGAGGAGGTGCGTGATGTGTACCTGGGAGGGAGCTGCGGAGAGTCCAAATGGCGTGAGGAGATTGCAGTCCCGATGTTGAAGTGAGGAAACATGTCCATCCTCCTTTCACTTTACCATCACTCGTCCTGTTTCCACATCTCCAAAATGTTTTCTCTTCCTTTTTTCACTCTTCTTTATCTTTCTTCTTATATATATCTTCATCTTGTTTTCCCTTCTGAGACTTCACTACTAGCCTCACTAGCTCTTCTTCCTCTGACATGTCAGTGGGGAGCTCAGTAATTTAAGCACTTGCACATCTCGCCAAGGAAGGTACACTCTGTATCCGTCATTGGTATGATGGAATCTATGCCAGATGAAATAGATCTCACTGTAAAACAATAATTATTATCATCCAGACGTCACGGATTGTCCTATCAGGACCCACATGTGTCGGAGTGGGTGGCGAGACTCATCCCCATGCAGGTGGCGCTGCGAGAGAGATGCCGTCTGCTCCTGTACGTCTTCACACAGAATACTCGAGGCCTGGCAGCCATGGTGGAGGTGAGTGACTTCAAATGTAATATTACAACAGGAAAACGTAATACCTGCACCAAGTTATCACATGCACTTTCTAGATGGGATTCAGCAGTGAAAAATGTATGCTGTAAATTTGGGACAGAGCGTCAAAACATTTATATAATAGGTTTGCTTCATAATGTCTTTTATCATGTATATTTTAAAGTACCCGATTCAATGAAAGGCTTATGTCAGATTTGCATCTTGTCAAATTCAGGTACTTTAAAGTAACTGATTCAGTGAAAGTCTCACATCTGCTTGCATCATCTCAAAATTCAGATAGGGGCGATTGCAGGGTAGCCTAGTGGTTAAAGCGTTAACAATTCTCGTCCGAGACCCTTCATGGGTACAATGTGTGAAGCCCATTTCTGGTGTCCCCCGCCGTGATGTTGCTGGAATATTGCTAAAAGCGGCGTAAAACCAAACTCAGTCAGTCAGTCAAAATTCAGATACTTTAAAGTAACTGATTCAGTGAAAGTCTCACATCTGCTTGCATCATCTCAAACTTCAGATACTTTAAAGTAACTGATTCAGTGAAAGTCTCACATCTGCTTGCATCATCTCAAACTTCAGATACTTTAAAGTAACTGATTCAGTGAAAGTCTCACATCTGCTTGCATCATCTCAAAATTCAGATACTTTAAAGTAACTGATTCAGTGAAAGTCTCACGTCTGCTTGCATCATCTCAAAATTCAGATACTTTTAAAGTAACTGATTCAGTGAAAGTCTCACATCTGCTTGCATCATGTCAAAATTCAGATACTTTAAAGTAACTGATTCAGTGAAAGTCTCACGTCTGCTTGCATCATCTCAAAATTCAGATACTTTAAAGTAACTGATTCAGTGAAAGTCTCACATCTGCTTGCATCATCTCAAAATTCAGATACTTTAAAGTACCTGATTCCGTGAAAGTCTCACATCTGCTTGCATCATGTCAAAATTCAGAAACTTTAAAGTAACTGATTCAGTGAAAGTCTCACGTCTGCTTGCATCATCTCAAAATTCAGATACTTTAAAGTAACTGATTCAGTGAAAGTCTCACATCTGCTTGCATCATCTCAAAATTCAGATACTTTAAAGTAACTGATTCAGTGAAAGTCTCACATCTGCTTGCATCATCTCAAAATTCAGATACTTTAAAGTAACTGATTCAGTGAAAGTCTCACATCTGCTTGCATCATCTCAAAATTCAGATACTTTAAAGTAACTGATTCAGTGAAAGTCTCACGTCTGCTTGCATCATCTCAAACTTCAGATACTTTAAAGTACCTGATTCCGTGAAAGTCTCACATCTGCTTGCATCATGTCAAAATTCAGAAACTTTAAAGTAACTGATTCAGTGAAAGTCTCACGTCTGCTTGCATCATCTCAAACTTCAGATACTTTAAAGTAACTGATTCAGTGAAAGTCTCACGTCTGCTTGCATCATCTCAAACTTCAGATACTTTAAAGTACCTGATTCCGTGAAAGTCTCACATCTGCTTGCATCATGTCAAAATTCAGAAACTTTAAAGTAACTGATTCAGTGAAAGTCTCACGTCTGCTTGCATCATCTCAAAATTCAGATACTTTAAAGTAACTAATTCAGTGAAAGTCTCATGTCTGCTTGCATCATCTCAAAATTCAGATACTTTAAAGTAACTGATTCAGTGAAAGTCTCACGTCTGCTTGCATCATCTCAAACTTCAGATACTTTAAAGTACCTGATTCCGTGAAAGTCTCACATCTGCTTGCATCATGTCAAACTTCAGATACTTTAAAGTAACTGATTCAGTGAAAGTCTCACGTCTGCTTGCATCATCTCAAACTTCAGATACTTTAAAGTAACTGATTCAGTGAAAGTCTCACGTCTGCTTGCATCATCTCAAACTTCAGATACTTTAAAGTAACTGATTCTGAGTCAGTGAAAGGCTCACGTCTGCTTGCATCATCTCAAACTTCAGATACTTTAAAGTAACTGATTCAGTGAAAGTCTCACGTCTGCTTGCATCATCTCAAACTTCAGATACTTTAAAGTAACTGATTCAGTGAAAGTCTCACATCTGCTTGCATCATCTCAAAATTCAGATACTTTAAAGTAACTGATTCAGTGAAAGTCTCACATCTGCTTGCATCATCTCAAAATTCAGATACTTTAAAGTAACTGATTCAGTGAAAGTCTCACGTCTGCTTGCATCATCTCAAACTTCAGATACTTTAAAGTAACTGATTCAGTGAAAGTCTCACATCTGCTTGCATCATGTCAAAATTCAGATACTTTTAAAGTAACTGATTCAGTGAAAGTCTCACATCTGCTTGCATCATCTCAAAATTCAGATACTTTAAAGTAACTGATTCAGTGAAAGTCTCACGTCTGCTTGCATCATGTCAAAATTCAGATACTTTAAAGTAACTGATTCAGTGAAAGTCTCACGTCTGCTTGCATCATCTCAAACTTCAGATACTTTAAAGTAACTGATTCAGTGAAAGTCTCACATCTGCTTGCATCATCTCAAACTTCAGATACTTTAAAGTAACTGATTCAGTGAAAGGCTCACGTCTGCTTGCATCATCTCAAACTTCAGATACTTTTAAAGTAACTGATTCAGTGAAAGGCTCTCACATCTGCTTGCATCATCTCAAAATTCAGATACTTTAAAGTAACTGATTCAGTGAAAGTCTCACGTCTGCTTGCATCATCTCAAACTTCAGATACTTTAAAGTAACTGATTCAGTGAAAGTCTCACATCTGCTTGCATCATCTCAAAATTCAGATACTATAAAGAAACCAATTCAATGAAAGGCTCATGTCAGCTTGCATCATCTCAAACTTCAGATACTTTAAAGTAACTGATTCAGTGGAAGTCTCACATCTGCTTGCATCATCTCAAACTTCAGATACTTTAAAGTAACTGATTCAGTGAAAGGCTCACGTCTGTTTGCATCATCTCAAACTTCAGATACTTTAAAGTAACTGATTCAGTGAAAGTCTCACGTCTGCTTGCATCATCTCAAAATTCAGGTACTTTAAAGTAACTGATTCAGTGAAAGTCTCACATCTGCTTGCATCATGTCAAAATTCAGATACTATAAAGAAACCAATTCAATGAAAGGCTCATGTCAGCTTGCATCTTGTAAAAATTCATGTACATGTACTTTAAAGTAACCAATTCACTGAAAGGCTATTCTTGAAATACAAGTATGAAAAAGGCACTCATCTTTACCGAGTTTATTTGTCTAAAGTAAATGTTGTGTTTGTAGGCGGGCTACTACATCGGGCTGGGTTGTCGTGTGGTGCTGTGTATTCAGATGATGAAAGATGCAACAGTCATTGCTGGAGAAGAGGTGAGTCACATTCCAGCATCTACCCCAGTCTCTTTCAAATTAGAGTCAGTGGGGTAGTCAGCGTTCGCTCATCACGTTGAAGACCCAGGTTCAATTCCCAACATGGGTACTATGTGTGCAGCTCATTTCTGGTGTCCCCTGCCGTGATATTGCCTGAATGTTGCTAAAAGTGGCGTAAAACCAAACTCACTCATTCAAATCAGGACCCGTTTGTTTGAAACCTTCATTATCTAATGGCTGCATTAAACCCTAATGAGGCATTAAATTTTTATTGAATCATAAGTTAATGAATGTTTAAAGACATGTTAATGCATTATTAAAGTTTAAAACAACCAGTTTGATACTCTGACTTGACATCTCTGTCTAGAAGAAAGGACAAAAGCTCCTTTCCAAAAAGATTTGATTTCATTTCATTATCATAACAGTTAACAGATATTTATCTTAACAGCAAACAATTTATAAAATTACAGTTAATTATATACAGTTTTAAATACTCTTTGTCAAGTATGTGGGAAGCAGGATAAGGGTATTTTCCTGAGATATTTGATTTTCCAGTGAGTTTTGATTAGTCTATCCAAAGGAGCAATAAACACAACTCACTGACCATGTTATTTGACTCCAGCTGACAGAGTCGGCGCTCAATGACTACAATCGTGGCCGGATGTACCTGAGCGACATGGCGAGCCGAGAAGGTGTTCCCGTGTTCGACAACATCCAGGATTCAGTGCAGTGTGTAATAAGCCAGCTACAGAGCGCAACATAGCACCGGAGTATGAACAAAATCAGTATTCAGCAGTAAGCCACACGTAGAAGCAACTATTTTGATATTGTTGATTTGATTATTAAGACATTGAGTAGAAGCAACTTGTCTGTGCAACGTATTAAACCACATCTTGCAACTCTGTGCTTGAAATGACTCTATCGAATCCATCATTAATCCCAACCAGCCCCATCCAAGCCCTGACCAAACCCATTCACCATGACAACCCATATCGCACCCCACCATACTACACCCAATTCCCCATTCACCATGACTACCTGTCCTACATCCCACCATACTACACCCAATTCCCCATTCACCATGACTACATGTCCTACACCCCACCATACTACACCCAATTCCCCATTCACCATGACTACATGTCCTACACCCCACCATACTACACCCAATTCCCCATTCACCATGACTACCTGTCCTACACCCCACCATACTACACCCAATTCCCCATTCACCATGACTACCTGTCCTACACCCCATCATCCTACACCCAATTCCCCATTCACCATGACTACCTGTCCTACTCCCCACCATCCTACACCCAATTCCCCATTCACCATGACTACATGTCCTACACCCCACCATACTACACCCAATTCCCCATTCACCCCACCATGCTACACCCAATTCCCCATTCACCATGACTACATGTCCTACACCCCACCATACTACACCCAATTCCCCATTCACCATGCTGCACCCAATTCCCCATTCACCATGACTACATGTCCTACACCCCACCATACTACACCCAATTCCCCATTCATTCACCATGCTACACCCAATTCCCCATTCACCCCACCATGCTGCACCCAATTCCCCATTCACCATGACTACATGTCCTACACCCCACCATGCTACACCCAATTCCCCATTCACCATGACTACATGTCCTACACCCCACCATGCTACACCCAGTTCCCCATTCACCATGACTACATGTCCTACACCCCACCATGATACACCCAATTCCCCATGACTACATGTCCTACACCCCACCATGCTACACCCAATTCCCCATGACTACCTGTCCTACACCCCACCATACTACACCCAATTCCCCATTCACCATGACCATGCTACACCCCACCATGCTACACCCAATTCCCCATTCACCATGACTACCTGTCCTACACCCCACCATCCTACACCCAATTCCCCATTCACCATGACTACATGTCCTACACCCCACCATGCTACACCCGATTCCCCATTCACCATGACTACCTGTCCTACACCCCACCATGCTACACCCAATTCCCCATTCACCATGTCCTACACCCCACCATGCTACACCCAATTCCCCATGATTACCTGTCCTACACCCCACCATGCTACACCCAATTCCCCATTGACTACCTGTCCTACACCCCACCATGCTACACCCATTCCCCATTCACCATGACTACCTGTCCTACACCCCACCATACTACACCCAATTCCCCATTCACCCGTACAACCCCTCTCGCACTTGCATGTTTTATCACTGTTCATTTAACACATCTTGGTCTCGCCATTGTCCATTGTTCATTTAACACATCATGGTTTTTCCATTGTTCATTTAACACATACATGGTCTTGCCATTGTTCATTGTACACATGCATGGTCTCACCATTGTTCATTGTACACATGCATGTTTTTATCATTGTTCATTCATTGTCACTCACATAGTCCCGCCATTGTTCATTGTACACATGCATGGTCTCACCATTGTTCATCATACACATGCATGGTCTTGCCATTGTTCATTGTGCACATCCATGGTATTATCATTGTTCATTGTGCATGGTCTCACCCAATCATTGTAGCCAGTTGTTAGGATCACTTGTGAGTGAAATGTATGATTAATTAGGCTAGTCGTATGTTATGTGAACAGATCTGTGCAGGCTTCATAGCATAAACAGAGACAGGAGCTTTGTCACTGCTCAAGTCTTGTCGCATTGTGTAGCCTGGCTCTAAGCCGTGATGCCTGTATGCTGTGATATTATAACTGTATTATTGTATTACTATGTTACTGTGACTGTATTACTATGACTGTATAAGTCTATTTCTGAGTCGTCAATTACCCGATCTATAATATGCAGATTCTCTAATGATATATACTCCAGAGCCTTCCATAGTTTCAGTTTAAACCTGATTCCAGCTGAATTACCAACTGGCACCCACAGCTTCAGCCACTGGTTGTATAGTCAGCACTATTAGACACTTATTCTGTCCATGTGAGTGACATTTGCTCCTTCGTTTACTAAATGTACCACCTCTATAGTCCAGTGGACAGAGTGTCTGCCTGGAGACCAGGTCTGCGGTTTAATCCCAAGACTCATCTTGTCAAAAGTTAAGGAGACAAAACAAGGACTACTGACAAAGAAGGATAAGTTGGACAGGCGGAGAGAACGCGTTTACAAGAAGTAGGCGGTTCACGGCAATGAGCAAACCCATTTGGTTTGTGAAAGGTAGAGCAGATGTAGGCTTGTGCTCGTGCAGTGCATGACGATGAAATTGAATCAGCCTATAGCTGCACACGCCTTGCTCATAAGGCTCTCACGTGGTCGGTATAGCACTACACTTGATTGCGGACAACCTGGGGCCCCTTTGCTCACAATGGCATGCGCCACAGGGGTGGAAATAACCCATTGCCCGACGCCCGAGTCCAGTGTTTTTTTCTGTCGGGCAAGCATATTTGTATATCACACTGTACCGGTGTCCAGTTGACTTTCCAATGTTAATTATGTTGTTTATTTAAAAAATCAACAAGAAAATTGGCCCGTATAGTGGAAAAATTATCAGGGCAAGTGATTTTACTTGTGCCACTGTACCGGAGTACACTAGCAATTTTAAAGTTATTTCCAGCCCTGCACCAGTGGGTGGCACTCATACATGCTTATACGGGTCAATTGTCAGGTGCTCAACTTATCCTTGTTTGCCAGTAGTTATCTGGGAACTAGCACGTCCTGTTTGTATTTCCATGTTAAAGTGCCACATGGTCAAGACTGTCTAACAACATTATAGCCCCTAGGTGTAGCAGTGCACAACCACACACCGGAACAACATGCATAGGTTAGCATCTGTCCTTTATGTTGGGTTCCTGAGGCAACTGCCCAGCATGCCCATCACTCAGATAGCCCTGGGGACCATTTCACAAAGCTATCATAGAGCTACGACTGTTTGACAGGAGGTATGACAGTCGTAGCGCTACCATAGCTTTCTGAAACGGGCCCTGACCATGGTATCTCAATGGTCTAGCACAATAAACAAGCAGCATTACCTGGATGAATACAAGCATACACACACATGCATACGGTATGCCTGCATAAGTGTAACTTTTGTGATCCATCTTTCATTTCACATCAGTTTAGAAACATTTGCAATGTACATCCTGTTTGGCTATCTTCTAACAAGAATGTGACATTCTGTGATACAACTGTACAGTTGAATTAGAATTAGAATTCATGTGAAGCAGAAACAAGTTCCAATCAAACCACAGTGGTCTGTCTTGATGGAAACAGGCTATATCATTACAGAACTTGTCGTCCTGTTGTGCATCATTTAAAATACCAATGAGAATTTGCTCCACTGTCGTAAAACTTCTATATTCTAAAATATCTTTTCCATCTAATAATTTAGTAAGAATCTTGTTTTTTATGTCACCATTTCTTTAAATGTAAAGGGTTGGCCATCTGAAAGTTGGTCTGTGATGAACAAAGATGATTTTGATTGGTTGTTGATTGCCCAGCTCATAAGAGAGGTCCGGTGTTCCTTGATGAGAGATGAAGTTCTGTGATGGAGATTATGCAACTCTGGAATGAAGCTGAATCTTATTGGAATCACAAGTATAAGTCCAAAGATTTTTCTAATCATGCAACGTGAAGGGTGAACATAAGGCAATTTGACTGAGTCCGTCAATATCATCAATCGCTTGTATCAGTATGATAAAGTGCAGAACAGAAAAGACTTCTACGTTTACACTGGAATGTAGTGCCATATAGTCTTTGCCATCCATTTTTCTCACTTTCCACATTTTTAGTGAGAACTTTGTCAAAATGTTTTCAAAGTGTAATTTGAAGGGAGGTTACCTGTTTGAAACTTGTGTCGCAAAGCTCAAGAAGCTGCTTTCTTATTGGCTGATGTTGACTATGTCATCCGTTAGTCAAAGTTGGAAGCATGTGCCCACGTATTTATCCTTATAGACATAATATACCTTGGATAATGTAGGATGATATTTCCCTGCCTGTATGTCTACATTACAATACTGTTGTATTTTTTACATACTGTGTATACCTGGAAGTATTTTGTAATTTGTGTCTTTTGTGAAGATTAATTTTGTCTTTATATATTTTAGGGGTTTTTTTCATTGTTGTATCATTGTGTTGTGGGTTCACCTGTTTCAGTTTAGTTTTTGTTTTTGTTTGCTTGTTGCATTGAAGACCATTATAAAGTTTATGTGTGCTTACAGTATGAAATTTTGTGAGTCAATTGTGCATGGTCAATATTTTCAACAGGTGCTCTGAAACCAAATGGTGTATGATCCTGTTTGATGCCAGCAATGGTGTCTCACAGACTTCCAGATATGGTGATGTGGAATTCTGTTGGTCAATTGTGCATGGTCAATATTTTCAACAGGTGCCCTGAAACCACATGGCGTATGATCCTGTTTGATGTCTCACACTTCCAGATATGGGTCATATACAAAACTTAATGTTTTCCTGTTACTCATGCACATCTGAATGTAACAATGTGTAAATAATCTCAATGGATGTGATATTAAGTCAAAGTCTGATCTACATTTTGATGTACCGTTTCCAACCTAATTAAGCCCCCATCTAATAATATGCCACCAAGGGATCAAATATGGCACAGAACAAGGGTATGGAATGGAAGTGGTATTTAGTTTACAATCATATATGGAACATATTATGCTTGGTGTGTGTGTTTATATATGATAAATGAATATACACACTGTTATAAACAAATCAAGAGGTTGTAATTGGATATATAAAGGGATATACATTGTATATGTATAGGATATAGTTTTCTTACAAACAGTTTTCGAAGAAAGAGCATGAGTGGCTTCCGGGGAGGTGGGTGGGGAGGGCTCTAGTCAAGAGAAAATTGCATAGAATCTTTATCTATCATCCGCTGGGGCCTTTTTTCCCTTAAAAACCATAGAGGTTGTGATAGATTCATGCTTTTAAGGGCTTTAGTGAACAAATAGTTTTTGTTTTCGCATGTGCCTTAATAATGTGATTCCTTTGTTTTCAAATTACGTTGGAAACGTCATTCAACCCCCAATATCACAAATGTGGGGTGAAATCAGTATTTATCTTTCCTACAAGTCAATGAACCAGTTACAGGAACAGCCATTTCAGTAGTCTTGGCTATTTCTATAATATAGATTTCCTTGGCTGACATTAGTCCCAGATACTTTCCAAGGAGAAATTCAAGGTGCCATGATTGTCATTTGATGTTGATTGGTCATATGTTTGGATTGACAGGTAGAGATAGATTAACTGTGTTGAAACAAAACTTGTATCAAACCTAAGACCCTGTCCATGATTGTAGGAGGTTATTCTCACCATGACATAAGTAAATCTTTACATTGTTCCTGTCAGTGATCTGAAGCAGTACTGTGTTAACTCTGGTGGATCCAGGGAGTCATGGACCTATTGTACAGAACATGATACCTTTGATTCAAGTAAGACAAAATCATTGGTGTCTGTCACCTTTCTCGTCATCTATTACAGAATTTGACAGCCCCCATGCCCAGTAAGTACAGAATTCAAATTGTGAACTCCCTTTGACACACACACTTGCACAAAGCCATCCTGGCACTACGATGATCATAAGCCTATGTTAAAGTATGGGAATCGATGACCTGAGTGCTGGGATAACTTTGTGAAAGTGGACCCAGCGTTCTAAATGTGAACCCGCTTTTAATACCACCATTAGATGTTCCTGGATCCACCCATTAACAGGTGTTTATGATCTTCGGTTGTTTCAACTTAAATCAAATAAAACTTATAAAGCCAGATTGTCTTGTCCTGATTTAAATTTCACCATGAATTATTGGATAGATTCTTCCTATCAGATTCCAAGTGACAGCAAGTGAGGAATGTAACATTGTTACATTTGGTATTACACTTTCTCAAGTAGAGAGAGACCGCCTCCATGGTGTAGTGGTTAGAGCGTCCGCCCGGAGAGCGGAAGGTCACGAGTTCAATCCCCGACTGCGTCATACCAAAAGACGTTAAAATATGGTACTTGTTGGTCCCTGCCTGGCGCTCGGCATTAATGGGTACAAGGACTGGTCTGCTCCGAGTCAGTATAATGTGTCGAGTGGGATATTCATGCTTAACTGCGGCATGGTATCTCAGTGGGCTAGCACTATAAAACCAGCTTCAGTCTGGGCTAGTACAAGTGCACACATACACATGCATGCACGTCGTCATATGAGCGAAATATTCTCAAGCACGACGTAAAACCCCAATTTCACCTCACCTCACTTCAAGTAGAGATCCTGTTTTTTGGTATGAATGGCATCCCATTGCACCCACAGCTAGTTGGAATCCATGATGGCTGAGGGGGTTAGATTGCAGACTTTGTGTGCTGGCAAACCAGGTGCCTCAGTCTGAGCATAAGATTTTGAATACCCCAGAAGTATACACCTGTGCATTAATTAAGCACCACCCCATTTTGAAAACAAGATGTGATGCTACAGAAAAGTTAGGGTATAGCCATCAATTTAATCAACCTGTAGTTGAAGAAGCTATATCCACTGACAGTTTTACAAATACCATAACCTTTTCTATTCTTTATGAATATGTTGATGAAAAGGTGATGGGACTGAATTTTTACCCAAAATAACTATTCCTCTCATGCTCAAACTAGTTTTGACTAAAAATAACAATTCTGTTATATACCAAGACGACATTTACACAAGTAAGCTCTAATTATGCATATTCAGGAAGAACCCGAATGTCAAAGATTCCGACCTTTTCCAACAATTCAGATTGCTAATTGACAAAAACTGAAAAGGCCACATTAAAAAGATTTTGGAATAATTTTTTTATGATTTTTAGTTTATTGTAATGAATAAACACTTCTCCCTGCCGGATACTCATAATTGCAGCTAAAATCTGTTTGTTTTGTTTGTAAAGCAACTTTTACTGCATTTTAAAATTTTCCTTATTTTTTTTTAGTTTGACTAACTTTTCCTAAATCTTAGTTTACAAACTTTCATCCATTCACATTAAATAACGAATTTATAGGCCACACAACAATCGTTACTTTCACTTTTCAAAATAAGGTAACTGTAAGGTTCTAGGACAGAAAAACACCTGTTTTAAATATAGGCAATTATCCTAATTAAAATACATGGTAATTTCAATGATGTTTTCGTTTTTGAAATGTTAAATGCTTGCTCTATCAAATAATAAAGGTTATTTTTTGGAAAGAGTTTAGAATTTCATTTCAGACAAAATTAATTGGTAAAAATACAGGGTGGTGCTTATTTTATGCACAGATGTATATGAGAATCTGTGCTTTACCGATTGAGTTTAGTTTTACGCCGCACTCAGCAATATTCCAGCTATATGGAGGCAGTATGTAAATAATCGAGTCTAGACCAGACAATCCAGTGATCAACAGTATGATCATCAATCTGCGCAATTAAGATACGTCGAGTTGTGTCAACCAAGTCAGCGAGCCTGACCACCCGATCCCGTTAGTCACCTCTTACGACAAGCATGGGTAACTGAAAATCAATTTTAACCCTGACCTTCATGGGTGGGGAATTGGCTGTATTATTTAGGAGATAAACATCATGTGTTGGCCAATTTCGGTTTGTTATTGAGTATTTGAAGCACGGGAATTCATTTGGAACCGACGGCCAGCCGGAGGTTTCAAATGAAATATTCCCCGCGCTTCAAATACTCAATAACACCCGAAATTGGCCAACACATGATGTTTATCGACACTGTAAACACAAAAGTAAACCAGAAGGTCCACACACGTTTTTGTGTCCGCACTCATTGACATCGAGTACGGGTACAGCAGTGAAATGTCATCGGACGGCTGTTCGCTGTCTCCCATGGTAGCATCTGGAACTGCTCATTTGTGACGTCATTTGGATTTTACGTCACAATATGATTTTAATGACGTCATCACAGCTGACGACGTAACAATACAATGGTGTGAGCGATGTTTGTATGTATTAATACGCAGCGAATTTCCGGGAATCTAATACCATTTGATCACGTTTTTCAACCAATCAGATTAAAGAACACAGTGGCTTTTGGTTTACAATGTGGGGTGTTGGACAGGTAGTCATTGGGAATGTGGAATTGGGTGTAGGATGGAGAATTCGATGTAGGATGGGTCAGATCTTCACAGGTTGTGCTTTACTGAGGAAGTATCAAAGTAACAACATGTCACATTTGAACACTTTCTAAATGGCATTGTATTCAAAGTTCAAGATTGTTGTGATAACACACGTCACTAGAATAGCTATTGAGCTGGACTTAACACTGCTTTACACAGGATTATTAGTTTTATCACAATCTGTCAGCATCAGTTGGAGGGAAAGCCCAAAGTAATGCAGGTCTGATATTTACCACTTTTGTGAAATGGGGATGGAGCCGAGTCTTGGCAAAGAGGATTCAACCAAACAATCATAGATTTGATAGGCACCCCCTCTTTTGTCCTGAAAGTTTATTAAATGACCATTGAAACTCACTGAAAATGAAGTGTGCACCACACTCATGTAGCATGTAAACAGAAAAAGTTTTGATGACACATTCTTGTGTTGCCAAACGTTGTCAGTTTGTGGGTGGTAGCGTAATGATATGGGATATCGTCACAACTGATCAAAGTTAATGATGAATGGCATATGCTACTGGCATGACATTCATGGTCAAGTTCCAGTTGGGGCAAAAGCAAACATCAGATGGCATCAGCCAAAGCCTGCTCACATTTTGGACGTTTTTGACATTTAATGTCAAGGTCAGTTTATAGACATCTTTGAGCTGTTGGTGATATTTGATAAATACATTATCTATAGGCAGTTCATGCATAATAAAGAAGCTGTTATCAATAATGGCAAGGCAGGTACAATCCCAACATTTTTTAGTGTTGTAGATTGCCTCTGCATACATGCAGCTGGGCATGTATTAGTGTAAGATGCCAGTCAGGCCAAAGTCACTGATCACTAAGGCTTTATAATTCTTTTAACTCTATGCATTCAGTCAAGAAAATGTCAAAGATGATCAGGGACATTCTGGAGTTGTTCAGACTGCCAATCATTCGTATTCACTGGGCTCCAACACTTTTTTTCTGTTCTTTGTGAACCAGTGGTAAACAATTTATCATTAAAACAATTTATTACCTTCACCCATGCCATTTCCTTATTGCACGCACTCCATTTATACACAATATAATATAAAGATGAATTGTTAAAGTGACATTTGATAGGTCAATTCCTGATCTCCCAGTGATGAAAAGAGAAAACAAACAATAACTTTATAAATGTACAAGCATTTTATTTTTTTCATTAGCTACATACAGCTGTAATTTGCAGCAGCATAGATCTGAACATACATACACAAACATACAAATGATTATCTTTCTTCAGACCCATTAAAAAAATGTCAAAGCTGGAATGATTGCTCATCGTCCAAACTTTGAGATTTCCAGTTGAAAAGTGTTGAGATGTACTCTGGACAACAAATGAGGGACATTCACGGATTCAAACCACGGGCTAAATACAACAGGCATAGTACATTCCTCACACAGTCAGTTTATCGACTGTGTTCACACACTCACCCGATAGATACATTTATCCCACATTCGATCTCTCACTTGTAACATGCTCAACACAATTACTATAAATTAAAGTTAAAACAGTGAGGAAACACCTATTAGTTAGCTAGAGAGAACCCACATGGCAAGTGTGTGTCAGAACTGCTAACCCGGGGCACTGGGTCGTTGCAGAGTCTGAACACACTGCCAAGACCCCTTCACAACAGGGGTACGGTAGTTCGGTTAGTAGACAAGATTGCAGGGGCTATGCATCCTGTAAAACATCTGGGGGCACCATATTTCCTCAGAGGAATTTCTTTCTACACCTTGTGTGTAATAAAAAATTTGATCGAACCACAATTTTCAATCGCCATTTTGGTAAACATCTTCATCAATAGGACCAGGGTGACTCTTTACGTCAATATATTACTATAGATTGAGTCACAAACTCTACCAGTTAGATCTTGGTATTGAGCCATAACACCTTACTCCACCTTCCCACATCAAATGAAATACTTATAACCACAGAAATGTTATTTCTCCACCATGTTAAGAGATCTGGCTTTCATGCAGAGATTTTAGAACAAAGCCAGATTTAGGGGCATCTAGCCAGTGTGTACACCAATACTTTCCCAGCACATAGCTGTCTAAGGCTTTGATAAGCATCATATTTGCCCATCTCCCACATCAAGTATTTCTACTATGGGCACATCATATTAAAATCAGACGCTATCAAGAGCCTTACCACCTTTCTCTTAACCACTGCCACCTTGCACAGGACACTTTGGGCTATCAAAATGCTCAAGTAAATCTTACAGACTCGACAACACCTGAGATTCGTCTTCTTCACACATTCGGTACTTCACCCTACCTCATTAACACAATGTCCAATTCACATTCCTTGAGCCGCGAGTGCCGATTTCACGCCTGGATGGTTTACCAGCCTTTAATACCACGTCATCTTGGCACATATCACCTTCACCTCCACGGAAGCGCACATAACTTGATGAGTAAGGTTCTTCAGGCAGTCTTAATACACATAAAATCCACAACTGAACATGTCCGTGAAAAGTCACACAGAATAATATTCATCAACACAGTCTCTAAAAGTCAATGATGCAACTGCTAAACAGAAATGTTCGTCACAGTAACATTGGTTTGGTACACTACACAATAGTTTCTAGTGGTTACACATTTGTATTATGGAGTTCAAAGACTCGTCACACTGTCACTTGAAATCACATCAGAAATAATTTAATTCTTAAACTCTTCAGTAATCATAGAACATACAGTCCACAATAGGAACAGACTTCCAGGTTACTTCTTATCCTGGGAGACATCTGTAGGTTTGGTTTCAATCGTGTTTGTGGTTGTTGAAGCAGCAGAAGGATCAGTCACACCGTCAGCCTTGGCCGTGCTTTTCATTGTAGTTTTGTTTTGTGGGTTCAGGAAATTCTGAGCTAGAGCCAGAGCTTCCTGCCTCTGTTTAGCTTGCTGAGCTTTCAAGGAGGGTGACTGTGTTGTGTGTCGTGGTTGCTGCTGCTGTTGCTGTTGTTGTTGTTGCTGCTGCTGCTGTTGTTGCTGTTGTTGCACTTGGATCTGTACTCCAGGTCGCTGGATTGGGTTTGGGAACGCTGGTCTCTGCTGGGGAGGGGGAGCACTGGAGCGGACAATGTTCCCTACCATCATCTGATGTCTCACCACTGGAGCAGCTGAAATAGACATCATTACATACTAGATAATGTGTAAAGAGGCATTCAGAAATTTCTAGAAATTTGACAGTTAACCAAAAAAAACAACAAACCCCCCATAAAAAATAATAAGTCCGAAACTGACAAACCAATTATTGGACATACAATGAACACAATCAACCAGGCCTGACCGTTTTATTCATATAGTCTACAAGCACAAATGCTTATGACCAGTTCTTAACCATAATGTTATCATACTAAATATCCACGTATCTAAAGGTTGGACATCATATAGGACCACTTCCATGGTTTTGTCAGCTTCTGTAAGGCCTAATTTTGTTTGTTCAGATTCAAAAAACGTATGGATTGTGCTGTATTAATAAGAACTATTGTATTTATCTAATAACCATTACAGTACCTGGAGTCCAAACCAGTATAATGCCAACAGAAAAAGCTATGTCCTGGGGGGTTCTTTTCGGGGAGTTTGTTCAATCATTATGACATACCTTGAGTCTGCATGGGCTGTCCCAAAAATTGAGAACCAAATTTTGGTTGAAACTGTTGAACATTTTGGAACCTTTGTTGAGTTGTTCTGTTGGAGATCTGCCCACTAAAATGCTTAGCACTGGAGCTCTGAGACTGTGATGAAGAACTCAGCAAGTTGCCCGACATGCTTTGAGGGGGAGACTTCATCTGCAGGAACACAAAACGTCATTGGTCACCGTATTAACAATTTCTGAACAAATGACTGTAAAATTGCAGGATAGGTATGGTTCTAAGTAGAAGCACCTTATATAGCCTGAATGATCACCCAATCTAATTGAAGGTGTTATTTCTTCAGCAAATACAATCATTGAATGTCAGCTATCTGAAATTAATTTATGTGGAAGTTATAGTGGTGGGTAGGTTATATTAGCGACTGTGTGTTGGCACTGACTTAGTTGCCTCAGTCACTCTGACAGTGCAGGTTTGTATCCCGAATCAACCCCCAAAAGTAACTGAATCTGTGTTTAACTGAGAAAATGTAATCCCAATATAAGTTGCAGTAATTAATGGATTATTCACCAACATTAGAACATCAACGTATGACATACAAAGAAAAGTTTGAATCTGGTTTAATGCCATTTACTTGATCACACAAAATGCCCATGTCCCAATACACATCACAACCAGGGCATTAGGGAGTGTCAACTTACTGGAGTGCTCTGTGGTGACTGCTGCTGCAGTACAGGGTTGTTGTACTGTTGTGTGGACTTGCTGGGCTGTTGTGGGTTGAGACTGAGTCCCTGTCCATGGGTGTGACCCGGGGGTGTCAGTGCAAGTCCAAGACCACCCTGGCTCCCAAATGTCTGCATTGAGAACTGCTGACCAGCTGCCGCCTGCTGGAGGGCACCCTGGACAAGAAAATCAACTTATTGTAGAGGAAGCAAGAGAAAACATGTAGGTGAGTAGGGTTTGACGCTGCTTTGAACAATGTTCCAGTTAAATCATGCCATGTCAGATTGATATGGGATTAAACCTGGAAATGATGTAAGATCAAGACATCTATCAGTTTGGTTACCTGTAAAGCCGATGTAGGCTGCTGAGCAAAGAAGTTCTGCTGTAGTGAGGGTTGTGTCTGCTGGAAGAAGGACGATGTTGGTTGTACCGGCTGCACATTCTGTACTGCATTCCTGAATACAAAGCATATGGTCTATTATTACCCACGTGCTCAACGTATGGGTAGTTGCATACTAATCTCGTATGTCACACGAGTGTCGTATCGCATTGACCTGTGTCGTAACAACTTGACCTGAGATTCTACCGATTTGATTGGATAACCGATGACCTCTCAATTAGGTCACATTCTGACGTAACTATTTTTTCATTCATAACAATTCATTTATTCTACAACTTAAATGCATTGTTGGAATGTAAACATCGCGAACGTTGCAGTGTCACTGTTTAATTGTGAGTCGAACTGACACATTATATCCGTCGAAACAAATGCAATGTTTCCACCAGTGATGTTAGCCGAATGAAGCAACTGCAAACCAAGAAACAGGGTGCTACGAAGTAGTTTAATTACAGCTGTACGAGGCGATGACAACTGACATGCATCGTGACGTCGGTTACCAAGGCAGTGATGTCATTACAGTGTGACGTCATGCAAATATTGTACTACAGTACAAAACTCTTCCGCAACCTCTTTATGAAACTGGTTTCGGTTTGAAACCAAAATATTAACAAAAATACGCTATTTTGTCAATTTAATGCATGGAAGACCTGGGTAATAAATAAAATACCACGCGAGGTCTCATTACATATGAATTATACGAAACTCGTGACCTTCCTATGTTCTCTGACATTGCTTTCGCTTGGTCAGATACCATAGGAAGGATAATTCGTATGAAATGAGACCTCGTGTAGTTTTCTCTATATCTCTCACCCATCCAACATGGCATGTGCTATAAAAGTTCATGTCAAACTACTAGAGCTAATGGAGACGAGCATTACCTCACAGGCAGGATCCAGAAGCCATATGCTCAAAGCACTGTTTAGACAAGTAGGAGTGGATGAAACATGTCACACTTGTTGGCAGTCATAAAAACATACGTAGGCAAAATCCATTACACTCAGGAATCGGAACAATCACCACAAGTGCAAAATTGTTTCAAATAACTTCTTACCAACAAAAGGTCACATCTTCTAAACTGTTTCATCGTAACCGTTATATGAAAGCAAACATATAATACACCTATTCAGTTGACCTCAACATATAAAATGCCAATCAACCAATGACAGGACCATTATTTACAGATTTTTCTTTTACCTTGGCTGCATCAGCTGTGAGCTGAGAATCTGCGAGTTGTTCTGAGGAGTCTGTGTGCTCCCCAGCAGGGGACTTGTACCAAACAGCTGACTAGGGTCATATTGTATGAACATCTGAGATGGCTGGAGAGAATTGTTGTTTAGATTCTGACTGAACTGCAGGGAACTGGGGCCCATGCTTGGCATACTCTTCTGGAGCTGACCTGAAAGGACAAAAATGTGTGAAAAGACTGCTGCTTCCATTCAAGTGAGTGAGTGAGTTAATATTTAACATTACATCAGCAATATTTCAGCCATATCGTGATGGCTTCCATTCAAGAAACAGAGATCTTTCACAATTAGTGAAAAGAGCTGCCTCAAATATCATTTTCACTGCAATACTGGCATCAAACTTAATATTTTCTGAATCAGAATTACGAGTACCAATGACATAAAATCACTATACTGGGTCAGCTCAAAACCTGAAACTGTCTTTGCATCACATGACCTGTACTGAAACTGTACACTACAGTCAGCATTATTTAAGTGTATTATTATGGTTGTCTCAAGAAGCTCAATTTATTTAAGTGGAGAAATATGGATCTTTTGTGAGACAAAATCCAATGGCTGCCTCTGCAAGTATGTTTGTCATTCATCACATCAATGAACAATGTTTGTGAAAGTAAACAAAAGTCCAAACAAACAGCGTATGAGGAGGTTCAACCTACTGTATGCATTCTGTGTTGGTGGTTTGATTGTTGTGGACATGAGAGAGGAGGTAGCTGAAGACACCATGATGGTGTTCTGTTGTGCCGTCTGTCCATACGGCTGGTTACGAGCAAATGCTGACAGCTGGGATGGGAACAGGTCTGGTTGTGTAGGAGTTGTGGGCAGAAAGAGACTAGGTTGTGTCAGAGTAGCCTGCCCGATCTGCGCCTGAGGTTGTGACAAACTGAACCCGTAGTTGGGCTGCGAGAACTGCAACATGTACAATAAGAAAAGATTATTTCAAAGACAAATAATTTACAACAGAGGCAGTGTATTAACTAAAAGGGGTTCTTGGGTCATTGAAACTACGTCAACAGTGCTTTAAATATATCTTTAGGTTTCCCCCTTTCACTACAGTAAAGCTGAATTTTAAATTTACATGAAGATTTTTTTTAATCAAGTTATTTCATTTTGATCTGGATACAGCATTTCATACAGGTCGGCATATTTGTTGTATTATATATCAAGTCAAATCACAGTCATTATCTATGTAAATAGATTGTGGCAAGACGACCAACATGAAGATTTACCAAGGAGATTTTGAAGAAGAATTCTATGTACAAACTGTTTATCACTTTGACGCCATTATCACCAGCAACATGACTTGACTCACCCGAGAGGGCTCCTGTGTCAGCAGTTGTGACCCCAGCTGTATGGGCTGGAAAGGATGCTGACTGGGCAGGACGACAGGAGGACTTGGAACAGCAGACATGTTCTGGAGCACATTGGATGTGGGCTGGCCCATTGAGTTTCCACTGCCACCAGCACTGTGAGGCTGAAACTGTTGAGGCTTTACCTGCAAGATGGGCAGACCAGGTTGTGCCTACAGACTAGTTAATTGAATGGACGAACAGCTAGCATGACATCAATGGAAGACAATTTAACTTAATTTATATGGCTGAAATAAAACTAACTAATCCACCTGAATGTCTGCAATACAATTCAACAAAAACTTAATGGTCATGCATGGGAAGAGTTCAGCATCAAAGGCTTTAAGATTTCACAGATTTGTAAAAACTGAAAGATTCTACACAGAATCATGTGAAGATTTGGTTCCAATAAGCAAACAAAACACACATAAATATCTGTAATCTGAATACATTAAGGCCTTAAATTTCCAATGCTGTAAACAGCGATTGATTCATGTTTAACAATTCATGCAACAATTTAGTTTCCTTGCACAACAAGCAAAGGTCACTATGATTCCATACCAAATCAGAATACTGAAATTTATTGTTGAACAAATTCTTTTATAGACCTCCTGCCCCTGTTTCCCAGTCCCCTTAACAAATGATCTGTAAATCAAGACTTACATTAGACCAAACTTTTTAGGGTGAGACAATAAAACAGCATACTTACTTTGCAGACATTAGTGGGCTCAGCCATGGGCATCTTCTCATGATGTTTGAGGTCAGACACCTCTGGTACAAACACCTGTATGTCCTGTGGTCGAGGCGAAAGTGTGCTAGGACCAGGCGACAGGCTGCTTGTGTTTTCATTACGGTTGACAGTTTCCAGGACAACTGATGTAGCCGACACAATGGTTTCCACCTCAGATGTGAATGTAGGAAACGTGTTAGCGCCAGCCACACTGTCACTGTTTGTTGACAGAGCATTAGCCAGAGAACATCCACTTGAGATTCTGAAAAGCAAAAAGTCAAGTATCAAGAAAATGTCAAGAAAGAGTGAGACCATATCATAAAAAGCAATCGGAAATTACGAACAGAAGATGAACATAGGATATCAAAACTGGTGCAAACAGAGTATTTCAAGAATGATAAGGTCATATTAGTATATTAATATCAGTTTGGTTTTCAAAATTCTGTACTCTACTGTGTAAAGAGTAAATGTATAGAGCCCCATGTCAACCATTTAATAGCTATATCAAGGCAGAATGGAAATATTCAAAAGTGGGATAAACAAAGCAGTGGTTGATTGCTTTAGCATTGATTCATGCTGTCAAGGAACATTTAAACCTATGACCACTGGATCATCTGGAAGTCAGCTCGTACAACAAAGGATACTGAAACCAATTCAACCCAGGAATTCCAAAAGGGACATAACTTAATGACGGTACAGCATTCCATATAAAATCAGATATTATCAGTTACAAACTGAAAAAACGTCAACTATGAGTCACCAACAGACAGTACGGCAAGAGTCAAAAGTTAGTCACATTAAGTGACACAGTATTGCTTTTGTTTCCATGGAATAGGCACATCAAACAAAATGTCACGGTGACACTGTCTATATTAGACAATTTTTAAAGGTACAGGGAAATTTCTCTTACATAGTACTGTAATCTCTCTGGTAGATTGAGAACATGTACAAGAATGATGTGACAGTGACGTTCATCAGGCAATGAATGACACTTACCTGGCAGTTTTCATACAGGTGAAGATTCCATCTGCTACCATCAATATTTGCTTATTACACTCTCATCAGCCTACACATTATAAAACACTGCCAGACTTCAGTTTTTCTCCCCAATTACCTTCATATGATCACATTTCTGTCATCATTCACTGTTTATGAATACCAAAAACAAGTTAAGCAATTTGAAGAAATGCTTCCAACCTCACAAGAGGTTGGGGAAGGAAAGCTCCATTTACCTTATCTTGGCCAGGGCACAATAAATATTTCGCAAAGAGTCAACTTACGGTTGCTGGTCAAAGGGACCAGGTGCCATTTCCCACACACTCTTCACTGAAGCTATCTTTAGGTTAAGGTCCTGGGTAGCATGGGCAGTGGGGGAGTTGATACCAAGTCCATTTGCTGAAGTCACATCACTGGATATTGTCACAGACTTTGGAGGTTCTGCAATCTCAGTCTTCTCTGGTTGTTGGGGTTCAGCCTGGTAGCTCGTGAGAGCTTCATCAAACTCAAACTCGAGTTTCAGCTCAGTATCATCACTCTGAAAATTGAAAACATGAGCAACACTGAATTTCAACAGTACCCAAATTATTTTCAAACAATGTAAAGGCCTCTGAAGTTTTATGCACACATATGCTTTACATATTATATAAATAATCAACAGATAATAAATATATTGTTAAAATTTGGCAAAAGTCAGTGTAACCAACCAAGGTTAATCATGGTACACATAAAACAACTGACTGTCAAGGTGAAGGTCATCTAAACTCAATATCTTGTTTGGCCCCCATGGGAGTCCAGAAATACCTGGCATTGCTGTTAAATTGCCCCTTGTGTGTACCAAGTCTGTTCTACCGGTATGGAAGATGGTGGCCATTATCATTACATCTTTTGTTCACATAAAATGACAGTCATAAATATTACATGCATTCTCAGCGATCTTGTCTGCCTGATGATTTGATTGAAATGTCTATTACATCGACAATCAAACTAATCATGGTTCTCTAAGGACATACTAACCTTGAAAAAGCGGTCTTTGATACTGGGCGGCATCTGAATGGGGTCTGGTTTCTTATCCTTGACCAAGTCAGGTTTTTTCACAGCCTTACTGCTCTCTTTGTGTAGGGCCTCTTTCACACTCATCTTCTCACTGCGGCTGGGCTGCAAGAAGCAAAGCATTTGTTGAGTCTACCTCCATGAAGCGGCTCACACAGCCATCAATGAGGAAAATGGGATTTTATGCCACTTTTTGGTAATACTCAAAAATAATACTCAACAGTTACTTTCACCAGACCTGGGCTTCACACAGTGAGATGGCAAACATACGCCAGTCAACGCAAGGCTACCTCACTGTAGACTTCACACACTGTACCCATGTAGTGTTTGTACATGCACCTTTATCATGGCAAGGCAACACTTCCTAAGTAACGATATAATTACAGAAACAGTATTCTGGTTGCACATATTTACCACTTTCTTGAAACCCATGTGAGTGAATATGGTTTTATGCCGCTTTAAGCAATATTTCAGCAATAGCATGGCGGGAGACACCAGAAATGGGCTTCACACATTGTACCCATGTACGAGCAAACACTTTAACCACTAGGCTACCCCACCGCCCCATTAAAATCCATGAGCAGGCAAATATTTCAGAACATTTTCACTCTATAATTTCATAAAATCCTAAGGACAATTTGGATGGGTGTGTCCAAGAAAATCCTTAAAAATATATTACAAACTCTGTGCTGACAAACACTGCATTTCTAGGATTCAAACCCAGATTAGCAGACCCTAGAAGGATAACAGGCCACAGCAAATTATGCTTTTGAAAACTGTGCCATAAGTGTTCGGTTCATTCCACAGGAGGACAATAACATAGTTAAATATCCAACCATGTATTAAGATGTGCAAATACAACTAGCTGAAAATCAACAACTGATCATTGTCCAACTAACATAACCAAGAGTATGGACTGGTTAGAAATACCTTAGGTTGCCTCTGAGGCTGTGGTTTGGGTGCATCAAAGTTTGGTGTGTCTTCCAGCTCCTTGTTTATTCTCTCTTCCAGCATTTTATCCTGAAAAATGGGACACGTGTAACAAGATTCATAAACATTTTTTCTCAGGTATAAATTTGCCAAACAGTACTGCACTCTCAACTTAAAATGGGTTATCTAATTTCAGTTGCAAAAAAATGATCAAAATCAAAACTAAGTAAGACACTGATGTAAAAGAAGCAATGAAACAGAGAGAAAACAAATTTAGACAAATGACAAAATCATCTAGAATTGGCCAAAGGTAAGCCAAATCATGCTTACTTATCAACAAATAATACATTAAGGAATGTGCAAGCTATCTATAATTAGAATTAGTCTAACAATAACTAAATCAGTCCTACTACAACCATGCTTACAGTCTATACACATATTACAGGGTCTTCATTTCTCCGAACCTGGTGTCCAAAGACAACTGGAATCTTCGGTGATGAGAACATTTCTGTTGCATGCAGGGTACAAGTAAAAACTCAAGCTGAACCACAACAAACTACAACCAAAGACGAGGAGGCTGGACGACAACTCTGAGGCAAGCCGAGCTCGTTCTCTTTCAATGTTGCTTCTATACCTTAGACTCATCCTTATGCTTGTTTTCTGCGCTTGGGGAGCTCCGGGTAGATGAGGCGGTAGAATTAGGCTGGTCACTTACATCTATCCCACTGTCGTGCTGGTCGCCCTTGTCCATCTTGTTATCCACCGCTACGGGGGACTGCGATGGCCCCAGAGTCATGGAGAAGTTGATAGGCTTAGTCCACGCACTCACAGTAGGGATAGGGGCCGGCGTCATCGACAATGGTGGCACCTGGGACTGCATACTCAGCTTCTGGGAAGACATGGCAACAGTCATCTGCTGGGATGGCTGTTGTTGTTGCTGCTGCTGTTGCTGCTGCTGCTGTTGTTGTTGTTGCTGGTTTGACTTGGGTGCAGAGTCTGAGAGAGAAGAAATGAATGTGAAATGACCATATTTTCACTTGAATATTACATTTTCCAGTAAATCAAATTTATATATCGTCCTTATGCAAAGGAGTTTACTGAATATAAACACCCATATTCAATCTTTCCTGAAGTAGGCTACACTAAAATATATCTCCATAATTTATGCCTAGTTCGGCAAAGGATGGAAGGTGGATGTTTATATTCAGCTAAGTCCCATGCATGAGGACGATGTATACCGTATATGACTGTCTATAAGCCGAATTTTGAGGACCAAAAAAAGCAGTCTGTAGAAGGGGGTCGTCTTATCCATGGGTTACGCTTTTGTCAAACTTTTTTCCAGGGGTAAGAAAACAACATCGTATCACTTCGCGTGAACAAACAACAGAAGACGACTTTGTCAGTAGACACGTCAAATTTGCAATTAAACATCACTAGACCAGATTATTTACCTTTTAAGTTCTAAGTTGTTTTTGCTGGGCATTGTATTATTTGCAGGGATTAAGATTACCGTGTGTATCTGAGCCGGAAATAGCAATCGGCTGTGCACATGTTTCCCGGCGATCAAGTTCAAACATGCACAATAATATAACAGGACGAATTCTGACGCAGTCGTCAGTACAATATAATACAGAATACTATTATTTAACCCAAAGAAATATATCCTAGCATTGTGTAATTTTAATTAAGGTTTTTGCTCTATAAATTAATTAAGATTAAGATTACCGTGTGTATTTGTGCCGGAAATAGCAATCAGCAGCGAACAAGTTCAAACATGCACAATAATATAACGGGACGAATTCTGACGACCAGTCGTCAGTAAAATATAATACAGAGTACTATTATTTAACCCAAAGAAATATAACCTAGCATTGTGTAATTTTAATTGCAGTTTTTATGTAAAATATATATAATCAACACTAAGGTTATACGGACCCTCATGAACGTGTTAAGTTGTACGCACATGGAATGGGGTAAACTACGGAAGCCATTTAAATTCACACATTTTTACCGATGTTACTGTAAACTAGCAGTCAATGGAAAACGAGGCGGTAATCAGTTCGTGATTGTTGAATGGGGTAAAATAAGCAAGCCAGTTTGTTGCTACAATACATATGATATTTAAAGAAACAAAATATATTATGCATTTTCTGTCAACTACACTTTGTTTCGGTCCGTGAGTAGATGCAATATATATGACAGTGAATTCTTTAAATAATGTGGACCAAAGTTATAATTATTGGTAACTACCAGTTGTCTGTGTTTGCCGCAATTAGGATCCCATCGCGGGGGATCGACTTATGCACGAAACATACCATTTGACACTGATTTTAAGGGTCAAGTTTGGGGGTCGTCTTATCCATGGGGTCGTCTTATAGACGGTCATATACGGAAATTTTGTTTTGCAACCTGAGCGCATCACATTTGTCATCAAAACCCTGTGATCATGATATAACTGGGGCGGTGGAGTAGCCAAGTGATTAAAGTGTCTGCTTGTCATGCTGAAGACCCGGGTTCGATTCCCCATATGGGGACAATGCGTGAAGCCCATTTCTCCTATCCCCCACTGTGATATTGCTGGAATACTGCTAAAAGCCATACTCACTCACCATGATATAACTAACAATGCGATAAAAATGAAGTCCATTTTTACAGTACTGAAGTTTCCTACTGTGTACACTTACTATTGGAGTCTCCATTTGAGAGGTGGGCTGGAGCAGGGATGTTGTTAGCAAGGTCATTGTTCCACTGTTCAATCTTGGGCATCACATCCAGGTTGGCCTCTTTCTCCTTCTCTCTCTGCTCTTTTTGTTTGGCAAAGCGTGGTGGCAAGCGACTCATTTTGCTGAATCTGGCACGCTCAATCTTTGGTGTGAGGCCTTTGGGTTTCGCAATTACCTGTGAAAATACATCATTCAAAGTTGACATGGAAAAAAAGGAACCAATTCCAACAACATCCTAAAAACAAGTGATGATCTGGGATATTACAAGCAACACCTCAACACCTTTTTGTGTAAACATTGCAGCTAGGACATCCTACCTGTTTGTAAATTATCACTCTAAGCCAAGCAGAGTTACAATTAACTGCATTTGAATAAAACATGTTTAACAACCAACAAGCAGACTCAGATGTTATAAAACTTAAATCACAGTTTTCATTGGATTGACAGATTACAAACACTCATCACTGCATGCTGTTGGTGTGATACAGACATCAATTTGACATACGTCAACACAAAAACACCCCACTTATCCATCACTAGTGACAGATGAAATATCTGAGTACAAGTGATCTCTTCTGTTGTTGGTTGTTATTCAACACCGCACTCAGCAATATTCCAGCCATATGGCAGCTGTCTGTAAATAATCCAGTGATCAACAGCAAGAGCAATTGGGATACGATGAAGTGTCAAGCAGTCAGAGAGCTTGACCACCCCATCCCTTTAGTCGCCTCTTACAAGCATTAGTTTGCTGAAGACCAGTTCAAATCCGGATCTTCCTGGGACTCTTGTGTATCTACTGTTGTCACAGTTCGTGGCATACATGACTTCCATCATCAATGTGACAATCATATCACACTGGTAATGAATGCACTGACTGGTTTGAAGCCATTTGGTTAAGTTAGCACCACAACTCAGAGGGGAACAGTTATTTGCCATGTTGCAGCCACATCATGACGGACTGTAATAATCCAGTCCAGGCAACCAATGGTTAACGTTGTACAAGCAACTATACAAGTCATCAAGGTCAATGATAGTCAACATTGTAACCATAAAGGCCTGTTTACTCCTCTAGAAAGACAAGGGAAGATGCAAAACACTTGCAATAATTTGACATATATTGTACCTTTGATGCAGGGTCTCGTTTTTTGTGAGTCTCCGACATTTTCTTCATCTCCGCTTCCTGCATCTTCTGTTTGATTTTGATGGCCTTTTTTGATGTGACCTCCTGAAAGCCTTCATTGTTCTCAAATAGAAAGTTGGGGTCATCGATTGTCACTTCAGGCTGATCATCAATAACCACCACACCTGCAACCGGCAAGCAATGGGTAAATATACCAGATTCCACATGGCATTATTAATAAGAAACGTGTTGGGGGCTCTACACATCTTTGACTTGCTCAGTAGCTTTACAATATAATCAGCCAATATAAATAGTCATTGGATTGACAGATATAAGAATCATCCTTGCAAGTCACGTATGTTGCATCCCTCCCAGCACACTATATATAGCCAATAAAGTAAAAAGTAACAAGTACTTAATATCAATTACCTAATTTGGAGATGCCAACACTAAGATCACAGAAATTCCTTTCAGGCTACAGTACAATGTTTCCACTCATTGAAAAATCTTCGGTCAGTGAAAACCACGCATTTTGTTGAGTGCTAGTGTGATTTTTCCGTCGCACATCGCGGCGCTGATGACTGGAAACGTTAATACCAACATTTGGCTCAGAAATACTAATGTTAAATTTGAAACATAAGAAAGTGACAGATAAAGATAGTCTGCCTGACAATTCACCATGTTTCCACTTGTTGCAAGAGCAATGACTTCTTAAGACAAGTTTACGCAAAGGACGCAACCCTTTACATCCCACTGGCTTTGTTTACCTCCGGTTTGCATGCAATAAAGTTAATTGATTTTCAACAACTTCTGAGCTTTGAAATGGAAATTTGATACTAATTAAAATGTTGAAATTTATTGTGTATGGTACTTATGCTATTTCATAACTTACTGTATTTTATTTAAAATTTGTTATATTTTTTGCTGCTATCGTAGTCACATATTTTGTGTTGTTTTTTCGTAACGAATACGATAAAATCTTTATCATATGGGTTGGCATCTCTACCTAATTGTTTCCATATATGGTTCACATAAATGTCACCATAAACCTTGATAAAACTACTTTCTTGATAAAATTACTTTACTGTTTGAGCTTGGAAAGTTCTTTGTGGAAAGTGGGGATACTTTTGCCAACATGAAGAAAACATTTATCGTCTTTTCATACTTTAAAGGGATGCATAGTTTAACCAGTTAGCTGTAGGTTAGACCACAACAAAATGCTGAATACCTATTCTTGGAGAATGCTTTTCAAGACTTTGATACATAAATCACAAGCATTCATTAGTTTCCATTATCAAAACTGACAGACGCTAGGTTTCTTTTTTAATTACTTGTTACATATCAAAATGCAATCTTCAAACATCTATCATGTTCAACTAAACACTCATCTACAAGCATGCTCAGGTGAAAAAGAAATCAAATCACAGTTTTCATTGGATTGACAGATTACGAATGTTCATCACTGCATGCCGATGGTGTGATAATTGAAGATATTTATGTCATTTGCCATACCTTGAATCATTTTAAGGATTAATGTGGGGTCATTCTTTCGTTGTGTGTTATTAACATTCCACTTTAACTTCACTAAAAATGAAAAGACCAGATTAGGAAACTAAGAATTCAGATAATCTATGTAAATATCGAGAAAGTATAAACTCAATGTTATGTCCCTGTAAAGTTTTTTAGAACCGTAATCCTTATATTACAAGTATGTAAATGAATGCTTCTTAACGATTCAATCAACAGTATTCCATGTCGCAATCGCCATAACTACTGTAAACACTCCATGGTCAACTCCAAAAGGCATGGCCTGTATGAGAGCAATATTTCCTGATCCCAATATGGGCCTCTTAACCAGCTGATCAATATTAATTCAACTAAATGCATGTCTGCATTACCCCTAAGACAATAGTTAATGAAATGTAACTTCCACAGCACCACAGATACTTACTTGCATAGTTGTTTATGTCAATATTAGCCAAGGCGTCTTTCTTCTCCTTCTCATTCTTCAAAGGTTTTGAAACGTCTGACAGGTCCGACTTCCTCCCCATGTTCTTATTTCTGCAACAAAACAAACAATTAAAATTAAAATGTTTGTTCCTAATGAGATTACGAATTTTCAGGCCTAGTCAATACAGTTCATGTGTCTTTTTATTCTTATTCTATCATAAGAACGTTCAGAGCCTAAAATAGGGTTGTAATCATGTACATGTATATCAGAATCTCAGGGTTAGAAATATAGAAATTTATTTATATATTTTTTTCAAATTCTTTTTATTCATTACAGTTAATTTTTAACTTTACTACTATAAAAAAAAGTGATCTGCTTTAGGGCTCCTTTAACTCTTTCAACACCAGTCAACCAGAGGCATTTACTGCCATGACACCGAGTTCCCAGAGACTCTGAGGTCATAGATGAAGCCTATGTTTATGAAGGAAATTATAAGCTTGCAAAACGTTATTGCTACTACATCCAATACACCATTTAAAAGATCTAATCCTCATGTTGATAAATATGAAGTTTATTTTTATAATATTATTCAAATAATACAACTTCAACTTAAATAAAATTATTTTGAATGAAAATGCAAGCTTACATTTATAACGTCCAGATAAACCACGAAAGAAGCAAAAACTAAGGCGATTTTTTTCCATTTGTGACATGTCATAACATGCCCGTGCCTTTTTCTTTTATATTTTCACTTTTACGTAATCAGAAAATTATTATAAAAAGATTTCTTAAATAATATGTATGGTCGCCTATTTCCCGATATCTGTGGCTTTCCGCTCGGTAACATGACACTACAACGGAAAATACCTCCGTTTTGAAGCAGTATGAATAACATGGGAGGCGAATCGTTTGATGCCGGGTATCGTTCGAAAAGCTCTGAACATCAACAACATCACTGAACCCTTGCCGAGAGTATTTTCACAGTTGTAAGAAGCGATTTTATTGGATAAAAATTGGTTTCTAATGGCGCTTTTCGCTACAGTCTGCTATAAGGGTCGTGATTGGTCAAAATCAGACACGTGGCCTAAGGCAGCCAATCATATTACGGCAATGGATACCACCCTCGTAAACGAAATTTTTAGATTTAGACGAAAGTTTTGGGTAAAATAATGCTATTCTGAACATATTAAGCAATAAATCGCTACATATACGTAAATTATGGGACTTATTGGGACGTATCGTGCTAGGTTATGACCTGTGACAAAAATGCTTCATGCATATATTTTCGCATTAAACATCGTGGTCCGAAGCGTGAAGATTGAGGCGCGAGAGCGAGATGTCACTTGTCAGTGATTTGACTTGCATTACATGATCGCACAAAAGATGGAAAAAGTAATTTTATATATACGTTTGACAACTTTTATGAATGCTGTTGTTGATTTTATTCATTAGTTTATTCTATTTATTTAATCATTTCCTCGAAACATCGTTACTTTGCTCTTTGACAATGTTATTGTGGACCCGGCTCGAAGCATGTGTCCGAGAATCGTTGTTTTCAATTACATTCGAAAAATAGTTTATAATTTTAATTCTGCCGATAATATATGATCAATTGAAATTTAATAAGTGTTTCCAGACATTGTGAAATGTGATGGATTTAATATATGAATCATAAGTCAGGTAAGTTCCTAAAATTATGTCTCATTTTGACGTGACTACTGCCTGGCCGCTTAAGCGGCCTCCGGTGTCTGGGGACTCATAACGTTGTGGCCGCTTAAGCGGCCTGCGGTGTTGAAAGGGTTAAGGTGAATGTGATAGTGATAGTGAAACATCATATATCCTTTAAAATTTCTGACTTTCAAAATTAAACTTCAATACATGAAAACTGAAGCTCAGCCAAATACTTTCAATCTATGTGCATGACATGGGACCAAGGGGCCATAAACAGCTGTCCAGTGTTTCCAATTAAGTTCTCGTCATAAACCTTATGAACCGTAAAGATTTAAGATATCATGAAAACTGCAGCTCAGCCAAATGGTAGATTACAAATAAGCCAAAATATAAGAGCTCACACAGATAGTGGCTCAAATTGTCAACACCAGCTACTTATTGTTTAATGCTATCGTGCATATGGAGGCACCAGTCTGTTAAGCATTATGGGAGCACCTTTAGAATACAGCACCACAACTTCTCGAGAGGACGATCTCTGCCGTAGGTCACGTCATTAAGACAAGCAACCAGTTTGTCAGAACCCATCGGACGCGACCCCGCGACCTTCAGACCGTAATACAAATAAATATGAGCGTATTAGTGAAAAAAGAAAAATATTTCAAACCGGTGCTTGCAAAAAAATTGTGCATCCACCGGTATAGAACTACTGGAAACTCAACATCGTTGGGCTTATGCAATGGCATAGCTAGTCGAGATGAAACACCAGTGAGCAGAGCTTATACGCACTCGCTGAGCTAGACAACCGTGTTGCCATGCAGGCGTCATTGGGCATTGTTTCGAGAACGTGCTTTCGAACAAAATCACATTACATTACGTAAAAGGGTATTATGACGTATTTTTAAAGTTTGTGGTGCTTTATTCTAAAGGTAGGCCGAATTATGTGCATAATAACTTGTCAGCGTTTACCTTGATACAGATAGAAGACAGTTTTTAAGGGAGGGTAAGGTAAGTAAGCTGAAGACAGGTAAGCTAAGTTCAGTGAAACATCATGACTTCTTGGGAACGGGTTTCCACTTGTAATTGAGCTAAACTTGAGTTTTGTGTATATATATCTCCAGCAGCTTGACACCCCTAAGCTATGGATAAACAAGTGTGAAAACAAATTGCCATTAACATCATGAACTATTGGGAACATTCTATTCTTCACAAAAGAGTATCATGTTTTACAAGCCATCAGTATTATGGGTGATAGATGGAGAGTTATCACTGCACATAGCTCAATCAATTACTGCATCATCTGGCTGTCTAAATCTTTCACAGGTTCTATCCCTAACCCATTCAACACCGTAGGCCAGAAAACCGGCCAAGACGTCACGAGTCCCCAGACAGGCAGTAGTCACATCCAAATGATTTTTAATTTTAGGAACCTAACATACATATGAGTCTTTTATCAAATCTATTACTTTTCACGTCTGAAAAAGCTTATTAAATTTCAAATGATCATATATTATCGACAGGATTAGAATTATAAACTATTTTTCGCAATGTTATTGAAAAAAAATAAAATTCTTAGACACATGCTTCCGCAAGGGTCCACAGCAAAGTTGTCAAAGAGCAAAGTAACGATGTTTCGAGAAAATAATTAACAAACTGAATAAACTGAAAAATAACATCCACAACAGTACTCATAAAAGTTGTCAAACGTACATTATAACTTACTATTTCAATCTTTTTGAGCGTTCGTGTATTGTAATGCAAGTGACATCTCGGCTTTCGTCGCTTCGAACTTCACGCTCGGACACATGTTTAATGCTAAAATGTATGCATGAAGCATTTTTGTCACAGGTCATAACCTAGCACGATACGTCCACTAAGTTCCATAATATACGTATAGGTGGTGATTTATTGCATAACACGTTCAGAATAGCGTGATTTTAACCCAAAACTTTCGTCTGAATCCTTAGTTTTCGTTTACGAGGACAGTATCCATTGCTGTAATATGATTGGCTGCCTTAGGTCACATGTACGATTTTGACCAATCACGGTCTTATATCAGACTGTGGCGAAAAAGCATTATTAGAAACCAATCTTTATCCAATAAAATCGCTTCTTACAACTGTGAAAATACTCTTGGCAAGGGTACAATGATACTGTTGATGTTCAGAGCTTTCGAACGATACCGCCATCAAATGAATCGCCTCACATGTTAATCATACGAAGCTTCGAAACCCAAGGTATTTCACGCTGTTGTATCACGTTACCGAGCGGAAAGTCACTGATATCGGGAAATAGACGACAATACATATGATTTGAGAAATCTTTTTAAAAGTAAATTTCTGATTACAAAAAAATGAAAATATAGAAGAAAAACGTAAGGGGATATTATGACATGTTACAAATGGAAAACAATTTGCTCCCTTTGTGGTTTATCTGGACATTAAAAATGTTTAGCTTGCATTTTCATTAAAAATTAAATTACTTACGTTGTAGTTGGATTATTTGAATAACATGATCAAAAATAAATTTCATATTTATGAACAGTAGGATTAGACTTTTCAAATGGTGTATGATATGTAGTAGCAATAATGTTTCACAAGCTGATATTTTCCTTGATCAACATAGGCTCCATCTATGACCTCAGAGTCTCTGGGAACTCGGTGTCATGGCAGTAAAAGCCTCTGGTTGACTGGTGTTGAAAGAGTTAATTACAGAGAAATACCAGTGATAGACATAACAATATCAATTACTTTTTCATTTTAACAGATAGCATCTTCAGTCTGGGATAACAGAATTCTGTCTCTGAATCTGAATACCAACAGAGGTAGTGCATTGCAGCTTATGAATACTTTTAATCCATGTGGACGACATAAAACCAAGAGAGGCCATAAACAGCTGTCTAAACATTGTTTTAATTTTTGTTTTAAGTCATAAATCTCAAGATAAATCTTCAAGATTTAAAGGATTGCGAAAACTGCAGCTACGTTGTGGGTGTCTCTCCAGCAGCTTGACACCGCTACATTATCGATAAACCAGGGTGAAACAAATTGTTTTTAACATCATGAACCATTGGGTACTTGGGGACATTCTATTCTTCACAAAAGACAAGCCATCAGTATTATGGGTGATAGATGGAGAGTTATCACTGCACATAGCTCAATCAATTACTGCATCATATGGCTGTCTAAATCTTTCACAGGTTCTATCCTTAATTACAGAGAAATACCAGTGATAGACATAACAATATCAATTAGTTTTTCATTTTAACAGATAACAACATCTGTCTGGGATAACAGAATTCTGCCTCTGAATCTGAATACCAACAGGTATTGCGGCTTATGAATACTTTTAATCCATGTGGACGACATAAAACCAATAGAGGCCATAAACAGCTGGCCAAACCTATGATAAATCTTTAAGATTGAAGGGATTGTGAAAACTGCAACCCAGTTGTGTGTGTATGTCTCTAGCAGCTTGACACCCCTACCATTACAGATAAACCAGGGTGAAAACATTGGTTTCAACATCATGAACCATTGACTACTTGATGACATTCTATTCTTCACAAAAGAGCAAAAGATGGCTTGTGTTGGACAAGCCATCAGTATTATGGGTGATAGATGGAGGGTTATCACTGCACAAAGCTCAATCAATTACTGCATCATCTGGCTGTCCAAATCTACTCACAAGTTCTATCCTTAATTAGGCCAAATAAAAAAAATGTTGTGATTCCGATTATACCTCTTTAAAATTTAGGGTAGGTAGGTAGGAATTTTTTTTTTTTTTTTTTTTTTTTTTTAAAGAAGTAGAGTATGAACTAATAACACATTTATGAATATATAACTATTTATTCAATCAAGCTTGTGGCCATCATGTCGACTTTATCAGAATGACCGATGTCCATTGGTGCCGGGCAAAAACAATGGTATCTGAAAGCTTATTTTATTCATACCTCTTAAAAAAACTTGGGTTGGCACCAGAATTCAAGGGTCGGTCGGGTAATCAGAACCACAACATTTTTTTTTATAGGCCTTACAGAGAAATACCAGTGGTGTCAGACATTAAACAAATAACCAAGTCATCAGGTGACAGCAACATTATAATTATACACATACTCAAAAGATATCACAATGCGACCTCCTTTGGAATTTTCATTCTAACAAACAGCATCTTCTGCGTGGGACAACAGTATTTGGTCTCAGAATCACAACAGCACAGCATTGCGACTTCTGAGTACTTTAATCTATGTGCATGACATGGGACCAAGGGGCCATATAACAGCTGTCCAGTGTTTCCAATTAAGTTCTTGTCATAAATCTTATGAACCTTACAGATTTAAGGGATCATGAAAACTGCAGCTCAGCCAAATGGTAGATTAAAAATATGCCAAAACCCAAGAAGGCAATTTTAAAGGCAGGGTAAAGAAAGAAAGCTGAAGATTAGTAGAAGTTCTGTTGTTATTAACATCATGAACCATTGGGTACTTGGGACATTCTATTCTTCACAAAAGACAAGCCATCAGTATTATGGGTGATAGATGGAGAGTTATCACTGCACAAAGCTCAATCAATTACTGCATCATCTGGCTGTCTAAATCTACTCAGAAAGTTTTATCCTTAATTGCAGAGAGAGTGGTGTCCCTAGATTAAGAAGCCATAATCAAAAATCAAAGACCACCCTCATGTAAAAAAAACCTGCATATTCTACTCATTTCAGCTGTCAGCAGTAAACTAAATAAAATAATAAAAGATTTCTTTCTCACCTGTTGTTCATACTGTTAATGGCATTGTTGATGGCCGTGGGATCATTAGGCACAATTCCATCCACACGGTACACGGTCTTCACATTCTCCTTATGGTTCACATTAACAGTTGCCTTGGCTTTTGGTACTGAGTTCGACGGACCTGCCCCGTTTTTTGTCGAGTTTGGGGACTTTTCCTTATTTGAATTCCTCCTTTCCATGCTATTTGACTTCCTAGAATCCACACTATTATTTACACGTCTATTCTGGCGGTCATTAAGAGGCCGTTGGCTGGAAAAACTTTTTTTCGAGGGTTGATCGCGCTTATCTTTATTAGCGTCTCTTATCTCGTTTTTTGGATCCTTTTTTTCAAGGACATCACTACTTTCAGAAGCAGTTTCCCACTCTTCCCCTTCATTTGACGCCTGCTTTGTCAATGGGGGTTTCTTAGAATTAGTTGTAGGGGGAGCACTTCCTCCTCTTCCTTTTGATCGACCACCTCTACCTCCACGTTCAAAACCCCGTCCTCGTTCAGCACTCATGCCACCTCTTCGGGCGAATCTCGGAGGAGGGGGGTTTCTTTCTTGTCTCCTGTCCCGTCTGGAAAGTAAAATACAGCATAAATATTTAACAGAGGTGACCTTAATCCCTTGTTTTCAAGGTTTTTAAGAAGCAAAATATACATTGACTTGCACAGTCAAGCAGCCTTAGATAATTAAAATATTATGTTGCTTTATATAATAATCCCATCCACATATTGACCCATGCAATCTGTGATTTCTCAATATTATTTCTGAGATCATGAAGCGTTCATTCATCATAGCCATTCACTGACAAGTCTACAAAAATTGTTCATTAACCTGTTTTGAGGTCCCATGTCCCCATAATCTCTCCTGTCTCCATTGGTCATGGGTGGGCGACTGTAACCACCCCTCTGAGGTGGAGCTGAGAAGTACCTCCCTCCTCTGCCTCGACCACCTCTCGGTGGACCTTGACCTGCATTTCCACCTGGATGTAACATATCAATATCAATACAGGTACATACCTAACAGTGTTAAGTTTTAACAATATGCCTCAGGATTAAATAGATTATGAAGTAGGTTGGGCAAGTCAGGTTATATTAACTTAAATTTGATTTCCATCAACATCTCGTCCCACATTCTCTTTTTTGTAACATAAACCCAACTTTACATTGTACAATCCCTGATAATTACCACTGCCATTAAATTCAGCACTTCCATTATTTTTAGAACAATTACACATGTAAGTAATGTTAAAAGACATAAAACACCAAAATGAGGTAATGAACTTACCTCTCCCTCTTCTTGAAGGTTCCCCTCTTGGTGTGAAGCCCCCAGCGTTGGCACTGGCAGTGGCACTGGACTGTCGATATCCACCACCTCTTTCTTTACTATCGTCATCAAGATCAGCACGTTCTCCATACGGTTTTGGCTGAAATCGGTCATTATTTTCATATCGTCTATCTCTCATCCAAGGATTATTGCGTGGCCTACCCCGCTCTTCCCGAGGGTGTGGCGCACCTTTGTCCTTTTGACTTGCAGACTTCTGAGTGTTGTTGATCTCCTCTTTCGTTTCTTTTGTCAATTTCACATCCTTGTTCTCCTTATCCTTTCCCTGAGCAACTTCCCTGGCTTCCGATGTCCTCTCACTTGAGCTTTCACTGTAAGTGCCACTTGTCTCATCAACAGACACATCACTCTCCCTCATCACGTCCACGCCGCCTTTTTGACGTGTCAACATCCTCCCCCTCGGCTTGATCATCTTCAGGACGATCTTTCCAGTGACCAAACGACTGACCCCTGTCTGATCTTTGACCTCTGAATGGTCTATCCAAACTGTGGAAGTCACCTCTTCCACGTCCTCGGCTAGAACCAAGTCCACCACGGGCACCTCGTCCCCTGCCACGTCCTCGACCACGCACAAATTCTCTACCACGTCCAGGAACACTTCTGGTTCTGTCCCTATCGCCACGATCTCGGTCACGGTCTCGCTCAAACCTGTCCATGTATGGCTCCTCTTTCTTCTTTTTTGCAGGTGGTCTGTCCTTGCCAGGCCCTCGATCCCGCCTATCATCAAATCCATCCCTCTCAATCTGGGTTTTTTCCTTCTTTTCTTCACGGCTTTCAAATTTTGGCTCAGGGGCGGATTCCTGCTGTTTTTCCTTTGCTGCGTTTCTATGCAAAAAAAAGAAAAAGTATTAATACTATTATTCTATGAAAGTGGAAATCAGATTATTCAGTTTATTGCACATGCTGAGTATTAGAGTAGCTTAAGAGTATTTGTCTGCTTGACAAATGCTCACATACTTTTCACTTTGTCTCCTGCTCCAGACCGTTTCAGTTCTGGAAGAATCTGGGACTGCCACCACCTCTCTCTGGGACTCTTTCTTGATTGACTCCTGCAAGAAAACAAACATTCATCAAATTTCAATATCATCTATCCAGCTCTTAAATTACATTTAAGGGTTTTAATTTGATTTTGACAAGCTCTGGGACAAATTAACATCAAGGATGTTCCTCCCACTTTTGAGAAGACGTTTTCAATTTGTGTGCAGTTTCTTCTGTAACACTGGCTTGAATATCCTTCATTACATATGAAACTGGAAAACACTTACACTGATATTTACACTTACCCTGCTTGGTTCTTTCCTCAAGCTGGTTGGCTTTTCATGGAGAACTGGCTCCTTTGGTGAATCACTTTTTCTTTCAGAGGATGCAGCCGAGCTGGTTGAGTTGTTGGATGCACTTCGCTTTGAGTGACATGAAGTTACTGCGTGGTGGTGGTGCAGACTGCGCCTGTTGTGGAGGTATCGGTGGTGGACAACTTGGGTGATGGTCTCGCCCTGACAAGACAATGCACAATCAGTACAAATGGTGACTGGCCATAATTCTTATTCTTTCAGTCTTGTAAGTACAAATTGGTTTATACTCAAGTCCCCAAATGCTATTAGCCTTTTGATTCTTTTAACATTGGACATATTTATAATATTTGCCAAGTTGCATCTCTGTACTCTTCAAGCCAGTGATCATCAATATCCTGAGCCTCAATACACACTAATTGGGTACTACCATGTCAATGAAAGTAATGTTGCTCACGTGATTTGCCCTCATCGATTCCTCCCCATGCTCTTTGTGGTTGAGACGGAGGACCTCTGTCATGTCTTGTTTGTGAGCTTTGAAAATTGCTATGACTTCCCCAATCCTTCATCCTCCTGAATTCAGACTCTTTGTCATCCCTCTTGTCCAAATCAGGTTTCTGTCGTCGGGGCTCTGGTGGAACCTCTTCAGATCTGAAATTAAAGAATATAAAATACATCTTATTCTTGTTCCATGCGTCAGTAAGAGATTCCTTTCACAGAGCAAATGATGGTAAACACATGAGTCAAGTTGAGGTTTAACACTGCAGTCACCTATATTCAAATTATATCAACATTACCTTTACATAATCATTCCAGGCAAATGGCGGTTGATATTATTACAATCCACCTTGGGGTTAGTCATGATATGACTGAAATGTTTCCAATGTGAAGTTATCTAACTCGCTCAGTTCTGGCTCTAAAAACCATGAATGGGATGCTAGAAATCGGATTCTGACCTGAATTTCAACTGTGTAGAATACAACAATGAAAGCAAGGTAACATCTTAACGTCAAAGCCAGTATGGCAAAATATTCTTTATTTAAGCATTACTTAGTAAACCACTCACTTTTCATCAACATCCCAACTTTCCAATTTGTCATCTTTGCCAACTGCTTCATCGAAGGGATCTCTCTGTACAACTGGACTCCTTGTCACTGAGCTTCGATGTTCAAGCTCCTTGGGGGCTTTGTCTGCAAGTGGGGGTCCATCCTGATCAATTTCTTTATCCCTGTGGTGGTCATCTCTGTCCCCCAATTCTCCCTGGTGTTCATAATCTCTGAAACAACAATCAAAGCGTATCTGATGGATGAAGAACTATGGACAAACATTTGAAAGCCAACTAAAATATTTATGGTACAAGCAGACATTTAGGTAGAAACCACATTCATTTTAAGAATGAGTATCAAACATATTCATCAGTTTCAATAACACAAGAAAGTTTACAACAATTTGATTTAAGCATGCATGGTTGCCTTTGCATACAACTATGAACATAAGAAGTATTTATCAAGGTTATAACAATTAAATTTACATCATGCAAATGTGCATGTAATTATAGACAAATTCACTCACTTTCTGTCATAGTCATATCTTTCATAGTCATGGTACATCCTTGGATCAAAGTATGGTCCTCTTCTCATCTCATCATATGGGCCTGTGGGAGATAAACAAATATTTTGAAACAAGAATACTTAAGAGGTATATGTATAGGAATGAATTTGTTCTGCAAGTTAGTAATTTCTAATTTCCCCAAAAACATCAGATAAACGATCAGAAACAGTTACTCTTCAAAGATAGGTATCCCAAGGTTTCTTCATGATTGAAGTGAGTGAAATCATATAATAATAAGTCAGCATGTTCTGACTGTATCTGAGCAGCAAGTTCTGTTTACAAACCAGCCAAACAATCAGGTAACTCGGGTGTAGAAATTCAGATTGAAGAACAGTATTTAAACACACCTGGTGGTGGAGGTGGATATCCTCTCTCCATCCATGTACGTGGGTCTCTTGGATCACGTTCATACTGCTCTGGCTGTCGGGTTTCATTGTCTTGACTGTCTGTGCCAGAACCATGACTATCTGTGCGGCGACGCATTGGTGGGGGTGGGTACATGTGCATGCCTGCAAAATTAGAGTTTTAAGTTAGATGTTATCAATCTAGGAATAACAAATTCAACAAGTGAGTTTCTGCCCAAATGTCTGTCATTCAAACTGGGAATATCATCTTGCCACATTAATTGTTTCCACATTTAAATTTATTCCCCAGTATGTGCTTCTTTCAAGGAGAGCACATGCTGGCACGGGCAACTCCTTTACGTTTTTTTTGTACATTTTGTATATCTAACTTCACCTTGAAATACTCACCAGCCATTTCCATTCTTCCAGCATATCTGGGATCCATGAATGGGGGTGGTGGCATGCCTCCCCATGCCCGGGGATCATATGGCGTTCCTACCCAATGTGGTGGTGGTCCTTGCCCTGGCCGGAAGCCCTGGGGTAACTGTGGGTGTTGTCCCGATCCCTGCTGCGCGCTGCTGCTGCTGCTGCTGCTGCTGCTGCTGTGGTGTCTGGGAGGAGGGGGACTGCGATGTCTGCTGACGCATCATCTGCTCCTGCTGTTGTTTTTGAAATCGTGGAGGCACATTCCGAGCATAGGCTTTGGAGAAGGTCTGGTTACTCTGTCAGAAATTGAGATCAGAGACTAACTCACCACTCATATGGGTCTAGCAAGGGGCAATCTGATAGTTAAGAAAGGTTATATACATAGATGTCATATGGAAGGAATTTTGGATTTCTTTCAGGCAGAAAAGTTAGAAACTAACTACAGACAGACAACACAGTAAGAAAGATTGGACAGAGCGCAGAGAAAAGATTATTGCTAAATAAGAAAAAATGGACAAGCTTCCATTGATTATATGAAAGACAGGACAAACAAGCTTGTTTCATGCATATGTAAAATCATGCATCTAGAATACAATGAAAATAGTAAAAGCAGATGTGACAACAGCCTTGCCTCAGATACACCCTTGCTGTGAGTTTAGTCTCTGAGCTAAATACACTGACTATTTCTATAACACATAACCTTCTCATGCACAAAAGAAAATGCTCAATTTCCATGTCAATTTAGTTAAAATGATTTTCTTTTGTCCATTTCAGAGCAAAGTTACAAACAAATTTAATTTCATGTTTCTGAATAATGAGCATTTCTATTGTTAATGTTCAGTAGCCGTTTTGCATCTTTCAAGGACAATAACTTGAAAGTGGTAAGTCATTAGAACAATGAACTCCATAAGACAAAACACAAACATTTTGTTTAAAACTCAAACACCAACACCAAACTACCAGTCTACAAATAATTAAAACAAATTCATGCAATAGTAGTCAAATATAGTAGTGTCTCTTTCCACAATGGTGACCCAATACTAACTCTTATTACTTAGAAGTAGAAATGCATTTTCAGAGATAGGAATTGGGACTTGGCCATCAGTCAAAATTGACACATATCCTCGGGGGCTGGTAGAATGTATTTTTACATGTGTCCTTTCACTATTCAGAGAGCTCAATAGTGGTGCATGTTGTAATAGAACCTGATACATTTAATGGACCTGGCATCACCGAAACTCATCATATTGGGTCACCTATGTATTTGAGACTGTAAAAATTTAATGAAATAAATTATGAAATAATCACTCACTGTTGCTGGGTATTTTGACATGTCCCGATGAGATCTCTCTCTTCCATCCCTTGAATCTTTCTCACTACTCTCACTGGGAGTCCGGCTTGAGCGACCACCATCAGATTCAGCTCCATCTCGGCTCTCCTGGAACCAAAAATGGTTATGTTCAAAACCCACATTTCCGAACTTCAGCTATTCCTACTTCGCTCTCTACCATAGTGAAAGTCATAATCAAGAATGAAAGTCAAGGTGTACTTTGTTTAATCAACTTGTCATCATGAAAACAAAGATAATCAATAAAACTAAAAATATGTTTACACCAAATCATCAAACGGCAACCATTTTCAAAGCAGGGTATATAAAAGAAATTGTTAAGTGAATGTTATGAAATCATTCAACAGTTCAAATACAACAAAAAATAATTCACTTCTTTGGTGCTAAATCTGGTCATTTGAACATATCGCTTATATATTTATCAAAACAAACTCCAGCTGTAAGTAATAAACAAGTGTTTGCCACAAATATAACAATGTCCCCAGCCGCTAAAGAAGAATGAAATGTAACATATTTACTAGTTCTTATCTTTTGGTCACATAGATTACCTTTTGTGTGTGACAGTTTTTATTCATGGTCACTTCTCAGAATCTTCTCATAACCCAGAAGATATTTCAGGAATATAGTAGATTTGAATGTATAGATGCAGATACACATATTCACTGTCAGTATTAGTGTGTACTAGGGCTGGGACGGGTCCAAATTTTTGACCCGTGTACCCCACCCCCTATTACCCCACCTTACCCTGATACCCGTTATGCTAATTCCAGACATCAAATTTGTAACAAATGGCAATATATTCTTCAGCTCTGGGGCTAAAATTGGGAGCAACGTTTTATGTGAAATCGCAGTTCATGTTTGAAAAGTGGTCAAAGTGTTGTGGTGACCTTGAAAATAAGGTCAAAGTCACCAAAATCGACAGGTGTCTGTAATCCCCTTAATGTAGGCTGTCGGCAAATATGAAGACTGACTGACTGAGTTTGGTTTTACGCCGCTTTTAGCAATATTCCAGCAACATCACGGCGAGGGACACCAGAAATGGGCTTTACACATTGTGCCCACGTCGGGATTCGAACCCGGGTCTTCGGCGTGACGAGCCAACGCTTTAACTATTAGGCTACCCCACCGTCCCCCAAATATGAAGACAATGGGTACAACAGTGCATAAGAATTGGGATGTACGAACTGCTGCTGAATACAATGACCGCTGCAACGCAGAACGGGACAATGAATCATTTCAATAATGTGATAACATGACTTTCACATTTATAACCAGTAAGATAAGACCTTTCAAACTGAGTATGACATGTGAATGAGTGAGGGAGTTAAGCTTTATGCCATGACACCAGACATGGGCTTCGTATATTGTACCAACACGTGGAATTGAAATCGGATCTTCAGCATGAGGAGTGAATGATTTAACCACAAGGCAACCCACTGCAAAAATGTTCAGATATTTTCTCAAATATTTACTTCATTTATCACCAAGAAGCTGAATCAAGACCAACCTTATCCTCTTTCTTTTTGCCTGTTCTCTCATCCAGCTGCTTTAATTTCTCAGCAGCTGCGGCTTTCCTCTCGGCCTCCATGCGTCTCTCATCCTCTTCTCGTCGCTGTCGTGCTCTTTCTACAGCTGCATTTACTTCTTCTCCATGTTGTCTTCTCTTTTGTCTCCAAATCTCATCCTCATCCTCTGCTCCAGAATGTCGGTTCAGCTGTGGTGGGTGTGGGCCATATGGGGTGCTGGTCTCTGGTTGGGTGGAGGAGGAGGCATACGGAAATGGGGAGGGTATGGTCCTTGTTGAGACATGAAGTTGTAGGGATGCATTGGCCAACGCTGAAACAAGAGTAGACAATGCATATTAAATAAGTTTTATCGTCAGGGTATGATGACATGCCATCAACCATGACACCAAGCATGATCATCTGGTCAAGTCACCTCTTAAAACAAATGGTAGTTGCTTAAAGGGGACATGTTATAATCATACAACCGTGCACAGGTTTCGCTTAGGTAAGCCAGAAATTTAATACGATACAATAAGCAAAAGGACTTTCGTAAACATGAAAATGAGACGGAAACCTAAAAACATTACTTGCTCTGTTATTTTGACAAAAATAGAGAAAACTATACACACCCCATCCATTCCTGGTGGCGGAGGTCGAGGACCACCCCTGTACTGTGGGGGTGGAGGTCCATGTGTCCATCCCTCTCGGGATTTAGGAGGGCCCTGGTCATCCTATAATACAATGAAGACATTGCAGGAAGAGATTGAGTTAACATGGTCAAAGCAAGAGTGACAAACAAAATCTTTTTTATACCCCAGTTGTGAACTCATGAGACAGCCATCAGGTTTATGGGTGATAGATGAGAAGTTATCATTGTGAAAACTCAATGAAAATGTACATCATGTGGCTATCTCATTACAACTCATTTCTTTACTGTTTTCAAAGCAGACACATGAAATGGTATTTCTTTATTGATGAATGCCCCACTTAGCAATATTCCAGTGAGGTGAGGTGAAATTGGGTTTAACGTCGTGCTTGAGAATATTTCGCTCATATGACAACGTGCATGCGTGTGTATGTGTAGGTGCGGCTGCTTGTACTAGTCCAGACTTAAGCTGGTTTTATAGTGCTAGCTCACTGAGATACCATGCCGCAGTGAAGCATGAATACCCCGCTCAGACACAGTATACTGACTCCGAGCCGACCAGTAATTGTTGTACCCAATAATGCCGAGCGCCAGGCAGGGACCAACAAGTACCATATTTTAACGTCTTTTGGTATGACGCGGTCGAGATCGAACCCGCGATCTTCCGCTCTCCGGGCGGACGCTCTAACCACTACACCACGGAGGCGGTCAGCAATATTCCAGTAATATGACAGAGTAACTAAATCTGGATGACCTAAGATAATATCACTGTTGGGTTACACCGATTTATCAATCAAGTCATCAACACATGATAGATTTAGTTGGCACTTACAACAAACATTAGTTGATGGGGCCTAAAAATTCAAAAGTGAAAGGAACTATTCATCAAATTACCTTTTCCTTGTCATATTTGGATGTTTCCCTGTCCCGATCATGTTCAGAATCCTCACTGTGTCGGTCACTGTGTCGTTCCATCGGCCGATCTCCTTGCCGATCCGGTCTGTCATGTGGTCTGTCATGCTGTCTGTCCATCTGGCGTTCACCATGTCGGTCTCGTGTTTCTTCTTGTTTTCTAATATCTCTTGGTCTCCGGTCTCTCCTAGGAATTGTAAATACTCAAATTATAGTTTTCCCAAACAAATACCACAATGACCAAGTTCTAAATACATCTCTTGACAGTTAGTAGGGATGCAAACGGACACTGGCCTACTACAAGTCAATTTGTTAAAACTCAAAGGTATCCAAGGGGCTAGTACAAATCAGATGTTTTAGATTTCCTTACATGTAAATGGTCAAGTTTTTTGTTTTGTAAATATTTTTATTAAAATATTGTTACAACTGTCATAGGATTTAAAATCATCATTTAAATGCTTATATGTACCCCAAGGAGGACTTCTGAAAAAGAATCAAGGTATCCCAGGGGCTAGTAGAAATCAGATGTTTTAGATTTCCTTACATGTTAAATGTCTTATAAATGTTTTAGGTCAATCTAGATAATCAGTACTTACTTTCGTTCTTTGCCTGACTCATCTTCATCATCACTGAACACAAGCTTAGCACTGAAAGATTGAAAACAGAGTTTGTATTCCAGTAAGAGATACACACAACAGAATGAAGTTTTGAAGTATACAGTTTCTAAATTTTAAGCATATTTTGAAAAACATAAAAACACACAAAAAAACAACTTCTAACCATTGGCTCATTTCAATATCAAAAAGATGACAAATTCTGCTGTTTACATTCATTCCTACAACTAATATAGTATAGCCATCAGGTTAATGGGGGATAATAGGTGTCACAGTCAAGGTTCAATACTTTGCTATGATCTGCGGTTATTATATCATTAACCTTCATTTTTTTCAGAATCATATCTTACCTATAATCAATTTCTCCTTGAGCATCAGCCCATCCACCATCATTGGGCTCTGTGCGTAAAAGATCATCAAACTCTTTCAGGTCCTTATCCGATATGATGGCAGGTCTCTTTACACCCTCTTCTCCTTCTCGATCTCCTCTGTCCCGATCTCGATCACGATCTCGTTCTCGATCCAGTGGCCGAGGTGGCATGTGTGGAGGTGGGCCTCTGTATCTAACACATCCAAGATAAGAGTATCAGCTAAAGGAGAAATGCTGTGATCAAAATTATCAAATGGAAATAAACAGGTCCTTGCAAATGTGACCATCACTAATATAACTAAGGATCCCTTTCATATATTTTCATCGCATCTTGTTCTTTTAGCCAACACATCTCACACATCAAGATAACCTGTAACAACCTTCAGTTTAATGAACATGAACTAAACAATGCTATGCTCAATTTGACATTCGCACACATCTGCCAATCTATCTGTCATAGTTTGATTGCGAGGAAATCTTTGACCCTACCTTCCATCATAAGGGTAAGGTGGCCGTGGCATCCCTGGGTAGTTAGGTGGATAGCCAGTCGGCATTCTGCCAAACATCTGAAACAAGATTGTAGCCCATAAATCACCAGGAAATCACAGCTGTCAATCAATGGGATTCAGCAATATTATCCCCCAGTAAACGCATTTTCAGCATATCAAACTTGTCTGCAGTTCATTTCAAAAAGCAGGTGCACACATTTGAAGCTCATTCATGGCTCTTTCATGAACAATAAAGTAAAAGGTACATACTTGTCAGACAACCCATCAGTATTATGGGTGATAGATGTGAGTTCTCACTGCATGAAGCTCAATAAGAAACTGCATCATCTGGCTGTCTGAAACTACCCCTGAATAATCAAGATATATACTTGAATAGCTCAATACTTACATAGGGTGGCATCATTCCTCTGTATTGGGGGTGCGGCATGCCCATGTGAGGTGCCATGGGCATGGGGCCCTGGGTTGATGTGGGGCCCTGGTTAGAGCTGGGTCGTGGGGGGATCTGCGGGGAGGGAGAGGGGGTGTCGCCCCCACCGGGAGTCGGGGGGCCATTCGGCTGTGTTTCTGTGAGGGTCTGTGATGGTGAAGACGTCGGTGATAGACTGTCTTGTTTTGGCTGTGGTTGCTGCATGGCGCCACGCCCACCTCCTTCTCGCCAACTCCCTACATCTGCAATACGCCATTACCAGTTACAAATATAGGACCTAATTTTATCATAATTAATGCATTGAACTCCTTTTTGGATAAATTGAGTGAGTTAGTGAATATAACTTATTCCAGATAAAAACCTGTTACATTTAGAGGTGTGAATAGAATCTTGGGCAGCTGTCTGACAGTTGTCTGGCACATGAAAGGAATCAGCAAATTTTACAAATGAATGCAAATTATGAAGCGCTATAGATCACAAGTAACTCACTTTGTGGTCGCAAACTTGGCCCTGGTCCATATTGAGTATCTGTTTTTTCTTCCTTCTTTTTTATGTCCTTGGTTTCTTTTTCTTCCCCCAATGCTAGACTTGGAAATTCCTCTTGGAACAAGGGTGACTGATGACTCACAAGAGATCCTTGCAATCAAAATGACTTAACAGTAAACCTCCGTTTTTCTTTCACATCATTCCATAGTAGATCATTATTCTTATCTAGTTCATGAACAGCAACTACATTAAAACAACGTGTGCTTATGCATCACAATTGTAAGAAAAATGTATTTGATACATACCCACTGAATCTTTAAATAGCAATACACCTATACAATACAGCAAGATTAGATAAATTATGTATTGCTCTGATTTCTGTAAGGCACTGATTTACTTTTTTTTACTGTTTGGGAAGACTATGGTGATATGTGTGATCTCTAAAAAGAGTCCTAAATGAAATCTTCAAAACATCATAGTTCTTAAAAGGAAGTAATTTTGTGTCAAATATTGTTTTGTTTCTTCTGTGATCGAAAGAGAAAAGGGTATTTTATACATGTACAATGCTTCACTAGTGCATTTGGACCTTGCGTATTGAAAGAGAAGATATTGTAACAAATGCATTCCAAGAACAAGTTGTTTTTCTCCTGCCATGACATCTTCTCTTGTTCAATACAGAAGGGCCAAATTCATGAGCATGACATTCTTTATGTTTACGACATTCGGTTATTATCACAAATTGTTTCATTTGATCAGTGATAATAAACCTTAATAGAAATCTTTTGAGATGCGTAGATTAAAGCAAGAGCTGAGTCAAATTTGACAAAAACTTACCCTGTGAGGTGCCCCCACCAGTAATACTGCTCCATGACTTTACCCCTGTGTTGGTGCCCCCAGATACACTGGTCTGAAAACAAGTTTATTACATTTGAAAGAAAATCATAAACTATAAACGATAATAAACTATGCACAAGACAAATCAATACAACATAGATGTAATTATGAGCTGTCCCATTTACAGACTGGGTTAATAGTTAAACAAATAAAATCATGAAAGCAAGTCTTGACCCTCTTACTACTGACCTTGGTAGTTGGTACTGATTGCCCAGATGGCGCCGACGTAGCCGGCTGCGGCTGCGACTGTTGCGGCGGTTTTCCACTGGCTTCCTCTTTCTTCTCCTCTTTCGTTCCCCATCCTGAAACAGACATCAAAGAAATTAACACAAGGTAGACTGAATTCTTAAGTTATGTCTTTCACGTGAATATATATTAACAGCACTTAAGTTACACCAATGAGCAAACATTTCCAATAAATATTTCGGACAGAAAATATTTTAGTTTATATATCCACCATCTCGTTTCCCACATTTATGTGTTTCTGTTCATAGGTCTCATTCAGCAAGGCCATAACATATGCCATTCTACTTTAGGATACTGTTCCGAGAACATGGAAATTTTAGATTTCCTGTTTCGTTTATTGCTTGCATGATGTTTAACAACGACTCAGCAATTTTCCTGTTGTAAATAGATTAGGTTTGGACCAGTCAATCAAGAGACAGACATCTTGAGTATTGATTGGGATATGACAACATGCATCAACCAAGTTAGAGAGCTGTACAGCCCAATCCTATCAGTTGCCTCTTACAAGCAAGGGGGGTATAAATACTAATTCTTACCAAGATTTTCGCTTTTAATTGAAAATGTCATTTTAATCAATGGATAAAAAACAAACTTGTGCAGTTTAAGTTTGCCAAACAATAATCTTGGAGTGCAGAGAAAAAGATTTTTACCTGAACCTCCGGTCGGAACAAGACTGATATTTGGGTCGTTTCCACTGTTCTCACTCTTCAAACTGGGCAAATTAGCCGGAGGCTGCATACGCCGTGCTGTTCCCACCTTACCCAAGCTTTGTAGCCCATGTTGACGAGGGACTGTATACAACAAACAGAACAACTGATATAAAGATATGTCAATATCACATCACACAAACAATTCATGATAATGGTTTAGTACCTAATCTGCACCACCAGCCTGATTAGTTTCAGTGATAATCATAATTTAATATCTGCAGAAACGGCACGTTTAAAATATGTAAACTGAACAAACTCCTTTTAAAAATTAGAAAATCGGAACCAAACTTTGCACCTTTCCTTTAAAGAAGCAGCTTTCCAAATTTGAAAACATTTTGACCAATATTTTCAATACATTATGCCAAAACTGTTGGATAACTGGTTGGTATTAAAGTCCATTTCAACTTACCCGCAGTCTTTTGTGTTTCAACGGTTTTGCCCTTATATATGTTGTTGATATTTATCGCCGTGAACTTGCCCTTGCCTTTCTCCCCCCTATTGCCTAACCCCGAGACTGAGGACATCTTGCCGAAGCACACACATTGAAGGCTTTCTCGTATACCCTATGAACGAACCGCAAGTATCTGAAAAAAAAACACTGCAATGAAACACACAAATGAGAACGGTTATGGCAACACAACATTCAATGCTGTCAAAACTCATCCTGCTGAAAAGGGACAGCAGCATGCGACCGTTAGACTTATTGCTGAAGAGTAATCCAGTTCCTGAAGTCCTTAAGTTACCTCAAATGTAGCTAATGAATTCTCTGTGCAATGCATTACGCAGGGATTGTAATTCAAACAGAAACAGTCAGACAGAACCCTTTGTCTCAAAACTGATGGGGACTAAAGAAATAGTTTAACCTGTCTAATGTTCACATGTTAAAGTTTTTCTCTAACAATTGTCAGGAAACAATTTTATCTTGACAAATCAAACACTAAATTTACAACTGGTAAAACTGAACACCTGTTGTCACCAAGAGGAATGATAGTTACCAGGGTACTTCATAATGCAATCCAAACTAAAGGGTTAGAAGAGATGATAATTAAATGTAAGGTTTCACCATACCTACCACAGATTATAAGTTTATACTTATCTCTAAGAAAATTGCACAAATTTTCATGTTGGTAGAGAACCTGTCCCCACAAGTTCAATTTCTCAGCATTGCCAAAAACAGATGTGTATCTTAAAGTGCAAACCCACTCACGCTTTTATGGTATAATCTATAGCCCTCACCAGTGACATACAGAAAAACACATTAAATAAAGAATGGACGAAGGGGACACACCCACAGCAATGAGCAAGAGCTGCCATCTACCCAATGGTAGATGATAGTCCAAAAGTTAATGGAACCTCCCCTGCCTTCCTTCCTAGTCTAAGACTAGAGGATCTATTCAAATTACAACTTATATAAATGATTTGATTATCAACTCCTGCATAGTAATTAGCAAATAGCCTCAAAATTACGTTTAGCTGTTACTGAGAATGAGAATGAAAATATAAGTTTTGGCACTGACTATCATCAGACTTTTGGCACCTGTAGATTTGATTATGTTACACAAATGAAACTTTACTCAAATGAGAATACACAGGTCAAAACTGACCTTGAGTTAAAAACAGACTGTTTCATAGGTCATCGATTGCTATCTGAATATCTACTTCTAAGCTTTGCAATAAAGTTCTTTACAGCATTCTCTGTGCTCTAAACTGAGAAGAAAATGCAGATACCACACAGTGTGATGAAATTTACTTCATAAATCATGTTCAGTGCACAATATCATTTCTGATTAAAATCTAGTAATTATCAACTTGCTCCACTTGTCGGCAGAAGTATATGCCATAACCCATGACGAGTGCATCTTTACATTTTCTTGCTTATGAATTATGTGAGCGAGTGAGTATGGTTTTACGCCTCTTTAAGCAATATTCCAGATAAACATCATGGTGGGGGGGGGACACCAGAAATAGGCTTAACACAATGTACCCATGTGGGGAATCAAACTCTTCGACATGACAACCGAACACTTTAACCACTTGGCTACTCCACTACCCCTTGAGGATTATGATGCATACGTGAGAGTTTGTTGGGCCACTTGAGCATTGCATGATAATATTTTTCATTCCTTCTTATACTATGAGTGTACTGGCAATGCACCAAAAGCGAAAATTCCAGTTAAAAGTAGATGTGTATTTCCTTTTATCCATACCGATGGATATCTAACGTAATTCATTTGTAAGATTACAAAACCATTCGGTCAATGATGTGGTCAGACTCGTGGCTTTGTCATAATTTTGACCAGTTACATTGTATAGCTGTTCTGGGAGTTACACATCAGATGAGAGCAAGGATCAGATCTAATACGTCAATCAAAGCATAATACCCCAAACGATGCATTGTCTGTACCCAAATTAGCATATAACATGATTAAAATGTTGACATTTTCAGTCAGCATTCATATTTCAAATGCATTATTGTCTCTGTAATAATGGTAGTGCAAAAGCTGTGCATAAGGTGAAAGTCTATTGATGAACACTCAAGTCATTGTTAAGGAACTGCAAAAATAAATAAAAATCGAGCACCTAATATCGGATAGTTTTCTAACTAAAACATCGCCAGTTAGTTTTGAACAACAACTGTGGCTTACGATGTACACTTTAATAATGGGGCACAATACTTTACTTGTCATACAGCCCAATATAGCTACCTCCGACATTGTCAGTACAATATATCAAGGCGCGAAATATGCAAGTTTATTACTAAATAAAATGTATGTGATACAAGCTTTCCAACATCTTCAAACAGTAGATAGACCTGGTCATACTTGTGAACGAAGATATGTATCCTGGAAGCTTCACAGGGTAGTATACATTTTAGTTTTGATGAAGCCATCAGTTTAGGTATTTTCATAATTTGTGTAGATCTATACGTTTTTCACACAACCATCGGACAGATTTCGCTTTGTTTCTATATAAGCAGAAGTTTTACTTTCGTTTGCAAAGTAAACAGTCACAATTCTGCGTAGCAAAGGTGAACTGTCAGGTCTAAAAATATTTCACAACAATGAAGTCAAGTGATTCGATAAGCGATCATTTCCAAGAAGCGTTTGAAAGAGGAGCGATATACAAATGATTCAGATTCAAATATCAAAACACTAACGTTGCATTTCACTCAAATTGCAAGGAAACTGGACATTTAAAAATCTTGCCGTCTGAAATCGATCTTCGGCATTAGCGAGCTGCTCAACCCAGGCTATTTAGGGGACGAGTCTAATGAACAATGGTCTGATAAATTTATGCAGAAAGAAGAATTTTGGGAAATGTAGATTCGATGTAGTTATCGACTAAACACAACCTTTTACAATATCAAATAACAGCAAAATACTTTTTGCAGCGGAAGTCGGTGTGACTTCTTCGCTTGCATGTGTCATTCTGTGTTGATCGAGTAAAAAGTGAAGTCAATCCTTGCATAACTTCCCGATAATTATGCATCAGAAATGCATACCAAATGTGCAAAACACAAGCATATACGTACAAAATGTGTATGCATCGTAATACATGAGCTATATGTGCATCCGATTTGCTTATATTGCATTATAAGTAGAAAGGCTGAGTGACGCTATGATAGAATATAACGGCAAGCTCTGCCGAAACGAAACAAAGATAAATAGATCACCCCGGGTCGTTCCGGATTGAATTATCTCGGCTTGTAGGTAAAGTAAAGCATACTTACGCCGGCTCGTTCCGTTGGGTTTGTTTCTAGATCAAACTGACAAAGAAATAATCAAGAAGCAACACGGATGGCTTCTGATTTTTGTTGGATTCTTATCCAAAACACTTGTGTATTAGATGCTAACCAAAATGGCGAGCATACAAATATGTAAATGAGCTCGATGATGTCATAATTTTCCCAGGGTGCACCGCGCTAGTGCGTAGCGTGTATTGGCTTGTAGTGAGTGAATGACATCGTGTGTGATTTAGTAAAATGTGTAAAATAACGTATTCTTGGATACATAACTAATCTTGTTTTAGGAAAATAAGATGAAAATGTAAAAATAAATACAACGGTGAAAATATATCATAATCGAATAGGTGATAAAAGTTCAATTGAGAACTAAACTGACACGGAAATAAGTTATTCCTGGAATGTTATCTTGCTGACGATTTATGAAATTTCCGTTTATTGTCTAAAACGTCATTGTTTATGAAGTTTCTAGTCATACCATACACCTGGCGACCTCGCACATCTCAAACTATAATTTTGCTAATTAATAATCCTTACAATTTAAAAAAAATATGTATCCAAAATATTTTTATTGAAACCAAGGGTTACCATGTTAATCATACAATTTCACCTATTTATTTTTCTCTTGTATGTTATAACTCTTATAATAACACTTATTTATGTTGACTCTAAGTTATCCCTTACTGCACTTGATGAACTTGTAAACAAGTAAGTGCACGAGCTCTGACCTTCCCGCGAACAATACGACACCTGAGTTGTACAGGTTTGTAAACACTCTCTGCCTGAAGCACGTGTACCCACGAAGGAGGTGTAGGCGTGTTGTGTGTATATCATAGACACGCTGTGGGGGACACGACCGGAACCGGTGTGCTGCATTACGTGCATGAACACATATAGCAGGGGGAATGATTATTGTAGTATCCTCGTTTGCTGTTTAACGTGACTTGGCAATATTCCAGCTGTATATGACGGTAACATTTAAATTATCTTGACTGGGCCATATAAACCAGTGATTGATATCGTGAGCAACGATCCACTTATTCGGGCTGTGATGACACAAAGTCAGGTCACCGAGCCCCGAAAGGTTTTACGCCGTTTTTAGCAATACATGTATTCAGGCAAATACCAGGACGCGGCACGCAAGAAAGGGTCTTAATTCACATATATACACAAGAAATTAAAGGGTTTTCACACATTGTACACAAGAAAGGGTCTTCACACATATACACAAAAGGGGCTTCACATTTTATACCAGAGACCATATAATAGATTATTATATGGTCTCTGATAGACTAACAACTAGTCTCCGAAATGAACATATTTTACTGAAAAAAGTTCATAGTAAAAAAAAAGTTCATAGTGAGATTTTCTTCATTTTCAGAACTAAACAAAGAATTTCACAACATGTACACAGGTTCTTATCACCCATTACTGCTTTAATTGTGTGTGACAGGAATATTTACTGCCCCCACCGCCTCCCAGTCCTACTGCCAGCTGAGGAAATCTAGACTTGCCACATTTTCTAGACTTGCGTGGGCTTTCTTGGATATATTTGCTTCAGGGTCTGTACGACAGACTAGGTCTCTGATTATACACAAGAATGGGGCTTCAGACACTGTACACAAGAAAGGGGCTTCACACATTGTACCCATGTGGGTCTTTGATGTTTTTACCCGTGAAGATCCAGGTTAGAATTGATCTTCAGTAACCCATGCTTGTCTTAAGGGGCGACTAACGGGATCGGGGGCTCGCTGACGATGACATGTTATCTTATCCCAATTTCGTAGATCGACGATCATGCTGTTGATCACTGGATTGCCTGGCCAAGACTCGACTATTTACAGACCGCCGCCATATAGCTGGAATATTGCTGAGTGCGGCGTAAAACTAAACTCACTCACTGACTGACTTTGGTGTAAGGAGCTAATTATGCTTTAACCACTAGCCTACTAGTTTATATGTTCTTTGTAGATTATATGCTGCTGATTGTTTAAAATGTCTCCTTAAAAACAACACATGTTGTGAAAAGACGATGGAGGACTGCTACAGGTAGCTCATGGCTGTGTTGACTTGAAGTGGTGATGATGTGTGTGGGTGGCTGGTAATGAGTTATTTTTAAGGACGTGTCTAAAACCCCTTCTTAAACAGATAATCTCGATATGAGGACAGCTGGAAAAGTGTCACACCATTCAAGCAGAATAATTCCTCTGAACAAACTTCTAACTTGAATACACAACGGTTAAAGCTACGCACTGAAAGAAATAACTCCTGTCTGAATATACGGCCTTGTCAAGCCCTTTTCCTTGAAATGTATAATTAAAATGAGCCATTTAAAACAAAATTGATAAACACTGGATCCAAACATCTCCGTGAATAACATAAACAGCTCCCGGAGTAAACGGTGGGCGTCAAGGCTCTTCCGAGAGCACTAAATAGTGGGTCATGTATTCCAGGGCACAAATTTGGTGTCGAATCTCGTTTTGTGTCAAAGGCACACCTGTCTGCCTTTGAAGTTACCGCTGCAATTAACGCCCTCAGTCGCAGGTGACACCTACGTTAATCCGGGTATTGAATGTGGATTACGTGTGTGTGTGGAGCTCTTAATTGCATCATGCTTTCACTGGTCAATGAAACAATAAATACCTGTACTTTAGTAATTATTCAGCACGGTCCTTTATCTTGTAATGGGGTGCCACATGTCATCTTAATAAGGTCCATGTAATAAGAATTGTATTCGTATACTTATTCATGGGCATGCAAAATATATGGAAATGCAGTGAATGGTTGTTCTGTCAGCTGTGCGGAATCATTAAAGTGTTGTGATGATGTTTTCGATGTGATATTTATTTCTGTTGTCCCTATAGAATGAGTAAGAGGCATACATGTTGATATCGATGGCAGCAAGGGAGCGAGTTGTTCACAAGGTGGCAATTGCTGCGGCATTACGAGTGTATTTGAATAGAATAATACTTCATTGCCTTTCCAGGAATTTGTGTTACAGCAACAGAGCTTCTGATACATCAGAGAGATACAAATACGTAATATTTTTACACTTGTGTTGAGGTAGGCAAGTGGTTAAAGCGTTTGCTCGTCACGCCGATGGCCCGGGTTCGATTCCCCACATGGGTAGAATGTGTGAGGCCCATTTCTGGTGTCCCCCGCCGTGATATTGCTGGAATATTGCTAAAAGCGGCGCGTAGTAAACTATACTCACTCACACACTTATTTTAGAGGTTTAGTAACAAAACAATGCAGGATATTAGGGTTATACACGGATATGTTGTCATTCGGTAGTTATATTATTCACCTATGTGCACAGATAATATTTCAAACCGTACATTATAGCCTACATCACCAGACTAGTGTCCAGCCTAGATTATTTACAGACCGCCGCCATAGCTGGAATATTGCTGAGTGCGGCATAAAACTAAACTCACTCACTTATAGCCTATATACCCAAGGGGATATGGCGAGTTTCAATAAGCACTTTATCTCATCTACCGTTCGATATGACACCAGGTTCTAATTTCAATGAACGTGTCACCATATTGCCTGCAGGTATACCACAGACAGATGTCAATGTGATATAAGAGATATTCATCTCTCAATGAAAGTCCGACCGGGACGGACAATCACCTGTGAGGTGAGGTGAAATTGGGTTTTACGTCGTGCTTGAGAATATTTCGCCCATATGACGACGTGCATGCGTGTGTATGTGTATGTGCGGCTGCTTGTACTAGCCCAGACTAAAGCTGGTTTTATAGTGCTAGCCCACTGAGATACCATGCCGCAGTGAAGCATGAATACCCCACTCAGACACATTATACTGACTCTGAGCTGACCAGTCCTTGTTGTACCCATTAATGCCGAGCGCCAGGCAGGGACCAACAAGTACCATATTTTAACGTCTTTTGGTATGACGCCACCAAATTAGGGACCATGGGGACTTACATTACTTTGCTACCTGCATGGACCCTAGCTGGATTTATATCATCCCTTTGGCCGCTGGCGATTGAAGTCAAATTTAGCCAAAATTAAAATGACAAGAATACTACATTTAAAACAGCTGGTAAATTTAAATTTCCTTTGAATGTTTCGGGACTTACGTACCCTCTCAGGAGGGCATGTTTTTAGGTGTACGTAGGGCTAAAATGGATTGCATTGAATTGGCATAATGGGTCCTCACTGACAAAACCTGCAAGTAAATAACATAAATAATGATTTGATATAGAAATCTTTCAATGTTTCATCACAGGCATTGACACTACATGATATGGTATCCTTGAAGACATTCTCAGGTGCCCGCCCACCTGGTGCTACTAAAACAAATTAAAGATTTTAAAAAAAGATAAAACCGACCCACCTACCCTATTTTTAAAAAGCATGTAATAGGAAACGGATATATATGTATAATATTTTTGCCTAATGGAAAGACATGCAGTTTGTCTCAATTCTCTTGGCATCTTATATCACTGAAGGTACACTAGGGGCGGTGGGGTAGCCTAATGGTTAAATCGTTGGCTCGTCACGCCGAAGACCCGGGTTCGAATTCCCACATGGGTAAAATGTGTGAAGCCCATTTCTGGTGTCCCACGCCGTGATGTTGCTGAAATATTGCTAAAAGCGGCGTAAAACCAAACTCAGTCAGTCAGTCAGTCTGAAGGTAGACTAGTCTGTTTCACATGTCATCGGTTCCCAATTGTGCAGATCGATATTGTTGATCACAGGATTATCTGGTCCAGACTCGATTATATACAGACCTCCGTTATATAGCTGGAATATTGCTGAATGCGGCGTAAAACTCACTCACTCACTCACCGAAATGCATTATGTTCCCTTCTGCCCCTGCCTTGCCTTTCTGCACGTGTTGGTGAGACAAACCTTTGTGTTAAAGGATCCGGGATTAGATAAAGTCCCAAGTGACCTACGAGACCAACATAGTGAATGAGTATGGTTTTACGCCGCTTTTAGCAATATTTCAGCAGTATCATGTCGGCAGACACTTGAAACGGGCTTCATATATTATACCTTTATGGACAGTTGAACCCGTGTATTTGGCGTGACAAGCTAACGCTTTAACCTCTATTGGCAACCTACAGTCAGTAACATCGAGAGGCTTTGTCTAGACTGACTGACTTTG